GAAAGCGAAAACAAACTTACTGTCGATGTCTATGAAGATTCTCAGTCATCCATGTCATAGTTATCCAACGAAGGTTAAAGTCAAGGGCAACTGGACTTGGTTGAAGATACTGGAAGACTTTTCATCCCTCATCCAAATAAGTTCTTCAGTTCTGACTGACTGGTGGGGAAACTCCGCTATTTAACCTCAGTGGGGTCGTTTGCCAGGGTCATCGATACCGCTGGTTCGTTAGTGTTCCTGGTTGCTGTAACAACAGTCGTTACAGTCGTTAGGACTACCTGTGGCCACGACTGAACGACCGTCGTTATCTTCACCTGAGGCCAATAGGTTACGTTTGTTGAGTTTCCTGGGAAGTGATGAAAGGACAGCATTGTAAGTGGGGGATGAGTGGTGGCGTAGACCCCCTCCCCTGTTCAATGACGGCCAACCCAAGAACACACTACAACAGATGCTGGTACACCCCAAAGACCGCACACCCAAAAACAAGAAAAGCAATCTAGTGTATGCGGCCCAATGCAGTGAGGAATGCACAGACCTGTATATTGGGGAGACTAAACAACCGCTATATAAACGCATGGCTCAACACAGAAGGGCCAACTCCTCAGGTCAAGACCTGCAGTTTACTTACATCTGAAGGACAGAGGACACTTGTTTGAGGACCACCAGGTGCACATTTTAGACAGAGAAGATGGATGGTTTGAAAGAGGTGTCAAGGAAGCAATCTACACCTGGGTCAAGAAGCCGTCATTGAACAGGGGAGGGGGTCTACGCCACCACTTATCCCCCACTTACAATGCTGTCCTTTCATCACTTCCCAGGAAACTCAACAAACGTAACCTATTGGCCTCAGGTGAAGATACCAACGATGGTTGTTCAGTCTTGGCCTCCGGTAGTCTTAACGACTGTAACGACTGTCGTCACAGCAACCAGGAACACTAACGAACCAGCGGTATCGATGACCCTGGCAAACGACCCCACTGAGGTTAAATAGCGGAGTTTCCCCACCAGTCAGTCAGAACTAAAGAAGTCCTTTGGATGAGGGACCAAACGTCTTCCAGTATCTTCAACCAAGTCCAGTTGCCCTTGACTTTAACCTTCGTTGGAAAACTTACTGTCTCAGTTTGATTTGTCTTTTGTTTTCCCTTGGCTGCATGTGCAGGCTGACTTAATGTCTATAGAAACAGCATGGAAAAGCCGCAAGCAAAAGAGGATGGTCACAGCTCTGAAAGATCTGAACACGTTGCATATCTCCTCCTCTGGCACAGCTGTGTTTATCATGAGCAGTTTTTAATCTCACTGCTGAGCAGTGAATCAGAGTGGCCTGACGGTACAGCCAAGAAGAAATGGAACGACTTATTAGCGCAATAACAAAAAGGAATGGAAGAATAAAGAGCTTGTGCACTTGATCCAAACATCTGTTTTAAGGCATGGTGATGGTCTTGTGTATTGTTGAGTGCTGGTATTCTCTTCTGTCAGGATTCCAGTTCCTTTCAAGAGAGTGTGGTGAGCCAAACGCTATTAGTATCTAGTTCACTAGAAAGGACCACACAATCAACAGGTACGATTTAAATTGATTATTGATGATCGAAACAGAAAGATGTTCGAGGCTTGGAGTTGCTGAATAGACATTCGAAAGCGTTGTGGGGAAGCTTCGATAGGGAAATCCACCATAGCACCCGGGCACGACGGACACCCTGATAACCCTGGGTGGGGGAAAGGGATGCAGAATGCGAGAGCGAAGAAGAGGAGCTGGGACGTGTTGTGGGTATTTATGGAAATGCTGCCGATGACGTGGCGTTGCATCAGTGGAAATACATGCATATAATGCTTGTAATGCATAAAATGTTGATACAATTGATATACAAGATTTGACAAGATTTTCATGATGTTTTGCTTTTGGGGGAAAGGGCAACAAATTGTAAATACATATAATATCTTTGTAACGTTTTTATTACTACATTTTTAGCAGTTACCAAACTTATTATCTGACTATCTGGCCAATGTTTGTTCCATGTTCACTCTCCTGTCTCACTGTTTTGGTCACCACCAAGTACTATCTGGCTCTTGAGCAGCAAAATACGTGCTATTTATCAGAGCTTTTTTTTTTTGCTGAAAACAGCTTTCTACTGCTTCTGAACAAAACAACACTGATGAGAGCACTGACAGTGAACCAAAACTGTAAAGTTGTGGGCAAAAGACAAAAACAATGAGCAGAAAGATGCTAAATCGCTCTGTAGATCTAAGGTGAACTGCAGAGTTGGGTGATAATTAGTTGTCTGTCACTTCTGTCGTCACCATTTTCATATTACACATTGTTCATATAAAAATATTTTAAATGTTAATGCATATTTACAGTTGCAGAAAACAGCAGAGAACACCATGCAATTCCTCCCCAAACTTCTGGGCTGTGAAACAGTATCCACAGACGTGCGTAAACTCTCATACAAATATAATGAGCAGAGGGGAGTGGAGGTAGACTGCTCGACAGAACTTGTTGAGCAAATCGCCACTGCACTTGCACTTATCCTCCCCAAACTCTCACAAAAAACAACAACCCACTTGTCGCCCTGTGTGAATCCCAGAGCAGCAGTGATGTCATTTAAGGACACACCGTGACTCAGCCACATGCCACTCGCCATGCCAGCCCCCACTGACCGAGGTGTGGGAGTGGTGCTTCAGACTCAAAACATAAAACCTATAAATTTATATCAGTTTCAGTTTTTCCACAAGTTCTGCAGCTTATCCTGAATAATTAAGAGTCAAGACGGGTTCATAAAAAAATAGAGAATTTAATGCTTGTGAGTCTACACGGTATGTTGCACAACCCTGACCACTTGGTTGATGGTAAGACGGACTGTTTCCTCTGCATTTAGAGAAGTCTGTAACCACTTTGAGGATCTGATTAATCATGCGCTTTCTTCCTTCCTCGCTGTGTCTAAAGTTGAGTGGCAACATAATCTGATTGTTCCTTTACTGTCATGAGTGCATGTTGGACAGAAGGATCAGCCACTCCTAGACAGTCATTCCATGTGTTAGTGACCTATTTTCTCCTCAGTCTTCACTCCTCCGTTAGATCATAATTCAGTTTTTTCACTTGAACTGGAAAACTCTTAAACATACTGTATAATAATTTTTCTCTGATGATGGTGACTCCAAATCTCTGAAACATATGACTGGCCTGTTTGACTGCCTGTTTTGTCCAGCCAATAGTCCAAAACCCAAAAGTATTAGGTTTACCATCACATAACACGAACAAAAGCAGCAAATAATAACTTAACTGATAACTTTCTGCACTAATTGATTTGATAAATTGACTAGTTGTTGATGTTCGGTCTCTTCAGATATGTTGAGGAACATTCCTACAACACTGTGTGGTTTTCACAAGTTACTGAGGGGTTCCAGTCTCCATAATTTAGTCACATGCTGGTTTTTACAACAGCTCAGATCCAGTTGGGAATTCTGTTTGAACAGTTTGCTAATACAGGATCATCACCAGCCACCTTTTGAGGATCTCACGCTTAGCAGCTGCCTTTCTATATCTGACACACCACAGTACTGATGTTTTTTCCCGCTATTGTTCTGCATATTCCTTCTGATACAGACCATAAAATTTTAGATTTGATCCGCCTGCAGCCACCTCCTTTCTGTCCACGCCTTATCCATCCAGATAGCAGCTTAATGAATGTGTTCTTTGTGGAGGGTCTTGGCACAAGCAGTGTGAAATAACCTTGTCAAGAAATGCTTCCCTGATTACAGCTGCTGTCCTCCCTCCACCAAGGATTCCTCCTGACGTAGAGGGAGTGCAGTCACTCAGATGACTGAGACAAATCGGAGTTTCAACAAGACCCAATGGGACACAGCTTTCTCCCCAAGGCTTGCCTCCTGATTTATTTCAGTGCAGATAAGAAGTTAATGAGTGTGGTACAAAAGGGGCTCAGTGCTGGTAGTAGCTGTGGATTAGGTCAGTGCTGTAAAGCTCCAGCTGCTTTAGTTGTTCAATGTTGCAAAGGAAGGTCAAGTTGTTCTCTGCGGAAGAAGAAAGCTCGACTCTTGTCTGTGTCCACCTCATGTCACACTTTAGCATGATTATTGACTTCAGTTGATCACAGCTCAGTAGATAAACTGATACAGAGGATATTGACATACGTTTAGGATATGAAATATCTAGAGACTGGCACGTTTGTCATACACTATATGACCAAAGGTATCTGGACACCCTTGTCCTCTTTTTGTATTTTATGTCTGGGGCTGTTTTTCTTGTTGAGGCTAGGCTCCTAAGCCCCTGTAAATATACATTTTAATGCTACAGCATATGTTTAGACAGTTGTGTGCTACTGTATTTGTGGGTGTCTCTTTTTGATAACACGCCTGTGCACAAAACCAGGTCCATAAAGAAATTATTTTCCCATTTTGATGTGGAAGAACCTGACTGGCCTACACTGGACTGCAATGATTAGTCGATTAATCAATTATTTGTCAACTATTAAATTAATCAGCAACTATATATCTTTATATATTTTTTTTTTTTAAGGGAAAAGGTCCAAACTCTCTGATTTCAGCTTCTCAAATGTGAATATTTTCCGGGTTTTCTGTGGCAGTAAACTGAGTATATTTGTGTTGTGGATAAAAGAAGATATTTGGCATCACATCTTGGGCTTTGGGAAACACTGATCGACATTTATCATAATTTTCTGGACCTAACAACTAATTGATGAAGCAAGAAACTAATCAACAGGTTAATCAATAATGACAGTAATGGTTTGTTGCAGCCCTGCCGGTGTTATCACATGATGTGTTTGTAATTTTCTTTATCGTGAGTCGCACAAAGTGTGAATATACTTCTATATATATTTACAAGTTTCCAATTTTATTCAAACATTTGTGGATGGTATTGCATAAAAATACAGTCTGAGATCTGCCTTGTTTAAACTGTGGCGTCTATTATAACTGTCCCGCAGAGTGACCATTGCTGACTTCCTCTTTGTTTTTCTCTTGCCCAGGTCACGGAGAATGTCACTGTGGGGAGTGTAAATGCCACACTGGTTACATTGGCGACAACTGTAACTGCTCCACAGAGACGGCGTCCTGCATTTCAGACGACGGGCAGATGTGCAGCGGGCGAGGCAGCTGTGTGTGCGGCCGCTGTCAGTGTACTGAGCCGGGGGCTTTTGGAGATACCTGTGAAAAATGCCCCACCTGCCCCGATGCCTGTGGTACTAAAAGGTAAAGTGTGCTGTAGGAGCACGCCACACTGTAATGAGCACTTCACACCACTGATGGAGAAACAATTGATCGGATGGGTTTATTATATGAGTTGGAAGGTGGAAAATTGAAACAAGGTGTTGCAATTTGCCCTCAGGAATCTGTGATGAGACGCAGTCAAACCACAGGTCAAACCACCAAACACATGGGAGTCCAAAACGAGAGTCAAAACCCTCACATAACTCACTCACTAATGGTGTTATCTAAGCTTTGATGAAGAAGTCATAAGAGTTGTCCAGATAACTCTCATGCCATTTGTGACCCTGACAAATGGATCTGTTGCCCAGCCATTTGAACTTGCATCACTCAGTGTGGCAGCTCAGGCTATTTTGAGGTTAGGGTTAAATGTGTCTAGTAAAGAGAATAGTATTCTGTGAGAACAAAATAACTGCTCTCAAAAGGCCTCTTTACATACACATGGCTCCAGTTTTCCAAGGCAGCGGCAATCTTTATGGAACAACCTTTTACCCTTGACCAGACTTGAGTTTACAGACAGGTCTGCTTTGTCAGCTGCGTGTGCTACGGTTGTATAACCAGTTAGATGGTATCTGAAAGATGAAATGAAGCTGAGCAGCAGCCAGACTTCTAACACTAATAGCAAGAGTTGTGCAAATTTGGATTTACTTTAGTATGCTTTGCAGGATATCTAAAAGACAGATTTAAATCATCTGTGTGTGGAGCCAGGAATTTGAAGCCAGTTATTTTTTACGTTTTTGGTCAGATGTGCTGACAGGTTTTTTGCCTCAAATCCTTTAAGATTTGATATTAGTTAGTTTTATATATTTTCTGCAGAAAACGTCAGCATACAGCCGAAGAGAGGTCCTGCATTAAAATTAGAAAAGCATTTAAAAAGTATTAGGAAGATGCAGAATGCATCAAAGCTGTTGTTGGTTTCTGACAATTTAATATTATAACCTTCACGAATGCAGGATTTATTCCAGGACTGTTGTATTAGACAATTGTTGCATTAGTCTTACCTAGGTGTACCTAATAAACTGGCAACTGAGGGCATAATATCAAAGAGGCGTCACTGTTCACAGAAGCTGGACAGCCTCTCTTTATCTCCAGTGTAAACAAAACAATTAATTTCAGGAATGCAGGTTTTAACAAACTAAATGTGTAAAAGTGACTGTTCACACTGAAACATCGGTAATTGAAATCACTGGCTGCAGTTTATTTGGTTTGTGTGCTGCATGGTTCACCTACTCTTAGTCTGTTGCTTACAGAGAAACTTGCAGTGTTTTAAGCGAGTGCAGTAGGCCATTTTTCACAGCTGATGTACTGATATAGATTACAAATAACAAACATTAAATACCAAATTAGAAGATTGTGCAAGTCTGTGTTTTCTAGCTCATGAGAATAGATAAAAGATGCCCTGACAAAAAAAACAAACACATTTTAGTATTGGATGTGTGTTGTACTTGGCTTTTCCATTAAACTTACTCTCCTCTGCTTCAGGGAGTGTATTGAGTGCCGGCTTTTCAACTCAGGACGGCTTGCAGACAACCAGACTTGCCAGCGCCTGTGCAAAGATGAAATCATCACCGTGGAGACCCTCAGTGAGTCAACACAAGTACACACATACAGGTGCTGGTCATATAATTAGAATATCATCAAAAAGTTGATTTATTTCAGTAATTCCATTCATAAAGTGAAACTTGTATAATGTATACATTCATTCCACACAGACTGATATATTTCAAGTGTTCATTCCTTTTAATTTTGATGATTATAACTGACAACTAATGAAAACCCCCAAATCAGTATCTCAGAAAATTAGAATATTGTGAAAAGGTTCAATATTGAAGACACCTGGTGCCACACTCTAATCAGCTAATTAACTCAAAACAACTGCAAAGGCCTTTAAATGGTCTCTCAGTCTAGTTCTGTAGGCTACACAATCATGGGGAAGACTGCTGACTTGACAGCTGTCCAAAAGACGACCACTGACACCTTGCACAAGGAGGGCAAGACACAAAAGGTCATTGCTAAAGAGGCTGGCTGTTCACAGAGCTCTGTGTCCAAGCACATTAATAGAGAGGCGAAGGGAAAGAAAAGATGTGTTAGAAAAAAGTGTACAAGCAATAGGGATAACCGCTCTCTGGAGAGGATTGTGAAACAAAACCCATTCAAAAATGTGGGGGAGATTCACAAAGAGTGGACTGCAGCTGGAGTCAGTGCTTCAAGAACCACCACGCACAGACATATGCAAGACATGGGTTTCAGCTGTCGCATTCCTTGTGTCAAGCCACTCTTGAAAAAGACACAGCGTCAGAAGCGTCTCGTCTGGGCTAAAGACTAAAGGACTGGACTGCTGCTGAGTGGTCCAAAGTTATGTTCTCTGATGAAAGTAAATTTTGCATTTCCTTTGGAAATCAAGGTCCCAGAGTCTGGAGGAAGAGAGGAGAGGCACAGAATCCACGTTGCTTGATGTCCAGTGTAAAGTTTCCACAGTCAGTGATGGTTTGGGGTGCCATGTCATCTGCTGGTGTTGGTCAACTGTGTTTACTGAGGTCAAAGGTCAACGGTCAACATAACCGTCTACCAGGAAGTTTTAGAGCACTTCATGCTTCCTGCTGCTGACCAACTTTATGGAGATGCAGATTTCATTTTCCAACAGGACTTGGCACCTGCACACAGTGCCAAAGCTACCAGTACCTGGTTTAAGGACCATGGTATCCCTGTTCTTAATTGGCCAGCAAACCGCCTGACCTTAACCCAATAAGCCAGACCCAACAATGCAGAAGAGCTGAAGGCCACTATCAGAGCAAAGTGGGCTCTCATAACACCTCAGCAGTGCCACAGACTGATCGACTCCATGCCACGCCACATTGCTGCAGTAATTCAGGCAAAAGAAGCCCCAAATAAGTATCGAGTGCTTTACATGCTCATACTTTTCATGTTCATACTTTTCAGTTGGCCAACATTTCTAAAAATCCTTTTTTTTTTATTGGTCTTCAGTAAAATTCAAATTTTCGGAGATACTGAATTTGGGATTTTCATTAGTTGTCAGTTTTAATCATCACAATTAAATGAAATAAACATTTGAAATATATCAGTCTGTGTGTAATGAATCAATATAATATCCAAATTTCACTTCACTGAATGGAATTACTGAAATAAATCAACTTTTTGATGATATTCTAATAATATGACCAGCACCTGTACATCACACTCACGCACACAGAGCAGCTGGCTGGCATCTGTGGCATCTGCAACACTTTCACTTTTCACGTTACATACCTCTTCCACTGTCACTTTTTATTACACCCTTCATGTTATTATTGCGGGGCCCTGCCAAAGTACAGTAAGTCGTCCAGTGATTTTGTTATGTGACACATTTAACACCTGTGAGGTGATGAAGTACATACAAACACTCACACAAACACGCTTAAGCACTGTTATTCCATGAATGGTCCCATTTTAAATATTTACACGCCAATAATGGAGTAATAACAAGTTGGAGTGCACTTAAAAATGGCTACATGTGTCACGGGGGAACATGTTACTGTAATTAATTAATTTTCTGTTCCCTATAAGATTTTAGCAATTACATTAGAAACTGACCCCTAGAAAATCGTTATACTTGCATTACAGAATCAGAAGGAACTTTATTGCCAAGTAGTGTTTTTATACAAAAACAGGGATGAGTCAAAAGTACACTTTTAACAGAATGCTATATTATATTGAATTAAAATCTGCATCAGTATTTGTCTTTGCTCATTGGTCCGTCGTTAGCGTCTGCATGCAACAATGCTGTTAGAGGGGGGGGAATAACATTTAAGAACTGCTGGTTGCTGATAATTAGAATTAATCTGGTTATTTTTAAATTATTGCCACACATGAATGGAAAAAAATGGCTGTTGTCAAACTATTGGTAAAAGAAGCTTGTCATATTATGAATAATGTAAGAATGCCTCAATGCTGCAGCATGCCAGTACAACCTCACAGAGCTACTAGCCTGGCAGTAGACTCTTGATAATGTACAGCTCTCTGTGGTTGTTTGAGGCTTCGCTGCTTCACATCTCTTCTTGTTTAACACCTCACGCACCTCTGTGATTAAAAACAAATTACACCAGTGAGCACTGGTCAGTTGTGCATGTGGCAGGTGTCAGTCTGGGCCTCTCACAGCTCCACGGCTACCGTCACTCCACACAGCAGGAAACGACAGCCATCCACAACTGCACACCTTCATTTGGTTCAAAGACTTCAATACATTCAAGTATGGCAAACCTCTCCCGTGCTCACTTCACTACAGCGAGAATCAGTCTGCTAAACCAACATGTACCTGCTACATAGACTGTCTCTCTAATGTGTCATTTTAAAAGGTTCAGCCTAACTATAAGTGCTTCTATTTATATCTTGTTATGTCCCTCACAGCCTGGAGGAAAATAGTCGGGAGACTTTTAGGAATGTATTAATAAGTGCCCAGTAATTTATGGCACAAATTATGGGACTGTGATGCTGCATGGTGTTGCACAGAGGAGATAGAGCAGAGTGGCCGGTGTGTGTTTAGTTATGGAGACTATTATAAGACCATTCCATATTGGCCCAGCATGGCCCTGGACCACATCCGACGCGTTTCATAGCATTCCCCACTAGTTTAGCCATCTGACTGGCCTTAATGGACTCCACATGTACATTCCAGATACTTTGTGCATGAAATAGAGGAGGAGGGGCAGATGAGGGGGGTGAGCGCAGGGAGGGGTGGACCAGGGCAGCATGACCTCACCCTCCCTTGTGCGATTTTGAGTCAGTTTGGGTGATGATGATTGACTATAAACAAGGGCACCCAGAATATCAGCGTCTCAATCAAGGAATGCAAAAAAAATTTTCAGACAGTTGTGATTTCACAGCAAAGAAATTCATGCTATGTGATGATCATTCAAAAGTGCTTTCTTTTTTTCCCTCAGTGTGAGATTTCTCTTCAGTTTGACCTAATCCTTTCCCCCTTTTCTCTCTTCGTTCCTGAATTGGAACATATTTCCTTGCCTTTTCTCCATCTCCTTTTGTTTTATTTAGCCCTTTTGTGGTAAAAAGTTGGATAAAGAAATTAACCGATTAACTCATCCATCATAAGATTGATACTGTTGCCAAATCCTTATCAGCCCCCCCCCACCCCTGCTTTTTCTTTCAGAAACGGAGGACCCGGGCGCTGTGCTTTGTCTGTATAAGACAGACAACGATTGTGTCATGAAGTTCACATATTCTGAGCACGCCAGCGGACAATCCATCCTCACAGCTCTAAAAGAGCCAGGTCAGTGCTCCAAACAACAACCAATTAGGTATTCTTTACCTTTTTAATCACACTGATTTATAGGTCAGTCACCTGCTAACAACGAAGTGCCTTTTTAGATTGTATTTATGGTGCATGAATCAACAAGGATCACCCACCACAACTTTTACAAATTATTGAAGACTTTGCTTTTCGTTCTGTGAGCCTGTTACTTCATAGCATCAGACTTCTATGACTGGCTAAAACTCGTTGCACACTGCCTTGATGGATATCTGCCTAATGTCAGCCAAGGATTCGTGTAAAAAAACAAAATGTTTAAACATTCAGATATATATATAATTGGCACCAATTACATGATTCCACACACAAAACTGCATTAAAGGATAGTTCTAGTTTATTTTTGTGCTTTTGAAATTAGTCCTTTTGATTATGGTGATTTTACTCACCCTTTTGTAACTGCGCAAGCGCAGAGTGGTAGGTCCTGGACACAGACTGTGTGGGTGCTCCACCTGCTTTTTTGATTCATGTAGGTGCAGCAGAGCAAAGTGCAAAAGGGTTGGTCGAAGTGGAATGTAGGTCAGTGATTGATAAATACACTGTAATAACAAGAGCTCAACAAAAGGAAAGACTCATCTTCAGGAAATGATGGTCTAAACATTAAACAGTTACAATGAAGATAGAAACACATCATTAAAAAATGCCCTGTCTCACATCACATCATCAAATTTAAATTTGTTACAGCATCGTAATGCGCTTCAAGATAAAACACAAAATGGGTTGTCAAAGAGGCTGTGATGCACAAGATTAATGTGGCCCTGTGATCACACGTCTCCAACATACACTCCCAGAATGCTGAGTTACAAAGGACCCGTCTGATTCTTTTTGATTTAAATAGCTCCAAATCATAACCAACAACAGACATGGTGAAGCCCCTTACAGCACTGCTTTGGGAGTGCTGTGCTGGTTTTGAAAGCGCTGCTTTGCTGATGAAATACCAGCAGAATATAGTGGGAATGTAGCCAAATGAGGTTGTGAACCTATTCTTAACTTATTAACTTAACATGCCAGCTATTACTTTTGGAGACGACTGCAGAGATTTAATGAACTTTTCACACGGTATAAAGCAGCTGGGGACAACAGATACTTTTAATAATCACTGGTGTTAATTATAGATAAAGGCAGACTGTTCTACCAGCATTATGCCTAAACCACATTAAACATGGATTTTTGATGTCTGTTCAAACACATCTACTGATTGGAGGGTGTTCATTTGAAATAGTTTATTTATATTTTAAGGAGTATTCCATCAATGCTGCACATTTACTCCAAGTTTATAGTTTGCTCCTATTGGTACTATCACTAAAGTTGTGGGGAAGTGATGTTGCCCTAGAGAGAGCTGTAGATGACGTCTGATATGCAATTTCCACCAAAATATAATTTTGCATTACAAAGTCTAAATTTGCCTTCTCCTGTGACAGAGTGTGGTGGTGGGCCAGATGCTATGATGGTGCTGCTGGCAGTGGTCGGCAGCATCCTGCTGGTGGGTGTGGTGCTGCTGGCTGTCTGGAAGTTGGCAATCACCGTTCATGACCGGCGAGAGTTTGCACGATTCCAGAGCGCACGCTCACGTGCCCGATATGAGATGGTAGGGATGAGTCACCTGTAAAATGTTTTTGTATAGTTTACTGTATCTATTAGCACCAAACTTGTAAAACTGATACATTTGGTTGAAAGTTAAAGACGCGCAATAATGATATCTTGACTGATAATGTTTTTAAGATTACTTTTTGGGCAGTAGTAGGGAATTGTGGCGTTGAAAGCTTATTTTTTGCCAGTGTGTAACTTGTGTTTTTGTCTTTCCCACCCTCAGGCCTCCAACCCCCTGTACAAGCAGCCTGTCTCTACACATTTTGTAGAAACAGATTTCAACATGTATGGAAAGTCGTACAACGGAGGGGTCCACTGATCCCTCAGCACAGGGCACGGCAGGACCGGTCCAACGAACAGATCCCTGAAGGACGGGGCTGAGGTGGACTGAACACACTCATCCCCCTGCATGGTTCACACCTGATGTGAGAAGTGAAAAGAGCTAGACTGTGTCTGAGGGGGGAATCTGTAGCCTTATTATCTTTTCGGAGGAGATTCAAGCCTACCACACAGACATGATGGGACTTCTTTTTTTGTGTGTTTCACTGACCGCAGCAGCAGTCGGTGGAGGAGCAATGAAGCGTGAACTCCTTGTTTAGAGAGAGTGAGAGAAAGAGAGAGTAGAGTTAGCGGTGAGTTTGTCTGCAGTTACACAAGATAAGCAAACTCTCGTGAAAACCATAACTCCAAACACATAAACCCACCACTCATTCTTTGTACAGAGCAGACAGGTCATTGGCTTATATTTGTATATTTTTATAAACACTAAAAATGCTTTTTTTCCCTCAGTATAAACTATGCACCCAACGGGACTCTGAACAATTTGAATTTCACTCTGCAACAGATAATTTCAAATTTGCAGCATCATTAAAAAGCACATATTTCTGAAGGTGGCTATGATTGTGGTACAACTAACATGTACTAAGCAATAGACTTTTTACCTTCATTTTGCACAGAAGATATTAAGAGTCAAATCTCGTAAAGAGTTGCATTTTATTTTATGGTGTGTGTGTGTGTGTGTGTGTGTGTTATTGTATGCTCCAGTTGCACTCCCTTCTCTATATTAATTCAAACATTACCAGTTTAACTATTATTATTCTATTTTCATAATGGATTTATCATGCAAGACTTATTTTTGTCTCTTTTTTTTTTATAAAACACCAAATATTCTCTAGTTCCAGTCGGAGTCGGCGCCAATATTTGCTGCTTTTCCCTGCTTTATGTCTTTACAAATTCAATATTTGAATTTTGAAAATTTGGACAAAACAAGCACTCTGAAGTTGTCACCTTGGGCATTAGGAAATTGTGACAGGCATTTTTATTTTTTATGATTTTCAGACATTTTGTTGACCAAACTATCAATCAAGAAAATAAATGGTAGATGAATCTGTAATGAAAATATATATTTTTAAGTTTGAATAAGTTTTTGGACAACAATGGAGCTCTGTGGCACAGAGGAACAAGATATATGAGGCTTTAGATACACAGAATATACTTGTTGGTAGCATGAATTCATTGTTGGTTTTTGTCTTTTCGTTGAATTAGTTGACAATAAGAAAAATATGAAATACCAGCAGCCTCTGAAACCTTAACAACACCTCAGAATCGGAAACGACTCCACTCATATAAGCATTCTTATATGATGATAAAATTGACTTGTTACATTCATGATCATTGGCGATGAGTAGATCACCACTAATTTGGAATACTAACACATGCAGTACTTTGAGTAAAATGTGGATTTGGGTATACACTATGACTGGCTGCTACTTTATAAAGTCCCTACGATGCTGTGTCCACCCTGCCTGTGCCGGGAGTGGGTGGAAACCTCAAAGGATAGTGTCCCAGAGTCATAAATCCACCATCACTGTTCCCACAGGAAGAGGCGGTGTCTGAGCTGTCACAGGGGAATCTGACAGTGAGAAATGCTAGATGGCTGAAGGGTGCTCTGTGGCCTTTTTTATTTTTTTGGTCTTACAGTAAAAGTAGCAGGGATTTGGAGTTTGGATGTGTGTGAGTGTGTTTGAGTGAAAAGAGTTTATGTAAATAATAATAACACATGGGTATGTATGCACATACAGTGCCAAAAGAAAATGTTCTCATTTGTGGAGTTTTGACTTGGCTTGGCTGTGTGTCTCTGCACAGTTTACTAAAAACTCATGCACCCACACCTTTTTCAGCACAAAATACATAAATCTGTAGTATAAAGTTGTTCCTGTACAGTTGTGAACATTTTCACATGGATGAACTGTCCACAAAAGGACTCACCCCACTACATGTTTATGTAATACTGCGCACAGAGCAAGAAACAATAAATTTGCTTTTGTCAGAAGCCAGTGAGTCTGTTGTGTTTGGGTCAATCGTACATTACATACTTACAACGGCGTTGGAAGGAGTGGCATAAATCTGAGATCTAATTTCAAACATCGCACATAACTCTGCATGTGTGTATGTGTATGCACACTTCAAAGTTTAGTAAAACATCTGTTTGGACCACTAACCATGTATTTACATGTCTGATGTGTGATCACACAGACAGGGAGGCTGGTCTTATGTGTCGTCTTACGCTGTAATTTACACCTCCCTGGTTAGACCCCTCCCAGATACGATGATCATTATGTTGCTGAAGCTTTACCAAAATGACCCTATTATTATGTATTCAATCACTTACTTCAAACGTTGTCATTTTAAAGCACCGTAACTCTATGAGCTCGTTGTTGGATTAATATTACTTGCAAATATGTGTGGAGGGTTATGAAACAGTATCGCAATAAGTTTAGAGACATTTAGAGATTCTTGTACACACCACAAATCTGTGTACGCATGTAGGCTATACTGAATGAAATACAGTTTCACACACTTACAAATAACATTACTGCCTAACATGTTGCTGTTCCTTCTTAAGGTGAGCTCATAAATCTCGGGACCTTCCTCCCTCTCTCTCCCCCTGACCGGGTGAGCACAGTGACATACTTGTGAAGCCTCAGGTTGAATCTGGATTGGGGTTGGCAAGTGCACAAAAACAAGCGAGTCTACAGAGGAAAGTTACCCCCTTAACGGTTTGACATTGATGATCGAAGACTAATTATGGCTGTACCAAGCAGAGGTCTGACCCTCATTAACGGAATCAATGTCCTAATTAGCTGTTGCTGAAGCAGCCCAACACAGAGCTCAAGGGGGATGATGGAACATTGATTTTAGACGAGGTCTCTGCTAGGTACATGTTTATGTTTTAGGAAACCAGACGTAGATTTACTGCAAACAGAACTTTTCCAGACACACTTCATATTTGTATTTCTTCCACAGTGGTTCATGCTTTACTCAGAGCTTTCACCGCATTTTGGGGAATTCTCTAAATGGTCCATTTATGTGTATACTAAGATGACATTTTACTGGTGAATCTCCTGCATAGTTCAACTAATATGGACTGCTACATCCTTTGTGACATACAGATCTGACTGGTTATGCCGTGATTCAAAGATCCTATAAATTCATACTAGAAACATTTTTCCCTGATGTTTAATGATATTTAAAACAACATAGTCTTTGTAACGTTATGGGTTTTTTTTCACATCCTTTAGGTCTGTGGTTTATTACTAACGATTCCCCCCTCAATGTAAAAGAAAAAAATGATGGGTGCAAATTTTAGAACAGAACTTCCAGTGCTTTTGTATATCACATCTATTTACTTAATATTGCAGATGCTTTCACAGTTAGGTAAAAGTTACCTCATAATGTGTTCTGAGGGTTATTTCAGCCACGCAAGCAGCATTACTCAAGGAATGTCAGTCAGTTGGCCAGTCCACGACTTTGACAAACATCTCGTAGATGGATTTCCATGACATTTTCTACAGGCAGTCGTGGTTCTCAGTGGCTGAATCCCACTGACTTTGGTGACTTTCAGCATGTTTTTCTTTTTATCTCATCTGTTGGATGGATTGACATGGTACACAATCACGTCCCTAAAAGGACCATCAGGTCACATTTTAAATTTCCAGTGCTGCCAATATGTTGATGTTAGCATTTATTTCAATGTCTGCGTGCTTACTTCATCCTGTGCAAGCTGTCTTATAAATAGACGGGCAGCTGAGCTCATACTTTCTTGTCCTCGCCATCTCACACTTCACACCCGTCTGAGAAAAGCTTTTCCGTTGGAGAAGCTGTTTCTGACTTCTGGACACTTTTCTCTTCCTTTATTTGGCTTCTTCCCTAAATCTCCTCTACCAAACTTCTGCTTTATTTCCTCAACACAGCATCTTTCTATTCACACTGCATTTTAAGAATCATTTCCCTCTTTCAGTTCTTCTCAGCCTAACAGCTGTGCTACTTGGAGAAATTGAAAATGAGGCCACACCTCGCTGTACTGTGTGTAGATGTACCTACTGTACTCTCATTAGCTGTTTCCAGCAGGCACTGTAACTGCAAGAGGCAATTATGGCATAATGATAAATGCTAAAATGTAATGTACTAGTTGCTAGAGGAGAGGAGAGTCACAAAGTTGACGAACTGACTCAGTAATGTCAGTTACACAGAAATATCCATTGTAACGGGAATTCCATGAGTACCATCTCCAAACACAGTTATGTAATTAATGTTACTCACTGAGGGCCTCTGGTTTATCGGGTGCAGGGTCAATGGGAGGCAAATGTGTGTGATGCTTTACGATGTGTCCAGCGGGTCATGTCTTTTCTTGTTTTACAACATGTACCTGGCTGTACTAGGGCATGATTGTCTTTCCGATAGATTTTGATTGCGTGTCCTCCAGAGGACCTCTTAAAGGCAACATGTTCCAGTGGTAAGATAGTGCTGACCCTGAGATGAGGATAAAAGCTGCATGTGCAGAGACACTTCAGCTCACTTGGATGATACTCTGATGCGTGTGTCTCCCAGTGAGTTCCTGCTGCAGAAGACTTGAATAAAATGCACAGAAAGACAAGTCTTTGCCTAAGCTGTTTATCTGAAAACTCGAATTGGCATCACAACCACCTAAAGTTTGCTAATAGCGTAACTACTCAACGAAATAAGGCTACAACAGCTGAGCTCCTGAGTATAGCCTACTGAGCTGAAAAAAGGTTTGTTTTATTGCTTAATAATTTAATTCAACATTTGTAAGAGGACATAAGATAAGATAGAACTTTATTTATCCTGAGGGAAATTGTTGAATAGTGCCGCTTTAGGTTAAATAGAAGTATCAATGGTAAAATGCTCCATTTCGATTTAAAGTCCAGCATTTAATTTTTTTTGTTTCAGTTTCTGTGGCATAAGCTTTTTGAGGTTGCTATCGTAGCACCCAGTCATCAACCATTTCTTGCTTCTGGAGGTTGTTGCAGCCTTACAGCGTGTCTCGGCCAGGATGAAGAGGGTTTGGTAAGTATTTAAAATTTTAGTTCAGTAAAATTATTAGTATGAATGGTACCATGTGGAGTTTTCTTGTAAACAAACAAAGGTTGTGTTGACACTCACCACAACTCCCTATGCATACCCTTGAGGCAAAAGTGATGAATGTGTTTGCTTCCTCATAAAAGACTTGCATAGGCTTTTTTTTTTTTTTTTTTTTAAACATTTTATATTGCTATGTTGGGGCATTACTGCCACCTGTAGTTCAGTGGAGTAGTGTGAAACCATTGTCTGGGCTGGTTATCACTTCACACACATGCATGTGTTCAAACGGGGATCCACTTATAAAGAGCTCCATAGCGCTACTAGAGGTTAAAATAATTAGATTTAAAAAAATGAAAACAAAAGTTTTATCAATCTCTGATTTGGGGATTTTTAATTCTTTACATTTCAACCTCTACAGGTTGTTTTAAATCTTATGCATTTTTAGGATAGGGTTAACATTGCGTCACCGAGCGGACACAAAGCTGCTTCTCAAAGATTTTGAAAAGTCTTTGCAGATATGAGATTTATACTTGACAGCACCAATATTTAGATATGAGTATATTTTAGACGTTTGTGTTGTCTAGGAATCTAAAAGAGAGATGAGAGAACTAAGTCCTGGGATTACGTGGGGACTTCTTTAAACCCTATACTAGAAAGTCACCCAAAATAAAAAAAAAATGTGCAAAGTACCTACACCTCAAAACTGTACTAAAGTACAGGAAAGATACTATTTTGCTTTTGACAACATATGTTTTACTCCAAAATAGAAATGAAATAACACTTTCTAATCCAAGTTTATGGCAGGCTCACGGCGGTGGATGTTACCATAATCCAAAATTACAATTTGTTTATAAATGTGAGGATCTGTATGAAAATATAAAACGAATTTCACTTCTGTGCAGAAGTGTGTAACGGCCATTGAAGGCAGTTTGATGTATTGACCATTTCTAATGATTTATGTAACCCCTGAGTGACCCAGATCAGGATGTGGCGCTGAACATGTGGAGGAAAGGGACAAGTCATCTCATCACACTGTACTGCGCAGAGCTCATTGACAACGTGTAACTGCGATGAGATAACACGGACCCTGAAGCAGGATAAATAACGCACTCCCTGAGGCATCCTCACTTATTCGAGCATTCATGTACTCGGATGTCCATCAGCAGATGATTTAATAAACCTACAGAGAGACAAGTGTTTGCTTCAAGTTGTTTATTTCAACTCCCACCACAAGTGAAAATTAAGTACATGTACTCAAGAATTGTGCTTAAGTACAATTCTGAGGTACTTCTTAGATATTTATATTCATTTAAAGTAATAATAATCCATAATATAACACTGAGAGGGGCCGTTCCGCATAATGAGTACTTTTCATTTTCATACTTAAAGTACATTTTCCTGCTATTACTTCTGTTCTTTTACTTAAGAGAAATTATTAATGCAGTATTTTGACTTGAAATGGAGAATTTTTGCATTGCTGTATTGTTGCTTTAAAGATACTTCTTCTACCACTATTCCAGAGTTTTAAAGTAATCTGCTTTTACTGTTTGATGCATAAAATGCACTTTATAAATGGAGTTGCACTCATGAGCCTGTGACAGTCTCTGTCTGACATAAACTAAGGCTAAGTGTTAAATTAAGTGTTGTTCTCATTCAGCAAGCACAGACATCTGTTTCACTCCACACTGGGAGGAGGAAAAGGGAACTGCAACTCTGTTTTCCGCAGAGCTTCAACCTCTTTGTGATGTAAGTGGTTTGTGCAAACTGCGGTTTGGTTCCCAGGTCCGAGTGCCGAGACAATCCGGGGAATGGGAGATTTTTTCACGTGAACCCCAGAGAGTGCGACAGCAGCTCACCTGTCACTCGTCCTCGCTGTTGGGAGTCCACATGCTTCCATGAACTCAACACTGATGTGCTCTGACCCTCACACGCCTGCTCTCACAGAAACAACACATTCAGGCCGTGTGCATCACAAAAGCTCTGTGAACCGTGAAAAATAACAGAAAGTCACATTGTTTTGCTCTTTGACCTCTTGTTGCTGAATGCTGTTATTGTCAGTATGATCTGAGCGTTTATATGTACTAATGTTACTGTTATGTAACTGATATGTTTAATGTGATAGTATATTTTTATTTTAGGCATTAAAAAGCTTTGTTATGTTATACAATCTGAAAGGAAGTAGACAAAATAAAGGAACCACTGTAAATCTTCTGTTTGATGTTGCTGTCCCCAACATTACTTAGGTCCACATACTGCGCAGAGGATTATGAATAAATGTAAAATTACATTATCCTATTATGTAAACTGTATTCCCACTGAATTGTTGACTACTATTGTGATGTTTGGCCTGTATATTTTTATTAGTTTGGCAGCACAAGGTTGGATGCTGTAGCATTGCTTCTCCCTGTAAGACTATCAGGGCCTTTTTGCATGTTTTGAGCAGCTTAGTTCCATTGAAGGGGCGTGTTAATGCTACAGCATACAATGACAAAAGTGTGCTTCAAACTTTGTGGCAACAGTTTGGGAAATAACCTGTCCTATTTTATCATGACAAAAAAAAAAAAGTCAGGTATATAAAGAACTTGTGTACTTTTTCACAGTTTAGTGTGAACTTGGGTCCTGCACAAAGTCCTGACCTCAACCCCATCCAATGCCTTTGGGGTGAACTGGTTAGTCGACAGTGAGCCACATTATCACCCGACGTCAGTGTTGGACGTATGGCTGAATAGGAGCAAATCCCTGCAGCCAAGTTCCAACAGCTTGTTTGAAAGGCTTCAGAGAAGAGTGGAGGCTTTTATAGCAGCAGATTACTGCCCATTGTTTTCAAATAAGGTGTTCTACACTCACATATGGCTGTAATGTTTATAATATACTGTTGCTTTTACTTTTTTAGGGTTTGTGTATATAAATAGAGCGTATTTAGATCAATGCTTCAACAGCTGATTTGTTGTTGATGAGAGGCTCCACAGTATCCTGCCTTCTGCTGCCATCTACTGAATGGAAACATGTCAGTGAAGCTTGTGAATTTACCCCCATTCTCGTTTAGGAACTCCTGGGAAATGTACTGTTGTAAGAGCACAAATGTGTGCACAATGAAACATGTTTGGCTTGTTGATTATTACTGGTTGCCAGGGAGAACACAACAATAAGGGGTACGTTCTTTCTTGCCATGCTTTTCTTGAATCAGTGTTTTCTTTCATATCTGTATAAGTAAGATTATCAAGAGGCAACATCAACATTGACAGACAGCTATAAATTGTACTGAGTAAGGTGTATTTACTCAAGTATTGTTCTTCTACTTTACTTGAACATTTGAATTTTATGCTACTTTACCACGTTTGCTACACAGTTACTATACATATTACACATAAAAATGTATGATAAGCTTGTTAAACGCACAACCCATTGCCAAAGATGAAATCGGTGGCTCCCAACCTTGATGCTTGTGACCTCTTACAATAAAGCAGTGTCCTGGGGCCCCTTGTGATTTTTCAGATGTTTAGCATTACTACCAAAGAGACATTTCCCCTCTAAACTTCTCAGATGGTTTCACTGAAACAACTGTTATATTATTAAAATTATTAATATTTCACAAAAAAATTGTGAAGATTAAAGAAATGTAAAAACAAAAATACAAATTTGTGTGGCAGAACTTCCTCATCTTTCCTCATTAATCATCTCATGTTTATCTTGTGAACCTTTGAAGGGGCCCAACCCCTAGGTTGACAACTGACTACAGACTGCTGTTCCCGGAAAGTCACTCTCATTGAGTTATTTTCTCTTCTTGTGCACAGGATAGTCCCTATTCATCCTCTCATCAACGTTGTAAACACTTGGTTTCAACAGTGACTCGTTTTTTGCGACGTTTTATGTCGTTAACTAGCCTACATACCGCTTCACATTAACAAGTAGTTTTATTTTGAAAGTGTAACCGCATGTTGCACATATATTATTGCTCACTTGACCAGATGTTGCAGATGCAGACAATTATTGCTAACTTGACCACGGAGCCTTACACCTCCAAAAACGACGCCAAGGGGTCTAGACAATTTTAATGGGGCATAGCACATGGTAAAAAAAGTTGAAGTACAATTTGCTGATGATAGGCTACTTTTACTTAAGTAGGACTTTGAATCAAAGTAATTTACTTGTAATGGAGTATTTTCTTCATTGTTGTTCTGGTACTTTTATTAAAGGAACTGTGTACCAGCGACAGAAGATATCCTTGCGTATCAACCAGACTCTGTGTTTTAGGTTCAATCTGTGAACACCAGGAGCCGCCAGCACTCTCAAAAAGTAAAAGCTCCACTACATTTCATCACCTAGTGTGAGTGGTCATGGCAAAGGAAGTCCCATCAATAGTGGCAGTAGGTGAGGTATTCTTCATATTATCCAGACTCAACATGTTGTCAAGCAGCACCTGGCAGAGGCAGGACCCACAGCTGAGTTTGTTACAGGGCCATTGGGTTAGTCTGCATACTTCATCAATCCCCCTTCCACACGCTCTCTCTCACTCACTCTTTCCACTAAGTCCTATGAGCTAAAGAATTTTTGAATAATAAAGAACCATTCTTTTTTTTCATTTTCATTTTCATTTTGTGGCGAGAGGTTTTGGTCCTTATGGACCGCAGCCTCCTGCCAGAGGGGAGAGTCTGAAACAGTTTGTGTCCAGGGTGGAAGGAGTCAGCTGCAATCTTTCCTGCTCGCCTCAGAGTCCTCGAGGTGTACAGGTCCAGAAGAGAAGGAAGATTGCAGCCAATCACCTTCTCTGCAGAGCGAATGATACGCTGCAGCCTGTCCTTGTCCCTGGCAGTGGCAGCAGCGTACCAGATGGTGATGGAGGAGGTGAGGATGGACTCAATGATGGCGGTGTAGAAGTGCACCATCATTGTCTTTGGCAGGCTGAACTTCCTCAGCTGCCGCAGGAAGTACATCCTCTGCTGGGCCTTCTTGGTGAGGGAGGTGACGTTCAACTTGAGGTCCTGGGAGATGATGGTGCCCAGGAAGCGGAAGGAGTCCACAGTGGCGACGGGGGAGTCACACAGGATGATGGGGGAGGGTGGGGCTGGGCTATTCCTGAAATCCCCGACTATCTCCACTGTCTTCAGAGAGTTGAGCTCCAGACTGTTCTGGCTGCACCAGGTCACCAGATGGTCGATCTCCCACCTGTAGGCGGACTCATTCCCAAGCAAACCAACACTTAGATATTTGTGCTGAGTTGACATTACATGGCCAAATATACATCACCCAAACTATATGTGATTGTTGAACATCTCATTTATGTCTGAGAAGATTCTCAGTCATCCAGGTCATAGTTATCCAAAGAAGGTTAAAGTCAAGGGCAACTGGACTTGGTTGAAGATACTAGAAAAGGTTTCATCCCTCATCCAAAGGACTTCTTCAGTTCTCACTGGCTGTTGAGTCGTTCTGGCCGAGGCCAAGACTGAACGACCATCGTTGGCATCTTCATCTGAGGCCAATAGGTTACGTTTGTTGAGTTTCCTGGGAAGTGATGAAAGGACAGCATTGTAAGTGAGGGATAAGTGGTGGCGTAGACCCCCTCCTCTGTTCAATGACGGCTTCTCAACCCGGGTGTGGATTTTAACATTTAAAAGCCATGGGCATTACTCTGCTGGTACAACAGCCTGCATTCTTGTTGGAGGGGGTTGAGGCCAATCACGTTCTTCCAAACCAACCTAAAAGAAAAGATAATTTCTCTATTGAGCAGGATTTGTGCACAGGGAAAAACTCTATTTAAAACCAAGGTTATAATGGCTTTAATGGAAACGATGAGACCTCGCCCAAACCACCCTCATGTTCCTAATGACCTTGGTGATCCCTTAACTTAAATTCCTCTCACCATCAGCAGGCTGACATTTTTAATTCAGCATTACAGAATTACATTCTTTTAACTTTTCAGTAGATTTTTAAAAAGCAAGATAAGGGCAAAAGAAGAGGATGTTTTTATTAATTTAAAGTGACTAACATATTTTATAAACATTGATGAAGAATATTATTATGAAAAGTATGACTGGTGAAACCAAAGACATAGTTTATGGATGGATTTTCTACTAACCAATAGAAACAAGACATGATAGTCTAGTGTTGTTTCATTTGCAGGAGGGATTGACTGTGCTTGCATGAGTGCATGTGTGTCATAGACCACCAGACAGAGGAACAGCACCACCAGCAGCTCCAGTTTGACACATGCTAGTGCCAGGATGTTAAGTCATGGAAGCCGCTCAGTACAGCCCATGGAAATTAAAGAAAAAAACACAGTCCAGAAACAAAGACACTATTATCATCTGCAGCTCTCTCTCCACCCATCCAGTCTTTCCCCATCTGGGCCTGTTGTATTTGACATGCATGTGGAGGTAGTTCACAGTAACGGTCAGCCAGAGAGAGAGCCTGAACAATAAAACAAGCTCTGCTCCAGAAACGTGTTTGACATGTGTGGAGAGGATGTCACGTCATTTGGTAGTAATTACCGACCACATGCTACCCCCCCCCCAACGCTCACGGAAATTTTCCAGAATTTGTTTGTACTGCTGATGATTTCCAAATAGTTCAAGCACATTGGGACTTTAACAACCACACTAAAAGCTGACATCAACACAACACTGACATCACATATTACCTTCATGTTGATTGTCCGAACCTAGATATTTAAACACAGCTACAGAGCAACATTATCATTCATTTGAAATTGTGTTTCAGGCCACCTGATGAATGTTTTAACTCTCTTTTTGGTCTTTTTGGTCTCTTGAGCTGCGAAATGCTCCACTAAGTTCACAAGCTAGTCTCTAACTGTGTCTGTCTACTGTCAGTGTAGCTTTTTACAGCTTTTTCCCTAAAAACAACACTGTAAAGTTGAGGGACGTAAAAACAAAACACTTGGTAGAACTGAGGTGAACTGCAGAGCTAAGTGATAACTCTCTTCGGGTTAATTAACTATAAGCGACTTTCACATACTTACTCAGTTGATCTGATGTTAATCTAAAAATATTGGATTATAATTAATAATTGTTTATGAATAATGGAATGGACTACTGCTGCACTATTTAATTTTGAATTTTAAACCTTAATGTCAATTTGTACAGATGTTTTTGTCCTCTCCATTTAAACAAGATGCACCTCTTTGTTTCATATTAACTAACAATCTAAAATAAACCTATTCACCTAAAAGCAATGACAACAGTGAAATTAGTTTTAAATTAATGGTATATGCAAGAAACATCTCTTCTATGGGCCGTGTCAACATTATGCTGTCTTTAGTCCTATTTCTGAGCACAATTAATATGTTTGGGGTTTTTTTGCATTTATGACTGTCATGACAGACATGATGTCAGTAGTATAAATAATTTAGTGTATGTTTATTGTTGATTAATCATGATACAGACTACTTACTCCAAGCTGTGTAACCGGTTTGCCCTTGCTGTAGTTGTAGGATACATAGAAATGATGATGAATCTAGTATTAAAGTTGTAATATACAGTATGTCACAATTACTGAGACAGAATTTCCTTGTGTGGGTTTGAATGGGAGAGGCGCACTGAGAGTTAAGAAGGTACAGATCATTTCCTCCCAGACCTGGAACCAATTCAGGACAATTTTAACGTGTGTGTGTGTGTGTGTGTGTGTGTGGCCGGCAACATGAACCTGTGATTCTGAGAAAAGGAGATGTACACGCTGCCTCCTGGTTTCTAACTGCTATCCTATTGGTAACCCCACAGATCATGGACCCCTATTTTGTAGAACTCAGGCTGATCAAACATTTGGTATCAGATATAGCTTTGCTTAAAGTTATTAAAATAATAATGAAATTGTACAGCATCGTCATGTTTGGTTAACTAGTTCCTCAGGACCAGGATGTTAAGTTTATTGTGACAAAAACGGGACTTGATGATTTATGATACAAGTAAAATGAAAGTAGGAGCCACGCAAGGCTTTAGCAAATTGAGGTAACAGCTCAGTTTGCTAAAGCCTCGCTAATCATTGCATGTGAACACTGAATAGTTAGCCTGATTAAAAAAGTCCAAATGTCACAGCCACAGCTCTGACTCGTGTCTGTGTCCTGTGTTTGGGCCCACCCTGTAAACACTGTGACACCAAATCCGAAACAAATTGTACTTTGGGCTGCAGACAGGCTGGCCCTTTTTAAGTGCTTTATTTCCAAACTACTAGCAAACCGCAATCCCGAAGGTGTTGGTGGTGGTCTGCCCCATTATTGAAGCCGTGGGAGACACCTAACATCTGGAAAAACGTCCCACACAGTGTCGTGGACTGCAATGCCCCTGTGGCCTGTGTTGTTGAGCAACTGTGCTGACAGGACTCTGCAGGGAAGCAACGCCAATCCCTTTCTTCTAAAGCATAAACACAGCGCAAGAAATGATCCTGCATTCAAAACAAGGACTTAATTAAGCTGCAATATTAATATCAATTTTAGTGGTAGAAGGTAACTCAGTTTACTCAAGTATTCTTACGTACAATTATGAGGCAATTGATATTCCATGTAATACTTTATATATACTTGTATCAGAGTATTTCTACACTGTGTTGTTGAGTTCACTGATAGTTCATGAAGACAAAATATCACCCACTGTGCAGCTTCACTGGGTGTTTCTGACTCTTTTAGGTCATTGTTTTTGGGTTTATGAAACAATAACTGCTTTTTGTTCACTCTCACCGCTCTCCTCAACCCCATCTCTAGCAGCAGAAGGCTTACCATTCTTTAAATTTATTTATGTCAACTGTATGATTGTCTACGTTTAGCACCTTATCACCATAGCAAATTCCTTAAATGTGTAAAATGCTAATCAAGCTCTTTATGATTCTAAACAAAACAAGCTTTGTCAAACCCACTTTACACTGTCCGCCCAGAGTTAGCAACTCACAGCTAGCTAAGGAAACACACAAATCTAGCAGATAAAAAGATTCTCAGCCGTTGGTGGAGACCAAGACAGAGTTAAAAGGAGAGTGAATACTGGGTTAGGGTTACGTTCATCTGTGTCTTGCAAAACACCTAGTGTGTTCAGAGCAACTTGCATCTCTCTGACTGGATGGCGCTTAATACCTCTGTGATTTAGTGTTTTTTAAGTTGGGAGACTGGCAAGAGTGTGGGCGGCTTTGATTTAGGGGGTAGAGTGGTCAGCCACTTATAAGAAGGTCAGTGGTTCGATTCCCGGCTCCCCTTCTGTCGAAGTGTCCTTGGGCAATGCACTGAACCCCAATGGGACGTGTGAATGTGTATGAATGAGTTAATTTCCATTTCTGTTGGGTAGTTGGCAACTTAGTCATCTGTTCATCAGTTTATGACTGTGTGTGAAAGGGAGGAATTGTGATGTAGTTTAAAGGAGACCTATTATACAGCCCTAGATTGTAGTTCTGTGACTCCTCTATGGTAGATTTGCATGATTCAAAATTCAAAAAAAGCAATTTTTTATCTTATACTGGTCTTTCATGTAGGCCCTCATTTCAGCCTCTGTCTGAAACAAGCTGTAGATGCTCCTGTCTCTTTAAGGCTCCCACTCTCAAAGCCCACTGCCTTCTGATTGGCCATTGCCTTACATGTTTACCAGGTTGCTGCAGGGATGGGACTGCATGTTCCTTTGTGGGCATGACCAGCATTCTCTACTTGGAGCAAATTACCATATATGGAAATCCGGCTCGGAATGACATCCGAGCCCTTTTTAAAATAAAAAATAAAAGTTTAAAACAGAGCATTCAGAAAAGGGGGATATCTGAGGTTTTGGCTCATAGGGATTTCTTTTAAATACCTCATTATTTAAAGCATTGGTCATGTTTAACATGAACATCTGGCATTGTAACATTATAGATAGCCTATGCCAGAAAATATGAAAAAGCATAATAGGTCCCTTCCTCCCACCGTCCAAAGACATGCAGACTAAGTTAATTGGGGACTCTTAATTGTCCTTATGTGTGAGTGTGAGCTTGAGTGGTTGTTTGTCTATGTGTAGCCCTGTGATGGACTGGTGACCTATCCAGGGTGTACCCCGCCTTTTGCCCGATGTCAGCTGGGATTGGTTCCAGCCCCCCGCAACCCTGTACGCAGGATAAGTGGTTGACGATGGATGGATGGATGGATGGATAATAGGTCCCCTTTAAAATGCTTTGAGTGGTCGCAAATACTAGAAAAGCACTAAACAAAATACAGACAATTTACCAAGAGACACATTTAACAACACATTTGTGTGTCTTTCTACTTGGTTGGGAGGTTAAACTTCTGAAAGTTCACTAAAGCAGCTTTAAGTTACAGAAAATAAGTATTTGCAACATGGTCACAATTTAATCTAAAGGTACCCAAAGTGTGATGAGCAGTTGTTTTTCAAGTTAAATCATGGCTGTTTAAACATTTTTAATGTTCCTGCTGGTCTGCATGTTGGAGCTGACTGGTTCTGTCTGACATGTGAGAACTTTATATTGAACCTTTAATCTTTCAGATAACTTATGTGCTCCTCAACTGTTTGATCTACAACCTCCCTCTCTGAAAGTAAAACAGGAATGCCTATTGTGTCATGAAGCTAAAGCAAGATCCAAAGAAGTTGACATTTCAGAATTACAAGACTGTTTTATGACCTTATGATGTAGCAAAAGTACCAATCTGGAGACCTCAGCCATAAGATGATAAATATAGTACAAAAAAACTAGACGTCTTGTAAATACTGAATTATGTGCCCAGTATTGTAGTTAATTAACCTGCAGCACTTGAGTAAAACCCAGTATATTCCCACCTCTGCTGGGAGGAAGCAGCAGTGTTTCGTATATAAAGCTAGCCAGCAGCAGTGAGCTCCTGGTAACATCTGGGGAGAGCAGCTGCGCACTGAGGGCTGCAGGATGCGCGTCTTCACTCTTCTGTGGATCCTCGGCTTCCTGCTGAAAGAGGCGCAGGCGTGGGGCTACAAAAACGGAATATTTCACAATTCCATATGGCTGGGTAAATAACTTCTTCTTTCTTTTTTACTGTTTTTACTGCCCGCAGCTCAACTTTGGCTTCTTTGTGGGCAAATTGTGATGAAGTTGAGAATCCAGTCGGGGCAAACGTTATCGAGTAATGACCGATTAGATTTATATAATCAGTGTGTCATATAACTCGTAGCTTATTTGGCTATAATAGTGTAGTCTGGACAGCAGTTCAACGTTATCAACCAGTGTTTTAACTGTTTTGTATTAATCTGATTTGTGCGTTTTGTGGCAATATATTTCTCTCTCCTCACATGTAATCAGCTACTTTTACCTGAAATTGTTTGGTGCCTGTTTTTTCTGCAAACACAGCAAAATAAAATATATTCCCACACGAAGGCATTTTGTGAAGAGTAACACGGATTAATAGGCAACACACAAGTCCAGCAGCTTTCTCTTGTGCCAAACTGCATGTTTATGACTTGGCTCAGTGCTGCATGAGCACAATAAACATGGAGAAATGACTTAATTTCAGAGCCTTCCAAAATATAAGCAGCTGAGATTCATAATAAAAGAGAGTTACTTTGGGAATTGAAGGGCTTTCACATTTTTGTAATCCTACAGAAATGACACCGGAGCTTTCAGTGTCTCCCCCTGTGTACTGAAATACAAATCAGACAAGCTGTTGAAGCTACCAGACATTCACCTCTTGACTCACTTTATGGACCCCATTATTTATGTTTTTACAAGGTGAGAGGGACAGAACAGTATTTCGTAGTGCTAATGAGCTTGCCTCCACATGCACAGCATTTTCTTTTAGTATTTCATGCAACTTCAGTCCTCTATTACATTTTAGTTTTTTTCTTTAACTTTTAGGAAGTGCTAATGTATGGCAGATTAAACTGCACTTTTCTCTCTGAAAGTCACTGAACACTATTTATACTGAGCGGCAAATGAGTGCCATTCAGAGCTGATCAGAGTGAAAAGGCACTGGGGTCCTGTAGCAGTGAGCAACAGAGTTTAATTAGTGTAAAAACAGGTTAAAAAGATCAAAATATCATATTGAGTCTAATGTCTGAGTGCTTTCTGCCTAGTTTGCAGTCATGCATGCGTAAAGCCAAAACAGGATCAGAAGAATACTCCCCATTGAGGAGGCCAGGGAGCAAGTGACCCAAATGTTGGTGAACTTCCAAAATGTAGAAAAATGTTAGCAGTTAGCCTGTCTCGTTCATGTTTTAGCTCAGTTTCCCCTTCACCTTCTCTTTAAAAACAATGCCACTTGCTTGGCTTTAGCCCCATGCACCTGTTTTAGGCCTAGCAAAACCTTTAATTGTACTAAGTGCTGTGCTAAAGCTTGGACACAAATCACGGAGGTTGCTGCAGACGGCGTCAGCACAAAAGCACAGACAAGCATTTCTCCCTTGGCTTTAGACAGTGCTTTTTTTTGTCTTTCTCTTTGACAGAACAAGCAGCTGGAGTTTACCATCGGGAATCGCGCAAAGGGAGATACCAGCTAACATATAAAGAGGCCAAGGCTGTCTGCAAATACGAGGGAGGGAAGCTGGCCACCTACAAACAGCTGGAGGCGGCTCGTCAAATAGGTCTGCGGCAACTCGCACACAATCTCATCAGCAATACACATGCGGAGTTCTTGGCAAAGAAGATTTACTCCAGGAAAAGTGCATGGATCATAACTCATCATAACTCGCTTGAGACAGAGTTTACCTTTCTTATCTCCCTGAAACAGATTAAATGGTGTAACAGCAGTGACACATCTGTAAACCCACGGATGCTTTTAACATGTAGGAAAAGAGGTTCCTATGTTCATAGGGGAAAGGTAATTTGGAAGCAGTTGAATGAAACACTTCTTTCCACGAGTGCTTTGCTTTTGCGTGACTGTGTTCCAAATTTTAAAAACAGTCCCATGAGCATTGCAAAGGCCTGTTAACACTGTCTTGGGTGGGTTTATATTGCTGTTCCCTCAGCACGGAGATTGAATCCAGCCACTCGCTCTGGCATTATGTTGCACCTCCCCGTCAGCTTTCCCCACAGCAGAGTACCTGGGAGGTCCAACCTTTTATCTGGGCTGTTGTGGCTGGGGTCTGCTGATTGTAACTCTAAGCTAAAACCTGAGGCCCCTCCAAATAAGAAAAACAACCAAATAGCAAACAAAAAAAACCTTGTTACTGCGATGCAGGTTTTTTCTTTTGTAATGTATTTGTATAGCACTTTTCTAGGACCACTCAAAGTGCTTTTACACTACATCTGCACTCACTCCCTGTTGGTGGAGTTGAAAAAAGACTGTGGTTGTCAGAATACAGTAGTTTTTCATTAGTGAATGAGTTTTGTTGCATAAAACCAATATTTTTTCTTGTTCAGGTTTCCATGTGTGTGCAGCTGGATGGTTTGACAAAGGACGTGTTGGCTACCCCATCATCAAAGCTGGTGCCAACTGTGGTTTTGGGAAGGTTGGCATCGTCGACTACGGCTACAGGCTGAACAAAAGTGAGAGATGGGATGTGTACTGCTACAACCCACACTGTGAGTACATGTTTTAAACAGAGTATTAAACTGTGGCTTAAGCACAGAGGTGCAAAGCACATTCACTTAAGTACTGTGCCTGAAGCTGCACTACTAATGTGTGTAATGTGAAAGAGGTCTCTCGTAGTGACAAACCCACAGATCACAAAGAATTATCACTTGACTCCGCAGTTCCCCCTCAGCTCTACAGAGCTTTCTGCTGATTGTTCTGGTTCTCTGGTCCTCAAATGTGCTGTTTGGTTCAGTCTCACCACTCTCATAGCATTGTTTTTGGACACAGCTTGCAGCAGTTTTCAGCAAAAGAGCTCTGAAAGGAAATCAACTGTAGCTACCTGTACCTGCTCACATTTTTCAGGTGGCCAGATACACAACTGTCAAAGCTAATGTTGCTTGTGTCTGCTGAATGTGTAAATAGTTCATTGTTGGGTAAAACATTCGTCATAGCAAACTGAAATTTAGAAAATAATATTGAAAAGTCAATGTTGTGTTTATATGTTTGCAGCCATCTGTAATTTCCCTGTTTTGTACAACTTACTCCACTTCATTACTTGACAGCTGTAGATTTGTAGATGGAGTTCTGACAGTCTGAAAATATAATAAACTCAAACTAAATGATGCATTGCCATTTATAACCCTGAGCGGGAGATTCTGCAACTTTTACCTGTGTTCAAATTGTGTCCACTAGGGGTTAGAAGAACTACAAATTAAGTAAGAGCTGACTGACACACCGCCCTGACCTTGCTTTACAAACTTGTTATGGCTAACGTGTCATAAAACAACCGTCAGTGAATTTGTAAATGCTCCGTACTTGTATAGCGCCTTTCTAGTCTTTTCGACCACTCAAAGCACTTTTTACACTACATTCACACACTGAGCCTAAGTGCTCAAACATTCACACACATTCATACACTGGCGGAACAGCCACCTGAGGCAATTCGGGGTTCAGTATCTTGCCCAAGGATACTTCGACACGCAGCCTGGAGGAGCCGGGGATTGAACCGCCGGGCAACCCGCTCCACCTCCTGAGCCACAGTTGCCCCTTGGAACCTTTATGCTGAAAATGGGGTTAATAAGAAAAATTTATTTTTTATGCCATAAAGCCAAAACAATTAGCTGCAAGACAACCAAAAAAAAAAACATTAAGACGTGGAGTTGGGTAATTATTCTCTATAGGTTCACGAATGACCGCTTTCACAATATATTTAGTTCAACTCTATTTTAAAAAATATATAAAAACTGTTTTAGACTGATTTAGTCTGAGGCTCCACAGACTCACTCAGGGTGCTTTCATCTCCACTGCTTCCACTCCAACGTGAGCGATAATATAGAGAGCCTAACCAGAGCAGGATGGCTCCACAGAGAGGAAGAGAAGACTTATTTTTGCCTTGACTCAAAGCCACAATCTCAGCACCACCCTGTGAGTTATCATGGTCAGACCAAGAATAAACCTGGAGGGAGTGAGAGCAGTCTGGATAAGATGTCAGTGAGTAACTGAGCAAGTGATAACAAACACACAGGCTGGCCTATGAGTGAGATCATGAGTAAAAACCACCAAGCCTGAATGATTCACCAGAGTCACAAAGAGTCAAACTTTAATGCATTTCACAATGTGCTTGATTCATTCAGTATTAAATCATAAACAACGCTCACAACGCATGTTTCTATTCCTGTTTAAAGTCCCATGTTTTGAAATAATGCCCGGCCAATTTGAGATTTTTTAGGCTGAAAAAAAAAAAAAAAGTATTTGAGAGAAAAACTGCCTGATTTCAATACACTTTCCTCAAGTGCAGCGCTCCTGGATCTATCCGGTACACACAGAAACACAAAGGGTAACGACTGAAACAAAACATTTTTTAGTTTTTTCTGCCTCCTAGTGGCAAAAAATTACTCATCGTGCAGAATCTCCCTTTCAATGTGTTGTAAATGTCAAAGCATCATATTATTTGAATTTATTATATGTTTAGTGTGTACAGCCTCAATACACAAAGCCACAGCTGTCAAGTAAATGTACAGTAGAAGTAGAAGTATAAAGTTGCGTTAAAGTTATACAAAGTGGCCACTTGATGGCAGCAAAAAAGATACGTAAACACAACATTGACATAATTTCACCTTCCAAAGATGTTAATGGCTAATGTGTTATCAAACATTTATACTGAATATATACGTAGAAACATTAGCTTCCACTTGAAGCCACAAATGTGAGAATGGGGACTCTTTAAGTGCTAAATGCTCCGTAATATCAGACTTTTTCTGATTTCCAAACAACCTATGTTTCATACTCAGTGGTGAGATTTTACAAGTATGAAGCATGAATTTCTTATATAACGTGTAAAGTTTACAATTATGTTATTCCTCATGTCAGTCTGCCGTGGAAGCCATCTCACTGTCTACAGCAGACATTTTGTCTGAATTGGACCCCAGTGATGGCTGTAAGATGACTTTATAATGATCTACAAATGAGAAATGATGTCAAACAGCATTACATTTCTTATCCCTCCAGGAGCTCTAGTGGGAAAGCTTTTGATGTCATTGTCACTAGTCTCAACATGTGTGTTTGATTTCCTTAACTCAATAAAAGGTATACTTTTTCCTATTATGAATTCATTTGGAGCTCACACGCAAAAGACAGACCCCCAAACCAAAATGCTTCACAAGAACAGATGCTCAATCCCACCAGCTACTTAAAGGAATACACTGTGTGAAGTTTCAAATGGCCATTTCACCTGAGAACACAGACACCAAATTTATCCACATGTTCTCAGTTGACAATGGTCCAGAGCTGCCTTTTTCTGTAGTTATATAAAATGTTTCACAAACAGAATATTAAATATATTGAAAACAGAATATTAAATATATAAGTCCATAGGCCAAGTCACATGAAATCTGATCTTTTGCATTTTGGAATTGGGCGACTTTCATATGTGGTCCAAAGTCGATACATATTGGATCTTTTTAAAAGCGACCTGCGTCTGGACACTCAGGTCGGAATTGATGCGACACTCTAGAGCAGCTGTTGTCACAGATCTGCTGTAGACGGAGCCGAGGTGAATAAAAAAGCTCCACAAAAGCCATTATTAAACATGTAGCTCTCTTTCTCCTCTACCTCGCTATCATCTGCCCACAAATTCCCTTTCTTACACCTGAAAACCACCAGACCGCGAGCTTTTTAAGTTACGTACATGCTACTTGTCCGAGCAGACGCAGTAGAGCAAGAGAGAGAGAGAGAGAAAGAGAGAGAAAGGGATTGTAATGTTAGAGGACAATGAAAAATGGGAGTCTCCTGTGGAGACCCCTGTGGAGGGTTAGCAAGTCACTTTCAGGCCAGGGACAGTTCACACTAGAGTCTGATATGGGCTGCATTTCCTAACATTGCATTTCATAGAGTTCAGATTTAGAGCTGCTGTGTCTTCTATTTGTCACATTTCAGATAATGCCTACAATCATTCAACACAGTTATCAGCTGTTGTGTAAATTAATCTACCTCTTCCATTCTGGCCAAGTCTGTCCAAGAGATAACAACACACAAGAGACTTCCCACTAAACATAAAACTTAACGTAACATTTGCAGGTGCTATGCCGAACTATGGGCCGTCCAAACACTTTTGTCCTTTTAGTGGAGTGTTCCAATAAAGTCTTCTAATCAAATATCAGTAAAGCTGCTGCATTGATAGCTCATGCGCCATCACTTCTGTAATCTAAAGTCCAAAAGTCTAATATTTCCTCAATTATCTCCTAATTTTTTTGCAGCTGTACTAGGTTTGAGCCTGTGCAAGAGATACAGCAATGACAAAAACGTGTGCAGTACCTCTGTTTTAAGTTACAAAATGCCTTTTGTAGTTAGACAGAATCTCTGAATGATCTTGGAGGATGCAATAGATGTTTATGGAATTAGGTAATTTAACATTTTCATGACAATCAAAGACTATGATCTACCTTCATCTACAATATGTGGCTATTTTGTGGTAATTTTCCAATCTGTTGTCATGACAAGTTCTGGTGCATAGAAACTATTCAGCCTAGTTAATTAAGTGTTTGCTAGAAATGTTTCAAATATCAGTAACTTAACATCCTGAACCTATGTTTAAGAAACTCTGCATTAAAAAACATATTTGAGAAGACTAATCACTGCATGTTATTCACTTGTCTTACAGCCAAGGAGTGTGGTGGGGTGCTGACAGATCAGCAGAAGATCATTCAGTCTCCTGGCTTCCCTGAGAAGTATCAGGACGAACAGATCTGCTACTGGCACATCCGTGTGCGCCTGGGCCAGAGGATCCGCCTCCGCTTCCTGGAGTTTGACGTGGAGGACGACGCATCGTGTCTGGCGGATTACCTGGATGTGTACGACAGCTATGATGACGTCTCAGGCTTTGCTGGGAGGTGAGGATCAAAACTTTATAATTCCAAAACCTTTATAGAACTGAAAAAAGGTCTTCATTGGGCAGATGGCAGCATGCTGAAGGGCAAGTTATATATATGCATTAAACTGATTACATAATACTGATGTAATGTAAAGATATATATATAATATATACAATCACCTAAAGGATTATTAGGAACACCTGTTCAATTTCTCATTAATGCAATTATCTAATCAACCAATCACATGGCAGTTGCTTCAATGCATTTAGGGGTGTGGTCCTGGTCTAGACAATCTCCTGAACTCCAAACTGAATGTCAGAATGGGAAAGAAAAGTGATTTAAGCAATTTTGAGCGTGGCATGGTTGTTGGTGCCAGACGGGCCGGTCTGAGTATTTCACAATCTGCTCAGTTACTGGGATTTTCACACACAACCATTTCTAGGGTTTACAAAGAATGGTTTGAAAAGGGAAAAACATCCAGTATGCGGCAGTCCTGTGGGCGAAAATGCCTTGTTGATGCTAGAGGTCAGAGGAGAATGGGCCGGCTGATTCAAGCTGATAGAAGAGCAACTTTGACTGAAATAACCACTTGTTACAACCGAGGTATGCGGCAAAGCATTTGTGAAGCCACAACACGCACAACCTTGAGGCGGATGGGCTACAACAGCAGAGGACCCCACCAGGTACCACTCATCTCCACTACAAATAGGAAAAAGAGGCTACAATTTGCAAGAGCTCACCAAAATTGGACAGTTGAAGACTGGAAAAATGTTGCCTGGTCTGATGAGTCTCGATTTCTGTTGAGACATTCAGATGGTAGAGTCAGAATTTGGCGTAAACAGAATGAGAACATGGATCCATCATGCCTTGTTACCACTGTGCAGGCTGGTGGTGGTGGTGTAATGGTGTGGGGGATGTTTTCTTGGCACACTTTAGGCCCCTTAGTGCCAATTGGGCATCGTTTAAATGCCACGGCCTACCTGAGCATTGTTTCTGACCATGTCCATCCCTTTATGGCCACCATGTACCCATCCTCTGATGGCTACTTCCAGCAGGATAATGCACCATGTGAATCATTTCAAATTGGTTTCTTGAACATGACAATGAGTTCACTGTACTAAAATGGCCCCCACAGTCACCAGATCTCAACCCAATAGAGCATCTTTGGGATGTGGTGGAACGGGAGCTTCGTGCCCTGGATGTGCATCCCACAAATCTCCATCAACTGCAAGATGCTATCCTATCAATATGGGCCAACATTTCTAAAGAATGCTTTCAGCACCTTGTTGAATCAATGCTACGTAGAATTAAGGCAGTTCTGAAGGCGAAAGGGGGTCAAACACAGTATTAGTATGGTGTTCCTAATAATCCTTTAGGTGAGTGTATTATTCAAGATACATTATCGAAAATCAAATTGTTGTAAAAATAGTTAAATAAATCACAAATAAGATTTAAAGAATATATTTGAATATATTCCAAACAATCTCTTTAAATGAGGTATACACCATAATATGACCACGTTGTACAAGTTTACATAGACTCCACTGTAAGTATAGCGTGAGTTTTTTTTGTTATGGTTTACTTCTTACAATCAGAGAAAGACCAGGTATAACTGCTAAGTATACCCATATAATTTTATACTGTAGTCTGTACTGCATTGCTCATTACAATCATATAACATGTTGACATGTGAAGTAGGCCTAAAGCTTCGACCAGTAATTTAAGGATAAATCTAAATCAGGGTACACCATGAACAGCTTATTTTTTAGGGTCCAAAATCCAGAATTAATGTACTGGAAGTGTACCACCAGAGATTTTGACATGTTACAGTAGCAACACAGGTGTAGATGGTAAAAAAAATAAATGATGGTTGAATTAAATTTAGCTGCTTTAGTTTCAGGGTCCTAGTATTGAACATGTTGACTCACTGTCACACTGTCATTGCTTACTGGAACACTTTAAATGAACAGAGCCATCGTTAATGTTACTAGTAACACCTGTGCTTTTCCTACCTTGACTGTTAAATTCCCAGAAATGAGTTAATTAAGTTACTAAATTACATATTTCCTTACAGATAAGTTCATGGAAATTACTGGACAGCACCATAAAATAAACATTACCTGCTAAATCACTGCATGTTAAACTGTGGGTAATAACAGCAACAGGGACCTAACTAATCTAACCCTATGTAGCATTTCCACGTTGACATAAGCTTAAACATTTATATTACTATGCACAATCTAAGCAGTTCAGAACTAACTCAAGCAGGTGACCGGGTCACCTTCAAGAGGCCAGTTAAAGAACCAGGTGTCTAATTGGGACTAGCATTTTTACAGTATTAAAAAAAAGGATATCAGTAAGCTATAAACCCACCGTGTAGGAACATCAGTGCAACTCCTGTTGTTTTTCTGCAAGGGGACAGTCATGCATTAGTGCATAGTTCTCAGACATGATCACTGACACTCTCACAGTCATGTGTATTTAATATGTGTGTTTACCAGGGCTGCAACTAGCCAACCCATCAAATAACAATTTAGTCTATAAAACGTAACAAAATAGCAAATATGCCAATATGCATAAGTTGCCAGAGCCCAATGTAATGTTTTCAGATTGCTTGTTTTTGCCTGACCTCCAGTCCAAACCCCAAAGATATTAAATTTTCTATTGATTTAAAATAGAGAAAAGCAGTCAATCTTCACATTTGAGGACCTGGTAAAGAAAATGTTTGCCATTTTTGTTCAATAAACGCGAATATCAGAATTGTTTGGGAATGATTTTGTTGCTGACCAACTAAATGATTCATCGACTAATTGCTCAAGCACTCTAACAGTGCCAAGCCGAAAGGTAGAAATGTTTGTGAATACGTTATGTGTTTGAACTGAACAGAATGAGACATGAAAGATTGATCTTTGTTTAATCTGTTTATAGATTCTGTGGCGATTATTTACCTGAAGATATCATCAGTACAGGTGAGGTCCTCATAATTCCCTATAAGAAGCATTCAGTGTTTCAGTGATGGATCTCTTGATTATCAAAACATTGACATTTTTCTCTAATGTTTTGTTTTACAGGAAACGTCATGACTCTGAAGTTCCTCTCTGATGCTTCAGTTACAGCCGGGGGCTTCCAGTTACAATATACTGCCTTAGATGCACCTCTGTTTTCACACAATTACACCCACTTTTTCGACTGATCAATGCTTTGATCCTGTTACTGTATTTAAAGTTATTGGTTACCTCATGTACTGTAATTAATACGTCTTTATAGCTTATTCTGTCAAATAAACAAGTTCATTAAATTGTGTTGTTCCTAACTTTGTTTTCACCTGTCCTGATGCTTAATTTATAGAAAACTAAACTGGTTTCTGTTTTTTCCAATTACATAAACTTTCACACTGCGAAGCATTTGCACAGCCAACTACGGTATTGATCATGGTGTTGGGTTATCATTGTTGCTTCTTTGTTGTGTCTCATTTCTACATATTTTATGACCCATCACTGACTTTTATACACACAACTTTTAAATAAAAACCTACACACTGTACTCATGGACTGAGAATTTGGGCTCATACCTCATTTATTTCACAGGCCTGAGGAGTAGTAATTTTAGTAAGTCATCTTGTATCCTGAACGTGTAATGAAAAACAAAGGGGCGGATACATTAGAGGTCTCCTGGCAGATGAGCAAATAACCATGCTGAAAATATAATGTCCAAAGGTTATGTTTTTCCCCACTGAGCTCATAGTTGGAGGAGACTTTTTTGATTCAGTTGAAGATGGTTCCTCCTCTGCAGCCAAACCCTTTACAGCAAGAGCTCTGATAAAAGAAGTCACAGATCCTAATTTATAAAAAAATACTAATAAGAAGCATTTCATTTCTAACTGACACAGTCTGATCCCGTATTTTAGTATGAAATTACACTCCAATTATCAGAGATGATTTAAGTCTGCAGGGCTGCAAGGATTAATTAATTAATTTACAGAGATCTTTCATTTTTTTAATCAAAAACATCACATGTTATCTGGTTGCAGTCTATCAAATGTGAGGATTTATTTCTTTGTTTTATGTAAACTAAATATATTAGGGGTTATGGGGTCGTTTGTTGGACGAAAAAAGATATTTGAGGATGTAATTTTGAGCTTGTGGGTAAAGCACTATGATTTGCTTTGTTGTTATTATTGTTATATATTATTTATTATAATGGTTATACCTTTTATTGGAAATATCATCGGCATAACGCCGTCAGCTGGCTTGTTTTACTTATAAGGCTGAATGGGCGGTACTATGCGTGACGTACGCCGGATCAAACGTCATTTTGTACGTCTGCGTGGTGGTTTGGCGCCAGCAATTTCGCGGGGCAGCAGCAGCAGCACAAGAGAAGAAGGAAGCTAAAATATTAAACATATAAAAACTGGGGTCCAGAGTTACAAACACCACAAAGTGAAGAAGACGGCCGGTGTGCGCTGGTCTTCATGGTGTGTTTGTGTCATTTCTGCGTCCTGCATTTCGTCCTGAACTCGGAGGTAAGCAGTCACGGTGTGTGTTTTTGTCAAACAAGTGTAAATATTTGTTCGTTAGGGTTGTTTATGTGCTTGTCGACGAGTCTAAATAAAGCCCCATGCCGCGGACAGGTGAGCCGCCAGGTGAGGCGGTGTCACCGCTGTGTGCAGCAGCCGCGGGGTCCAGTTGTGCGAGCTCGAAACTTTGCTCGACGTGCAGCCTGCTAGCGCTGCTAATCTGTTGGCGCTAGTGAACGTTAGCAGGCTGCGTGCTATTCCCACGCATGGTTCAGCGTTTTCTAACAAGATGCATTTAATGGTTTGGTCCCAGAGTCGTTACATTTCGTACTTTAAGACGTGTCGAGTGTGTTTAATAAGGTCACAGGGTGTTATTTACCGCAGGACACTGACAGACTTTGTTTTGGTTCCTCTGGGTGCCCGAGAGGAAGTTGCTAAACGGGACTTTTGGCCTCTGGTAGCATCCAGCAGTGTCACTCTGAGCGCTTGCATTGGCACCTAGTCCTAACATGTGCTCACACACATTTGTCCATTTGTCATAACCTTTGTCTTTATTTATCCCATTCTCTACAGCTCTGGATAGAGTGGAGGGTCAACGCAGCTTTACGTACATCTCACTGAGGTATGCCCTGCTTATTCCTATTCATTATGTAAAAAGCTATGAAGCAGTCCATGACATCTAACAGCTTATCAGATTTTTAAAGAGCAGTTTAAAGGACTTTTTAGAATAGTTTTCGAGTCTATGTTAATGCCACACTCACTCTGCATCTTGAAAATGTTATTGTGTCCTTACTGACTTAAGACTCCCATGGCTGACTCCGAATGCTGCAGCTTCATATTCGCTCAGATGAGCTTTATAATGCATTTTTCACAATGTACAGTAGTCCCTCTAGAAAGAGATCACTTCATTTAAAGCAAGGATAATTACAACAGTGTTTCTAAAGACTTATGCAAACAGTAGCATGTGAGGATTGTATTAAGACTTTGTTTCTCTTGAGAATGACCTTGTTCAGACTCTGCTCTTTCTCCCTATTTCCCAACATGGCTTCTGTTGTCACTTTTTCTAATCACCCCTTGCATTCAGCGTGTCTCCCTTCCTTTATTTTCATTTTTTAAGGCCTTGAGGAGGTGCGTAATAATGATGGCGACGGCGGAGCCTCCGAGCAGTTCAAGTCTCCTCCCACTGCTGGAGTCTCTTGAGGACAGCACAGCTGGGCAGTCAGAGCAGACAGACGCCTACCTCACCATCGCCAAGTACGTTACTAGTGCTCATCTTTGACTATCCTCCTGATATCTCAGGGGATGTGTTGAGACAGAGTGTCTCAGTTACAACTAGAATATGAGTAAGAAACAATTTATTTCTTTGTCCTGTCCAGTCGTCTCAGCGGAGAAGAAGGCCGCCAGTTTCTCCCTGCCATTGAAAAGCACTTTTCTCGTTTGGGTAAAGCCACTTTGGTGAGTCTTTTGTGCCTCATTATTACATATAAAGCTGGAGGAACTCAACATATTTATATTAAAGCTCTTGATATCTACTATTCTGTTGTCTCATGGTGTTTCCAGGCTCACATAACCAGTCCAAATGCAGAGCTGAGCCAAGCTGCCTTACAAGCTTTAGGCTTTTGTTTGTACCATTCTCACGTCGCCTCTGGAGTGTCTGGTATGTTACTGTTGTATAAAATAAGTAAATTATTTCAGATGTGAATGGATAAAATTCTATGGGAATGTAATTGCTGTTGAGGGTGATTATCGTCTTGTCTTCCAGAAACCTTTGCAGAGGAATTACTGTCCGCACTTTGCTCCTTGGTGATGAAATCAACAGACAAGAACACATGCACCAGAGCATTATGGGTCATCTCAAAACAGAACTTTCCTCCACATGTGGTTGCCAAAAAAGTGAGCATCAGCAGACATTTGAATCCTTAGAAATATGACTGGGCAGTGGTGGTTTTTAAGAGGTGTCATGATGGTGGTGTGTTGATCGACTTTGCTTCACTCTCTCAGGTGTCGTCTATACTGGGTGCGCTGGAGAGTGTGTGGAGTAGAGAGGATGTCCAGTCTGCGGTGATGGAGCATGAGGCCTTGAATGTTGTCATTAGGTAAAAAAACATCATATCATATTAATTCTTTGATGCGTGGGATTATTTCTATCTGCAAACAGGACATGAAGCAGATCTTGGGTGACTATAAATTCGCATAACAGTACAAATCTGATATACTATGTCAATTTGCCATTGAGATGTATGTATTTGCCTGTAATACATGATAGCATTCAGGATCATTCTGCGTCTTACGAGCATATGTATTATATGAATGTTTACATATGACATTGAATTGAAAATACAGGCCTTTTTACTCATGGATGTGAACATTGCCTGAAGAGCATCAGAAAACATTAATAACTTGGGTTTAGTTGTCTAGTTTTGTCTTTTCTGTACTGCAAGATCTATTAATGAGTTTGGCAGTGATGGGCTGCATTTCTGTTTACATGTGAATGTAGGTGTGTTAGCTAAAGTTTGTTTGTTCTGTCATTAGCTGTAGTTTTAACATCTGTCTCTTAATTCTGAAATATTTTAGGCATCAATTTATCTGATATTAGATAAACTTCACCAGTTGTTTGATTTTACCTTTTTACAGTTCTATTCAATACCTGCTGCAATCACAAGAATTCAGGCAGATGGCAAATTGCATATCATTGTAGTGAACCAGATCAGGATGGTACAATTTGGTGAGGAAGGCAGAATACCAGCAACTGTAACGGTAGATAGCATTGCTGGAAAGTTTAGTTTGTAAATTATTTTTTTAGTGTAGCATGGTGGGCTTAAGTTCTTTTATAACATTGCATCAGCATTATAACAACTGTACATGTTTATATTGGGATGTCCAGGCTGAAACAACATGCCGTTTAGCGTAATTTATCATTCTAGTCCATTTGTGTTGATTGCAAGTGCACATCTAAGTGCATCTAATTTCTCCTGGTATTTATAGGATGGTGGAGCAAGTACCGGTCCAGATGGGGGATGGAGCGGTGCGGTGGGCGAAGCTCGTCATTCCGCTGGTGGTCCACTCTGCCTCTAAGGTGCGTCTACGGGCCGCAGCAGCCGTGGAGATGGGCATGCCTCTTCTCCTGGAAAAACAGATGGACGTGGCTGCCATCATCGAACCAATGATGTCCTCAGTGAGTATCTGTGTGTCAGTAACAGTTCTTCAGTAGTAGTAAGGTGAAAAGCCCTGCACAAAAGTACTGGAAACATTCAGCCCCTGATCTTGTTTAATTAAATATGCACGATTCACATGCAGCAGTAAGTGCCAGCCTTCCTCGTATTGAACACCTGCCTTGACGATAAAGGAATTGAGCAGTGTAAATAACATTGCTGGTGTGCCTCTTTGTCTTCACAGAAACTGATACCAGAGCTCCAGAAGCTTTTCATGTCCAAGAATGAAACTAATGTCTTGAAGCTCTGGCCCTTATTTGTGAAATTGCTCGGAAAGGTAAAGTGTGTGTGTGTGTGTGTGTGTGTCAGCATGTTATTAGTAGATGAATGGAGGACTGATCGTGTGGCCCATATTGAAGAACAGTAATGTAGTGTCCATAAGGAATTGGAATTTGTAGTGAGGCACATTGGAGTTGACTTGATCTGCAACCTGATTTGAAAAGATGAAGATAAGCTTTAGTCCAGACTGTGATGTTCCCTGTGTGAGGTTTCCCAAGCATGAGGAACTGCCGACTATCGGATGTAAATATCCATATCTCATAAGTAATTTCATACGCAGTTACTGCACAGAGGAGGCCCCTTCATCAATTCTCTGCTGCATTTGGAGGAACTTGGTTTCCGCAGCTCTTCTCCTACCATCAAGAAGATTGCCTTCATTGCCTGGAAGAGCCTCATAGATAACTTTGCCCTGAATCCAGGTGAGCCTTCGACTCTCTAGCCCCAGTTGCTTTTGCTCCTGTTTCTGAACTCCCCACGGCTGAGTTTAATTTCATACATGTCTCTCCTGAAGACATCCTCTGCAGTAGCAAACGTATGAAGCTCCTGATGCAGCCCCTCACATCCATCCATGTCAGGACAGAGGCTCTGCTGCTCACCAAGGTGGAGGTCTGGTGGTACCTGGTGGTGCAACTTGGGCCCAACCTGTCACCCAACTTTGATCAGGTTAGACATGCCCCTCTTTCTCTCTCAACTATTGCAACATCTCACCAGTCCCAGCCAGTCTGCATAAGCAAAAACAAGACAAAGATCCCACCTTATGGCCATTATCTTAAGTACTGTTTTATATGCTTGTAGCCCCTCTGTACATGAGGGAGCTGCTGTTCCATGTCACCACACGGCGGAGTCCTAAGTAACATTATTACAGTTACTAATCAAAGTAACGCTGAGTTATTGCCTTACTGAACGCACTATGCTTAACTTGAATTCGCAGCAGGTCAGTGGCACCAGAGTTTGTTGTTCATGTCCGCTGAGATACAAAAACTAAAGGAAGACTGGAGAATGAGGGAGATAGGCATTCTCTCCACAGCTGTAAGTAGCTACTGCCATTATTCTGTCACAGTCTAAGTCTGTTGTAAACTCTGTGCGACCAGCAAAAAGCTTTCAACCGCGAACAATTCTACATTTAATTATTATTGAAGCAGCACAGCAACGTGAAAATCGCGGAAAGAAACTCCAGCAGCGACTGTCAGTGATGCTTGGACTCATCGGGAGAGAGTGGTGTTGACGTAACATTTTGTAAAAATACTGAATTGCTCTTATTAACAGGCTACATGTACAGAAAAACAGTAGTTTAAAAGTCGGGATTTACTTGCTTTAATTTTTTATTTCAGCTGGTGGTGTTGAACGTTTAAAAAGTCGGGAGAGACGGCTTTGTTTGGGGGAGGTAGTGAGAGCAGCGTGTTCAGTCTTAATATGCACACATTTCCAGTGTGAAAGGACAATTGAATAAATACATAAAAGATGTTATTAATGCTGTCCCAAAATGTGCAGTTGTCAGTTGTTCAGTAAGAATGAGTTTCGTGTGCTTATTTATTTGTTTTTGTTTGTTTTTCTACATTTCCTCTTGTTTATGATGTTAAAATGGTATTAAAATCCAAAGGATTTAAAAGTGTCACATTTGACCCCATGAAGCCCACAGCTTGTTTATGACGGGAGAAATATAGGTTAGATACAAAGTACTAAGTAATGATGTACTGCAGGGTAAAACATTGTAGTGTGAGTGAACAGTTTTTGTCTCTCCAGGTTTCTGTACCCCTGCTCCAGTGCACTATTGGATCTGACTCCTCTTCAGTCCCAGGCACCCCTTCTAGGGCTGTCGGTCAGAATGGTGCTGTTGCACCGGGCACACCCAAGACTGGTATGTTTAACCATCCACTGCCCTCTACCTGGGCTAATCAATCCTCTTCAGTATATGATCCACTAGACCAAAGACTGAAGTTGCATCTCAGTGAGGAAGGACATAGATTGAGAATTTTTTTCCTTCCTCCCTATTGCAGGCACTTCAGGCTTCAACAGCCCAGCCAGCACGCCTCGGATGAGCCTGAACTCCAGCGTCCAGATCCCCTCCACCTTCCCCTCCATCCAGCTGCTGGGCCTGGAGATGTTGCTTCACTATTTTTTGGGACCAGAGGTTATTGCTGCAGCATCAAAGAACAAACTCAACCTGAGTCTTGGTGAGAGTCAGAGCAACGTACCCCCACCACCTAGCTTCTTGGACATGATTGCAGCCATTCAGACATTTGCACTGACCTGCTCTGGCACAAGGGGATCTTTATACATGTTGCTTATAAATAGGGTGTACTTGAGCCTCGACTGAAAATCCTACTGGGTTTTATTAATATCTTGTGGAGTTTTTATAAGACCATCAATAGTTTGTGGTAGTAACGCACCAAGAAAAGGTAGTGATGCACAAACGATGGCAAGCAAGAAGACAGCTAGAAAGTAAACATGGATGTTAATGATGCTGAATTTTAAAATCTTAGAAAATGTTTGCTGAAGAAGGAAGTCAGTGTGTTCAAGGATCCACACAGTGCTTTTGGATGAGAAATACAAAACATAACTTTTGATTACAAAAAAATCCACAGGGTGTCTTTAATGGACTCGCAGAGACAAAACTTGTCAGAATACACCACCTGAATGCTCTATGTACAGCAGGTTATAATACCTTGCAGAGAAGGAGTAGTGTTGTAGATGATGTCATACAGGGTTGCCTGAGAAAGCTAGAGCAGCAAAGTAGGGAATAACCTGTTATTGCCTGCCTGTCTTACTTGGATCATTGCGCCTTGTTTTTTTTTTTTTTTTTTAGACGTCTGAATTGATGTCCACATCTCAATTTTATGCTTTAATAAGCAGGATTAAGAATGGCACAATCTTCCTGAGCCAGAAAAAATGTGACAAGCATGGATGAGGCAGCTGTGGAGATTGCTAGTTGACTGACTCTTCAGTTGCCATGAACTGTCTCTAGCAATTGCTGCCACAGCTTGTCGACTGAACATTAAATCAGCAGGGGGAAAATGTTGCTTTCTATTGACTGGGCAAAATACGATGTTGATGATGAAAACAAATACACATTCAGTCTCATGCTAGGTTCTGATAGATCAGCTGTTCAACCACTATAGTGTGCATGTTGGGTCGATAAAAAAAACAAACTGCCGTTTAATTATAATGTGTATTGGCATGTTATAGCTCACCTCATGTTTCTCTTATTTCCAGAGCCCTTGAACCACCCTCTCCTCTCTGGTGCTTCCTCTTTTACTAAACATGCTGCTGTGCTCACCTCTAACATCAGAGATGGATTCATCAGCATCGGCAAAGACGCTCCAGGTAGATGTCACAGTCAGTGGGGAATTAAAATCATCTCATTCAAGTAAAGCTCTCATGTAAATATGACTTTCATTCTCTTAGGAGTCTAAGAGTTAAATGGAATGGCGTCTCCTTGTCATCAGAGTTAAATGAAGCCAGTTTTGTTGTCAAGTACTTCAGAAACTGTAGCTGGCCATTTATCAATTCACAAAAATGGAAGCAGCTGTTCTTTGTTTATTGACTGATAACCGTGTTAGAGGTATAGCACGTATTTAGAGGTATGGCATTGGGTTAAGTTAAACAAAGTGCTTTTATGTGTCCTAAAGTAACCTGGTTGTCGTTGGCTTTCTGCAGTAACATAAATTCTTAGATGGCCTTCAGAACAACATCAGCCTTGTGTTAAAACACTGCAGGGGGCTTTGTAAGTAGGGAATGTTGTTTCAGGATCCTTTTGAGACAATGAAATATGACCCAGGAAGTCCCTGTTGGAGCCCATATTGATGAGGAGGCAAAACCCCATGGCCCTAGCGTTGGTCGCCAGTGTCGAGGAGTGGGGTTTACTCACTGCACATCCTCGCTGGCTTCCGTTGTTAATGACAAAAATGAATGCAATGATTTAGGTCGGTAATACTGAACGTTGAGCATAGCCCAAACATCTGTCCTTTTATTTATTTATTTTTACTCTGCATGTCACAATGATTGTGTGGATACATATGTTGCGGGAGAGGGAGGTATGGTTACAAAATTGGCTGGATCAAGGAAACAGTCCCACGTAGGTCTCTAGTTTGTAATACTCAGAGGATTTGATCACGATGATCGTGAGGTAAACGGTAGTTCATGTTGTGAAGTAATCCACCATGAATGGGGCTTGAATATATTAGGGGTGGGAATCACCAGAGGCCCCACGAAACGATATTATCACGATATTTATGTTGCGATTCGATTTTATTGAGATATATTGCAATTTATTACCTCTTTCCAACTTCCAATTAGGTCCCTAAAGTCAAACTTTTTAGATAAACAGATGTTGACAAAGATAGATTTCTGTTTGTTCATATCACTTCAGTCCTCTATATGGTCCTGTTAAGTTTTCTAGTGGACTAAAAAAGCAATAGATTTTATTATTCTAGTACAAAAAAGTTAAAACTTCCATCTGCAATTTATATAATAAAATATCAATACTTGGCATCCGTGTATCGATACTGTATTGCCATGGCAAATATAACGATACTATGCTGTATCGGTGTCTTTTTTTTGTTTTTTTTACAATATATGTGATTAGCCAACGCAGTGCCCTGCTGAATGATGTTGCATTATGGCAGAAACTGAGCCACGTTCGACCTTTTGGCTCAACGACCCTGCATTTGTTAGGCCAGAGCTCACTGTGTTGGAATGAACATCAGGTTTTACTGTAACAAAGTTATGCAATGCACATTCTCAGATTTCCTGCAGCTTCAACCCAAAACCTGCTGTCTTGAGTTACGGTTCCATTTCTCCTGCTCCTCCTACAGATCCTCTTCTGGCTGTCATATGGACCGGCCTTGTCCAGTCTGTCAACTTAACTATAGAGTCTGGTAAGTACTTGGGTGTTAAGTCCTCCTGATTGGCAAAAAATCTGAATTGTTTACATGTGGAGAACACTACCAAAGAAATGCTGATTAATGCTCATAACCCATCTTTTCATTAAATACGAACAATCTTACCTGCTCTTCAGCCCATCCACTAAAAGTGCACTATTATGGAATAATACACCTTTTAAGCAGCAAATTATAACTCCAAAAGTAGCTGTAGAATCGAACTCCTCATTTACGTTTGCAACATGGTTTTGAAAATGTTTGTCATCAGAAAACTAAATTTAAAAAAAGCTGAGAGCTACTCCACGTTTACTCATTTTGTTAGCATTTTCTACTTCTGTCGGGCAGTAAACAAAGTAGTTTTTTGTGATTGAGTGATTTTTGCCTGTCTACTGACTTATGAAATGCTGTGAATGTACTATAATGTTTTACAAGAAGCCAGTGATGCCAGAAGTACTTTGCAGGGTGTTTATTTATTGGGATGCTTTTGTATTACCACAATGATACATGTTTGCAAACTGACAAGACAAACCATGATTACTTGCTAATTCCAGATATGAAATGAAGGGACAAATAGAAATGGTAGCAATGAATGATATTATGATTTTATCTAGATCAGTGGTTCTCAAAGTGACATTTGCCACAAACCCATTCCCAAAACATCCTTGATGTGAGAAAGTTTGAGAACCACTGATCTAGATAACCATTTCAACTGTTATTGTGGCCGCTGCTCTTCATGGTGGAATCTTAAAGTTGTGGTTTCCGCCTTGTAGCGCCACATAGAGCACTCTGATTGGGTCTGGTCTCTGTCATGTGGGAGGAGGACCAGCAAGACCTCATCCTCGTCTCCTGCCCGACCCACTCTCACTGTCATCAGTTTAAGTCGGAGCGTTCAGGCCCTTGTGGTCCGGACTGCTGTGAAGAGAGAAACGCACTGAGGGGTCTGTCCCCAATGATGACCCTCTTCTCTGAAATTAGACACATTTCCAACTCTCATGCTAAGCCTAAAAAGATTAGAGCATAATTAGTTTGCATTTGGCGTTCTGCTGATGTGATTTTGTGATGAATCTCTTCCCTGGCTGTCAGTAGGCAGTAAAAAGGATCGCCAGGGCTGTGAGGTACTGACCATGATGCTCCAGGTTCTGCAGAGCATCGTCACTTCAGAAGCTGTGCCTGCAAATAAAGTCCTGGTAAGACGGAGATCATGTACTGTTGTGTACTCTGCCTCATCATTCATTTACCTTACTTACTGTAGGTACACATAGAATAAATGTGTGAATTTTTTCATATATTGTACCTCCATTTAAATGTCATATTTTAGTTTAAAACACAGGGCTGTCTAGAAATTAGTTACAAATTATAGGAGAAAAAATTTTGTTTCACCTTTTTGCTGACAGTTAAATTTACCATTTCAGTGACTCTCAGACTCCTTGACCAGCTGCTTTTAACCTGATTGTGAAATATTTAAATATTGTTGAATTGTATTGTTGTGTTGCGGTTTTTAGAAGTTGATCTGTGTTAAATGGCTTAAATCCAAATACCAAAAATCTTTCACTCCAGATTCTGTTTGAGGCCACAGTGAAAGGTCTTCCCCAGAGAGTTCTTGGCTCTGCCTCCTATCAAGTGGGCAAAATGGATGTGCTAAATGTGAGTGCTTCTTGGTCCACTGTAGCCAGTATTCAGTGTTCATGGTAATGCTCTTAAAGGATTGGTTAAACTGTATCTAATTTTTTAGGGGACGCCTGCTCTGTTCCTCATTCTGCTCCTCTACAACAGCAGCATGCTCTCAGCCTACATAGAGGACGAGAGGTGGGTCTACTATTTATTTACTTTAGATGGCTGTTTAATCTGTCCTCACATCTGTAGTTTGCAACATCCATGGTTGCATTTTTAAGCAGTTTTGTCTGAAAAGGCTACATGCAGACTTGAAGCCTCATGGTCTGACAGAGAGACTGAGTCATTCATTAAATGGTTATGATAAATGCATCATCATTGCTTCAGACCTGCAGGAGAAATAATTGTTTGGCACCATCTGCTAGTGTAAATGAGAATGGCAGGTTTGAATTAAATTACTAATGTGTGTTGTTTTTTTTTTCTAAATAAAAACCAAGCAAACATTTTGTTTAAAAAGAAAAAAATAATAAAAATTGCCCCTAAAAATTAAGAACTTTTAAGAATGTAGTACATACTCTTTACATTACTTTAAATCCTGTAGGAGTGTTGCTTGATGTCTTTCTGTCGGTAGTTTTTTTCAGTGCCTTCAAACGCTGGTGGGCTGCGGTTTGTCCGGACCCACTTCCCCTCTTGCGTTCGCGGAGGCGGTGCTGGCGGCCATCAGACGCAGCGCTGGGTCCGTGCAGAACAAGGAGCGGCTGTGGATGATGTGGAGTGTGATGGTCAGCCCGCTTACCGACACAATCACACAGGTGGGCAGAGAAGCAGTGGGACTGATAACGTTGCCATTAATGGTGGAGGAATGCCTAATATCAAGTTTTAGTTTAGATTTTAGTCTTATTCAGGCCTGTTTGGTATCATGGCCAATCAAGGCTTCTTTTTTGGTGGATCAGGGTGGGAGATATAAACCTTGAGCAGCAACTGATGGCCGAGTTATGAAGAGGTTAGTAGGGACAAGGGCAGCCTTAAAATTGGGGTTACAATTTGAAACAAATATAGGAGATCTATTTGCACAAAATAAACCCACTCAACCCCGCTTCTAATGTGCAATGCACTGAGTATACTACTGAGCAGCACAAACAAACGGCAGCAGTTTAAATTAGTAGTATACCGACAGCAAACCTAGTAAGCGGAGCCGCTGTGAGTTAAATAAATTTATTTTCATCAGTTTACGACATCTTCAGTCTGTTCTTTCACCGCAAAACAAAAGACCGTATATAAAAAGGTGCAAACATTTGCACAAATTATAAACTGTAATTGGTCATTTTCTGGGAAGATTAAAATTCTGATCGCTGTTATTGTAGGAGAAGCGATCACAGCTACTTACTGTTTTTCCTCTAAAAGCTTTAAGTGATCGTGGCAGCAGAGCACTAAATTAATTTAATCTCACACCAGTAACCTTAAACTTTTTGTTTTACAGTCAAATGAAGTCAACCAAGGGGACGCTCTGGAGCACAACTTTAGTGCCATACACTCTGCCTTGTTGTTCCCAGTTACACACCTACTACGTGGCGCACCACTACAGCAGGTCTGTTTGTTTATTTTAAGATTTTATTTTACCTACATCATCCTCTTAACTGTTTGCTCTTGAAGACCATGAAGCAGCCACACTGGTCCAAAATCCTAATTTCACTTTGAGCAAAGGGAATGACCTGATTCTGATCCCCCGTGTGTTGTTCAGGCGGCCCAGAAGTCGATGCTGTCTTCGTGGTCAAAGCTGTACAAAGTGTTTGCTCGGTGTTCTGCGCTGGTGGTCACAGCTGAGGAGAACATCTGCTGTGAGGAGCTCTGTACAAAGATGACGGCTGCAATAGACAGAGACGCACTAATGGTGAGTAGAGGAGAGAAATTGTCATCATGGAAAAGAACAACCCACAGTGATGTGTAAATGTCTAAAGGTCATACAAAACAAATGGTCTGCCAACCTGAAATAATTCAACTACTATGTGGGGGGGGGGGGGGGGGGGAGAAATAAAGTTTGAGGATTGTGATGGCTGCTACTGTACAGTCATCAGGAAAACTGTTCCCACAATTGAATCGACGTATGGAGGTAAACACATTTTTGGTTCAAATAAACAAAAAACTGGCATTTGAAATTTTACCTCATCAAGTAATTTTTATTTGCCTCAACGTACAACACCCTCTATCCTTAGACCCTCATCTAGACATCATGATGGGGAAAAAATACAACAAATCAGCTGTAATAAATGGTAGTTTTGATTTGTTTAGACAACAACCCTGGTTTGACATAATGATCCTGACATCTGATCCTTCAGGTTCCTTCAACGTTAAATGCTGTTGCCAGTTTCCTCCATGTCATGGTCGAGTGCGTGGACTTCTCGCCCTACACTCCTCAGTTTCAGCAGAAACTAAAGTGTAAGAACATAAGTTACTCTTGTTCAATCTTCATACTTTGTTTAAATGGATAATTCACATTTTTCACTCTTTGTTTCTTTCAGCTCCTCACACTCCAGTAAACTGGATGAAAAAGAGGAATAAGGTCCTGGGGAATCTGTCCACCTTCCAGTCACTGCTAGTTCAATGTCTAGAGGTTTATCTGGAGGGCCCTGAGGCTTCCTCTGAAGCCACAGGATTGGCCCTGGTCACCGTCCTGTCTGCCCTCTTCACCAACCTCGTTCTTGCCAACACTGTCAAAGAAGCCCTGACTTCCCTGATTCACCCTCTCACCCTCTTCTACAAACAAGCAGCCAGTGAGCCGCCCAAATTTAACTCGCAACTTCTGGGAAAGGTGGGTTGATTGTTAAATGGGTACACAGATTTTAACCACTTTTATTTTTAAGCAATAACTCTGCTTGTTTGGCCTCTGAATCCTGCAGTTGGAGAAGCTTCCCAGTGAGGTCCTCGGCTGCCTGCAGACCCGCTCTACTTTGGCGTACAACGATGAACTCCTGGCTCTGCTTTCTCCTCTGCTTTGCGTGTTGTTTCCTCACAAGAACAAGCAGCTCCGCACTACAGTCGTCCAGTTCTGGAACTCGACCTTCGCCAACTCAGTCAGCCTCACTTACCCCGATGAGATCAGGTGAAAATCTTCAGGTCATATGGGGCTTTTTGTCAGTCTATAAAATCATTATGACATACTGCTGCAGTGGGAATGCAACAATAGAAGAAATTCAATTAATTTAGGTGGGCTTACAGTAATCAGATCAATGTTGCCACTTTCTTTACACAGGCCAGTATTGAGCCAAGTGAAGCAGAAGACCCCAATCATTCTTCCTGGCTTTGAGGTTGTCAGTGTTCCTGATGAGCTCAGTGGACAATATTCAGTGAGTTGCTTTCACCTTTTTCAGTGTTGTGATTTGAGCTACATCCATCGCTGTCTCTGTTCTCATTGTTATTTGTGGTTGATCGGTCTTTTAGAGTGAGAGTTCCCAGTTGGAGACCAAGCTGAGTGGGATGCCGGTTTCATCTGCGGGGAAGAGGGACTCTCTGCTGGGAAAGGCTGCTGAGCTGAAGGACAGGAGCTCCACAAAGACCTCCAAGCCAGTTTCTGTAAGTTTAGACGAGACATGTTGTTTTGCCTATTCTAAATATGTCTTGACAAAATGGTGTTTATCTGAAAGCTTACACTTCAGGGCTGCATATGAAAATATCAAACGTCATTGATAACAACTAGAAGGTCCCACACAAGGCCTGGAATTAACTGGGATATATGCCAAAGCTCTCACAGGGCTTTGTCTGCCATGTTAACTTGCCCCCCCCACCCCCACCCCCAATACTGGGCAGGTAATCGATTTTCGCTGTTCTAGCTGTTGTCTGTTCAAAAACAGCGGTCCTTTGTGTCAACAGAGACAGTCTGGCGAGCCGCCATCTTGGTGAGGTCGGGTTAGCCGATAAGTTTCAATTCTATCATCAGATTGAAGTAGAGAAGAAGAGTTTGCTTTGGCAGAGGCGGTCTTTATCGACCCGTTGGAGCTACAGACATGCAATATATTGCAAGCGATTTGTCTCTTCAATATGAAGAGAAAGACCCACTCACAGCCCTGTGACCTGTGGCCTATAAAGCATCGGAGTGCTTTTGGTCATATAGACTGTTTTTTATCAATTTTCAATGTTTTGGAAACTTTTGTTATTTGGAACGTGGTTGTATGGAGAGAAATAATGTTTTGAAGAAAACTCCCTATAAAAGTGAACATATAAACAGTAAAGATGGACATTTGCCTGGTATATTTTTGAAAGGTTGTGTAATAACTGTTGTATATGCTTCTGACCTTTCAAAAGAGACCAGAATTATGCATCTAGGCCTAATGGTTGAGGAGTAATCACTGATTTATTTTGGGAATGTTATTTTAGGCATTGTTCCTGAAAATAGGTGCCAGGGACCATGTGATTATTGTGTGTTGTGTAATGTGTACCCATGACGCAGGTGTGTAGAAGAATGAAATCTTATGAGAAAGTGGTGGACGATTACCCATTCAATGAATGATTGAAATGAAACGCTGGGTGACGGAGTGGCCTAGCAGAGCAAGACGCCTGTGATTGTAGCGTGTGCTTTGAGTTTAAACAGGGGCCTGTCAGCTCTCTTACTTTAACTTTACTTTGAGATGTATTGATTGGTCATCTTATGGGTGTGTTCGGGAGAATTTATATTTTTTTGCTATGAAAGAAGTTACTCATTATATTGTTGTTTTGATGCCTGACAGTCTGATAGAAACAGATTCTAAATTTTATCACTGACTCTGTGACCACTTTCTCATTGATTATATAATATAAAACATATTGGCGGCATTAATCATCTTTACATACACACGGTTGCTTTGCCAGCTGTTTTATCACTGGCAATGTGAATGATGTTCTTTTTAAGTGGCGCTCTGTAAAAGATGTTTATGTAATTTACAATGGGAAATCTCACATTCTGCAAGTCAGACTTGTTTGGTTTTTTCCTACAACTGGTTTACAATGTGTTCCCTTCAACAGACAAAGCTGGACTTTGGTTCTCCCAAACCTCCTCGCAGAGAGGTTTTAGAGGAGGAGGCTTCCATCGACTTTGTCTTCATTCCTCCTGAGACAAAGGAGCGAGTTTTGACGGAGCACCAGAAGGAGGTGAAAAGGACTAAGAGGTCAGAGTTCTGTCATTGCCATTTATAAAATGCATTTAAAGTGTCCAGGTTGTCAGTCTTATGTAGAGCTAATGTTTTCTTTCGCACAGGGTTGACATCCCTGCTATGTACAACAACCTTGATGCTTCTCTGGATACAACGGTTTTCACCCAGTACACACAGAGCCAAGAAGACTCTTCGTAAGTTTTGAGCATCTGCTAACAGAATCGAGATAAATTCCTGCGTTCATAAAAAATAAAACCTATGCATTCATATAATAAATTTTTTTCCCGCAGGGACAAAGTGCAAACTGAACAAGCTGAAGAGGTTACCAAAGAGTCTTCTGGCACGGTAATGAATGCTATTCGCTATTACGAGCAAATATAAACTACACGACAATTACAGGAAAGTCTTCCCCAAGCAAGAATGAATAAAACAAAAACTCCATGGTCATTGTTAACTTCTACTGTTTTGGGACTGTTACTGGAGTTTCAGTGTTAAATTCAGCAATGGTACCATCATCAGGTTAAATACTTTTACTACACTATGTACTGTCTAACTACTATCTTATCTCAATCTGAATGAGTAACTCAGAAAAATGGCAAAATACTTATTCGAAGGCAGATATCGGACCAGATAATTCATTGCATTAGCCCCGATCTGTCTAAAAATTTATCTGTCTTTCAATGAAAATGTTTCTTTGGTGTCGAAATGAATTCTGAAACAAATATTCGTCATTTACTTGCATGGTGTAATTTGAAAAGTCACCAAACTTGTATTTTATACATACTCACACTGTGGTCGTGGCAAACACAGATGCTTTCTAACATCTTTCTATATATCTTTTCTTCCAGGTTCTTCTTGAAGCTGTGGAGAATGAGGAAGACAATGAAATTCTAACAACAGACACTCAAGACTATGCCAGCCCAAGAGCAGGAGATAACATGACAGAAAACCAAGAGCAGGAAGAGATGATCCCTGAGTCAGCAGAGGTTTCTATGGAGGATGATGCCAAGAGTGACGATAAGGCAGAAGATATGGACATCCAGTCTAAAGAAGGCACCAGTCCTAACATGTCTGGCTCTTCAGATTTGGTCTCAGGAACTCCCCAGAAACCCAACAGTCGCCGTCAGTCCTTTATCACTCTGGAGAAGTATGCAGAGGGAAAGCCTGCCAGCCCCAGCAGTGTGTCCACCTTCACAGGTCCCCTCATAAAGACCTCCAATAGCCAAGAACGCTCAAACACCAAGAAGACATCATCCTCTAAGGCATCCACTGCTCCAAATGTTCAAGATTCCCAGTCCGCTCAGACTGGAAAAATGAACTTGCAGTCTCCTGTGAATGATGCCACAGAGTCTCCTCGAAGGCCAAAAGACTCTGGGACAAGAAGTGAGCCAGTTAAACTGACTGAGAGGATGCCCAGTGATGCAACAGAGGATGAAGATGTTATCCCAGACACCCAGGCAGAAGTGGAGGCCAAGGAGAGTACAGAAATAGAGGAAATGATGCCCTCAAGCCAGGAAGAGGAATCTGAACCAACTCTCGATGATTCTCAATCCTCTGTGACCCAGACCTCTCCAGGTGAACCCAGGCGGTCTGGACGTTACAGAGTCAGACCTCTGCTACCCGGAGAGGACCCCGATGAACGCGAAGATAAATACACGCAGTTCAAAAGGAGACGTTCTGGAGAAGAACCTAAAAGCAATTCTCCTAAGTCGAGCTCAGTGCAAAGCAGACCAAACACGCGAAGTAAGCAGGCTGCTGAGGAGGACAATGGCAGAGACAGATTACGAAGCAGGGCTCAGAAGGACAAGACTGAGTCGAGGCAAACCAATTCTCAGGGCAGAGCACACAAGAAGATCAAATTGTACAGCAATTCAGAGTTCCTTGATCAACCTGAACCCAGAAGGAGAAGCAGTAGAGCGCATGAGTCCAGCCAAACGGAAACACAGTCTGATTACGAAAGCCAGTCACAGGGTAGGCAAGGTCGGCGGAGCAAATCATCACTAGACACCAAGGATAAAGATGGAATGAAGAAAAATCTTTTGCCTGACAAAGAAGAGTTCAGCCAAACTGCCACACATGAGATTGTAGAACAGGTCGAAAAGGATGGTGATAAGCCAAAGAAAGATTCTCAAATGATCACTCCTTCCCCTCAAACTGATGGTACATCCCAGGAGTTTGAGCTTGTAGAACAGATTAAACAAGATGATAAACTAACAGATTCTCAAATCATCACTCCTTCCCTTCAAACTGGTGGTATATCCCAAGAGTCTAAGCTTGTAGAACAGACGGAACAGACTGAAAAACACAGTGATAAACTAAAAGTGACCTCTTCTCAAACTGGTGGTACATCCCAAGAGTTTGAGCTTGTAGAAAAGACAGAAAAAGATGATGATAGACTAAAAGATTCTCAAATGACCACTCCTTCCATTCAAACTGGATCCCAAGAATTTGAGCTTAAAGAAAAAAAACCTAAAAAGGGAAAGAGAGCATCTCAGACAATCACTTCTCCAACTAACGACGAATCCCAAGATACAAGCACAACAAAGTTGGTGAATGAATCAGAGGTCAATGACAAACACAAGACAAGAGAAGGTATGGATGACAATCTTAGTCAAGAGGACTCTGAAGTGATCACACCTTCGTCTTCTGACAGCCAGTCTGTGCGTAGATCCAGGAGAAGCAAATCATCTGAGGCAGCAGGGTCTGAAGATAAAAGTGAAAGTAAGGATTTATTAGGAAGGCAGAGTAGGTCCAGTTCTCAGGCAGCATTGTCAGCGGTCGTCCAGGAAGAGGCCAGAATTGGAGGTAGGACCAGAAGGAGCAAAGTACAAGAGGAGCAGTCAGTGTCGAGTCCGAGCTCCACCCCACAGAGTTCTCAGTCATTAGATGTTGCTGGATCAACAGAGTCCTCTCAAGGCAGGGGCAGATACTCAAGACGAAGATCTTCTCAAGCCTTAGTAGCCAATATAGAGTCCTCAGAGTCTGAATCCTCGGAGGCCAGGGACAATTCACCTATGCTCAAAAAGAGAGGCAGGAAACCTCGAGCATCTCTTCAGAGTCCTCTCACTCTTGAATCTAAAGACAAAATGACCAATGATATTGTAAAGGATGATTCTGATACTTCTAAAAAGGCAGATACACAAAGCATAGAAGATAAAAAAACTGACACTGATTTAGAGGATTCATTAAAAACCCAACATCTACAGGGTTCTGAGTCGCTCCAAGTTACACATAACGTTGAGGAGGAACGTAACAAAGAATCTCCAATGGAGGTAGAGGTTGATACTGTTCAGAAAACTGAGACTGAAGACACAAAGAGCAAATCGCTCGGTCTGTCCCCTCACAAGGAGGGGCAAAGACAAGAGCGCTCTGAAACAAACATGGATGATGCCTCTTTACAAGAAAGTGACTCTCAGGACTTGCAATCTGCTGAAATGCTCGAATCAGTTGGAATCTGTACTGAAAATGTGCCCTGTGACCCATCTGCTGTGGACGCACTGGTGCCACCTAATGAGACAACAGAGAAACTGCAGACTTCAGAGGAGGAAGCTGCACCTCAAGCATCCGAGTCTGTTGAGAATGTTACAGAAAAACAAAATGATGATTTGGATTCAAACCACCACGAACATCCAGTTCCAGTGGAGGATGCAGCTGGGGACAGTCACAGCACCTCTTTTGGACAAAATCAAATGGAGTGTCTAGATGTCGTACCGGATTTTTCAAAGGAGGAGGAAGAGTCTGCCTCCATCAAAGAAGGCCAATCAACAAATGAGCACACAGAGGCCAGCGCCGGTGATGACATCACACCTCTACAGGAGAGCGATAAAGACGGCAAAACCCAGAGTGTAGAGTGTCAGGATGAAGAGGAAACTGAGACCGCCAACGATGAGAACAATGTCGTAGCAAATTTGGTTGATGTTTGCAATACATCAGTGTTATCAGAATCGACGAGCAAAGATGCTTTTCTGGATTCTCCGGCAAAACAAAAGGACCTGGAGGCTGTAATGGAGACGGATGTCATCCACAGCCCCAGTAGTGGCCGAACCAAAGGAACCTGGTCTCCTTCAGCCTCCCCATCGACCAGTATTCTTAAAAAGGGCCAGAAGAGACCACTAGAGGATGAGACTCCCTCACCTCTTGTCAAAGTAAGTGACACAGCACTTGTAAATTTCAAAAAGCATTTTAAATACACAAGTTCTGCTATAAAAATCTGACCATTTGTAATGTGGGTGAAAGTAACTTTATTTTCGTCTTTTTAACTTTGTAGTCCAGGCGTGTATCCTTTGCTAATCCAATCCAACATCAGGAAGTAGCAGATGACATTGATCGTCGCAGCCCTGCCATCAGAACCAGCTCGCCCAGGAGATCCAAAGTTAGCAGTGTGCCACAGCCTAAGGTGGGAATGAGGCCAGCATTTTTCTTAATTGCCGTATTTCTGATCCACATGAAACCGAACGTTTCTTTAGCAAATGATCTGCTTTGATCTAACCTGACTCCCCTCTGCTTCTTGTTCTAGTATGTCACTACTCCAACAAAAGGCTTGCTGGTCTTTAGTCCCAGAAATCTGCATAGTCCAGGTTACAAGAGCTCCAAGAAATGCCTGGTATGCAAAAAATGACAAGCACAGTGGGTGGTTAAAAAGCTCCGTCGATACTAATTCTACTAAACATCCTTCACCATTTTGTTTTGATTCAGTGTGCAGCTTTAAATTGTATTAGTTTGAACAGTTGGAGCCTGTTGGTCCTAATGGTAGATGTAACGCCCCCGACAGATTTCTGAAATGAGCCAAGAGCCGCGGCCTGTCTCCAGAGACTGTATCTACCCTGCCCTGGTTGGCTGCTCTGCACCTGTAGAAGCTGTGCTACCTCAGATATCCTCCAACATGTGGTGAGGAAGGCACAGTGTTAATGAAAGGAAGATGTTTTCTGTTGGGTCAAAAAGAAAAATCTCTTTTAAATCTTATCGGGTGTATTTATGTGTGACTGCTGTTGATTCTCCTCATAGGTCTCGGGGCTTTGGGCAGCTTGTTCGAGCCCGAAACATCAAAACAGTCGGTGACCTCAGTGCTCTTACTCCCAGTGAAATCAAGGCTCTGCCAATTCGCTCACCAAAGATCTCCAATGTCAAAAAGGCACTCAAAATCTATGAACAACAGGTATGCCAGGGGATACGTTACTACTATTACAGTCACTGTATAAACAAAGTTCTGGACAAAATCTGTACGTTTTCATCATTGCCCAATATTAGCAAAATACAACTTGTTGAGCTGGACAAATCTGATTAAATATGTAAATACTTGTCTCATGTACAAGATTATACAAGGACTGACTTCTGCCCCACTCAGTCAGTTTGTTACTACAAGAACAACTGCATATCATCGCACAAGAGGGTCAGCAAGAGGAGATTGTATTATCCCATTAAGAAAAAGTAATTTCAGTCAGTCTGCATTTTCGGTTTCAGCTGCATCAGAATGGAACTCCATCCCAGCTGCTATCAGAGACTTGGATACATACAGCTCATTTAAAATCTGTTTAAAGAAATAATTAATCAGTACTCAGCTCTGTCAACACTGAAACTGAAATTGCATGTTGCTGGCCTCAGGCTGTCTGTTATTAGTGGCATTCTGACTGCTGGTCTGCCTTTTTTTTTTTTTTTTTTAATAGCTGTATGTAAATCTGTTATCTGTGACTTTGTTTCATTTATTTTCTTCTGGAAATACTACTTTAATGTATATAGTGCATGCTGCTATGCACCTGTCAGTCACTGTCTATGTATGTAGTCATTATGAGCTAGGTTGTACGTTGCATCTTTTATTTATTTTATTTTGTTGTTGTAGTATGTGAAGTCCATGAAAAAGCATTTCAGTATAATGTCTGTGTTCCTTCTAGCTCATTTTAATGCATGCATTCATAATGTATGACTTTATTTTAAAAGATTGTTAAATTCATTTTAGAATTGTTTTTTAAGTTTTATAGGTTGACAACAGCACCAGGATACACATTTTGGAATTATTGTATTTGACATCTGAACAATTCTCTTGTAGCGTAAAGGACGAGGTGGTGATGAGTTGAAGAGTTTTGATGAAACGGAGATGATGACTTCTGAACTTGAGGAGACCAGTGCTCCTCAAAACCAGGATGAAGAGGATAAGACCTCAGGCGAGACACTAGGTGCGTAAAAACCCTCTGTATATAATGCCTTATTTTTTGTTTTGAAAAAATTATCAACAAGTTATCTCGAAATACATTTATCGTTAAGGACGTGCCAATTCACATTTCATCCATGAAATTGTTTAAGTTTAAAGGAATAGTTTAACATTTTGGGAAGCTTTTTCTTCAAGGAGTTTTATGAGAAGATCAATAACAATATCTGTACAGTAAATAAGTAGCTCGAGCAGGAACCAGTCAGGGAGGGTTGTGGGACTATTTCTTTGCTTGGGACCAGTCACTGTCTGGAGTCTCAGCTGGCCCCAGCCAAGAGAGTGGTGTTTATAATTTGATTTGATATTGTGTCTGTAAATATTTATTTTTTTATTTTTTTTTTTCTCAATGAAAATGTGTAGAATTTTACAGAGACTCAAAGTTGGTATTTCCTCACACTTAGCTGAAAATCTCCACTTCAGTAGCACTTGAGTATAATGTGTCAACAAAATGAGACAACAATTTTGAACCTGATTTAATCCAATGTTCAGATTTGCGTTTTTAATTGCAAATTGGCAAATATTTCATTAGATACTGCCTCATTTGCATATTTAAACATAATAATTCAGAAAATCTGTAATATGAAGAAATTTTGTCTCATTGTGAGTAATCAACTTTCATGGTGAAATCCATTATTTTTTGTTACCTAATTAACCTGCAGCGTCTCGCCTTAAACGAATATTGATTAGTGAGCGTTTGTTACTTTCAGACAGAGCAAGGCTAGCTGTTTCCCTTGTTTCCAGTCTTTAGGCTGCAGCCTCCATATTTACATATCGACCTAAAAGTTGAGAAAATCGATCCTATTATCTAACTCTAAAAAACAATTTCTCAAAATGTCAATCCTATTACTTTTTAGTATATAGACAGTCATGTTTCTGTTTGCAGCAACAGAGCTGATGGACGAGCCTGTTTCTGACGATGGGAGGCCGGAGCAAGAAAGCTCCGGGAATCCGACACCTGACACGCTGGTTGGACAACGAAGACCTGAGGGTCACCCTGAAGGGCTGCTGTCAGAGGTGGAGGCCCTGACCTGCAGGATGACGCCATTAGAACTCGGTTACTGCTCACCACAGCAGCTCGTTCAGATGCACGATCAGTTGGGAGGCATGATGAGGCGTGTGGTAGTCGAGCTGCAGACACGCCTGTGCCAAACAGATGGCAAACGCTGAAGAGACTACTGCTTCTGTTGGATCAGACTGCTATAAAGACCTTTTTAAAAAGAAGAATCTATTCAATATGACCCAAAGGATTTGACCCTTTTTCTTTCATCAACCCAGGCTTTGTTTAGAAATGGGAGAAGGATTTTATGGTTTTAACTCAGAATGCCTTGGCCTAGTCTCACCTTATTGTTTTTGTTTTAGTTATGTTTTTTAAAATGCTAGCAGCACTTTTTTTCATTTTTAGCTTGAGCTGTTGTGTAGTTTATGAATCTAAGAAACACTCAAAGGGAAACACTCTTTTCAAGCTGTGTCAAAAGAAGGTTTTTAAGAACTGTAGTCTTGATGGTATTTTCCTACTTTATCCTCTGTAGACTGTGTATATGATTCCTCCATGTGCCTGTTTTTAGGCTGTTTACAACTCAACTCATCAGTGCTCTTGTATATTTTTGTAGTCTGTCACTCCATGTTAACGTCTTATTGCATTTTTAAATTTATGAAGCATACTGTAGATGTTGGTAGACAGTGTGCACTTCAGTCTCTATTTGTGGTTTTAAATACTTCAATAAAAGAAAGAACTGATTTTATTTTTTTTAAAGCTTAATTGCATTTTTCATTTTTGTTCAACTTGCATCAGGTAGGAGTAGGGCTGGGCAATTTAAACAATGAGAATTATCGCAGTATAATATTCCTCTATAACAAATGTTCGGTTTAATTCATTTGACTCAAACTAATTAGCACTTAATTTTTCTATTAAGGTGTTTATTTTTTGGCGAAAAATGGACTGAAAGATTTTACTTAATTTTACACATTTTTGAAGATTTTATTATAATTATTTTGAATGTTCTACCTCCAGATTTGTTAAGTGACCACTGTTAGGCATGAAGTTTGTTCTGACCATAAATAATTGTTGATTTTAGTTTTAAACTATCTACTTTCTTCAACTTTCACACAGAAGCAAAAATCAGCCTTTAATTAAACTTGAAAGAAATAATAATTTATCGTGATAATTATCATTGTGGGTTTAAAAAAAAAAAGTATTTTAATATTTTTGTTCGTATTGCCCAGGAGCAAAGGCTTTTTGCTTATCTGACTATCACTCATACAACCACTTTTTAAATTTGTGTTTTAAAGAAAATGTAGATTTAGTTGAATTTAGATAACGGTTGTGCCGTACAGGTGGCGTAATTATAGAACAACTCAGATGTTTTAACACTCCTGAGAGTCTGCTGTCTACTGGTCAGAGAAGCTGGAAGGCATATGGCAGTAACCATGGGTAAATTAAGTATTTTCCCTCTGCAGGTTTGTTCCAAAGAGGATGACTAGCACTTAAAGGATGAGTTGGTCTCTACTGCTCATATCATCATCATCATCGTACATTAAAACAATAGCGGTTATCATGCCTTCATACTGGCCATCGAGAAATCCCTTCCTAAAGTGATTTCAGTGGAAGTGATGGGGGGACAAAATCCAGTCTTTGTTCTAATTGCCACCTGATTTGCCTAATATTAGAAATTTGGTTTTCATAATCAGGATGTTGGAGAAACCTGATTTCCCCAGTTGGCTTAAGCAACGCACTGTTTTGTAGTTTTTTTTTGCTAAATTCAGTTGGAAATGGAAATCACATCCAGACAGCTCAAACAGACACTGTGTTGCTCAGGTTTGAGAGCCTGTTGCACCTCTGACCTCACCCAACAGTGATGTCATAGCGAACTGACACACCCAGAAGTACGCTTTACATCACTGCAGCACTGTTTACTCTTGATTTGTATGAGATATGTGAAGTGGAGTGAGTATTTTCTTACATTTTACAGTACAGTTTTCAGGTATTTTAATACTTTTTATCACCTGAACTCTATTCCTTTTAACAGCTATCCACATTTAACACAAACATGGGTAGATTTATAGAGTTAGATTAAGCTGCATGATCGCTGTTAGGAACTTGTCTAAAAGCCTAGAATGGAAATGGAAATACAGACATGATAATATAATACAATATGACAGGAAGTGCCACTGACTGCTTACACTGTTTCATCCTCTCCAACAGGGCCTGATAAGCAGGCTTCTCTTTGGCTCAGTGTGTAAGTAATTATCTGATTATTCCTGCAAAGCGCTGCCAGGGGCTGCATTGCATTTCCACAGTTTATTGAGCGAAGTTGGCCTCAGCATGCAAGCTTAGCAGATTGGGCTGCAGCTCTGTTGGGCGAGGACCAGGAAGAGAATCCGCTTTAAGAGACATCTCCACTGCAGGACGAGAGCTTCCACGCAGCGCTGTGAAGACGAGACGGCACTGAGGTAAGACCCAACGCAGATTACAATGCATGTGAACACACGGAGTCATTTTAACCTCCTCTGATATCTGAACTATGAGAAGCGTCTGTGCCAGAGTTAACATTCATGACACTAAGGAAAAATAAAACAAGTGAATGTATTATGGATCAGGATTCGTCATCTTTTTGAGTGGGATAGCAGGTCTCAAACCTATTTCATTGATAATTCAGAAAAGGAATCATGTTCATTGTAATTAAAACAAGAAGTGAGCTACTTGTCTTTGGCCGTCAACACCTATAGCAAATTCGAATCCGTTTGTGTGAGAACTTTTTTGAAAATCTAGTCTGGTAATCTGGTACCTTGTTAACAGTGGAGTGATCTGTCTTTTTCTGACTTATTTCAGGAATAAATACGTTTTCTGAAATATACAAGCTGTAAATACGGGCAGAGATTCTCTGCTCCCCACAGCAGACATACAATATTTTACTTGTTATTGGAACAATATAGTTGATAGTGAATAGGAGACTTCTAATGTCTGAAAGAACTCCCCATTGTGTAAAAATATTTCAGGCATGCATATGCACAACTGTGTGCAATGAAAAATGATAAATCCCATGAGTTCTATATCCGTCTGCTGCTCCTCTGGCACCAGGGCTTTGTGTGTGTATTGTCAGGAGTGGATATAAATAAATGGACATTCACATGCACAACAAGAAATTCATATTTATTGAAGTGAGGGCTGATAAATGAGGTCCCAGATCTTCAGACATATATATATATATATATACACTTGAGTACATACAGTGAGGAAAATAAGTATTTGAACACCCTGCTATTTTGCAAGTTCTCCCACTTAGAAATCATGGAGGGGTCTGAAATTGTCATCGTAGGTGCATGTCCACTGTGAGAGACATAATCTAAAAAACTACTAACTTTAACTATTTATTTGTATGATACAGCTGCAAATAAGTATTTGAACACCTGTCTATCAGCTAGAATTCTGACTCTCAAAGACCTGTTAGTCTGCCTTCAAAATGTCCACCTCCACTCCATTTATTATCCTAAATTAGATGCACCTGTTTGAGGTCGTTAGTTGCATAAAGACACCTGTCCACCCCATACAATCAGTAAGAATCCAACTACTAACATGGCCAAGACCAAAGAGCTGTCCAAAGACACTAGAGACAAAATTGTACACCTCCACAAGGCTGGAAAGGGCTACGGGGAAATTGCCAAGCAGCTTGGTGAAAAAAGGTCCACTGTTGGAGAAATCATTAGAAAATGGAAGAAGCTAAACATGACTGTCAATCTCCCTCGGACTGGGGCTCCATGCAAGATCTCACCTCGTGGGGTCTCAATGATCCTAAGAAAGGTGAGAAATCAGCCCAGAACTACACGGGAGGAGCTGGTCAATGACCTGAAAAGAGCTGGGACCACCGTTTCCAAGGTTACTGTTGGTAATACACTAAGACGTCATGGTTTGAAATCATGCATGGCACGGAAGGTTTCCCTGCTTAAACCAGCACATGTCAAGGCCCGTCTTCAGTTTGCCAATAACCATTTGGATGATCCAGAGGAGTCATGGGAGAAAGTCATGTGGTCAGATGAGACCAAAATAGAACTTTTTGGTCATAATTCCACTAACTGTGTTTGGAGGAAGAAGAATGATGAGTACCATCCCAAGAACACCATCCCTACTGTGAAGCATGGGGGTGGTAGCATCATGCTTTGGGGGTGTTTTTCTGCACATGGGACAGGGCGACTACACTGTATTAAGGAGAGGATGACCGGGGCCATGTATTGGGAGATTTTGGGGAACAACCTCCTTCCCTCAGTTAGAGCATTGAAGATGGGTCGAGGCCGGGTCTTCCAACATGACAATGACCCGAAGCACACAGCCAGGATAACCAAGGAGTGGCTCTGTAAGAAGCATATCAAGGTTCTGGCGTGGCCTAGCCAGTCTCCAGACCTAAACCCAATAGAGAATCTTTGGAGGGAGCTCAAACTCCGTGTTTCTCAGCGACAGCCCAGAAACCTGACTGATCTAGAGAAGATCTGTGTGGAGGAGTGGGTCAAAATCCCTCCTGCAGTGTGTGCAAACCTGGTGAAAAACTACAGGAAACGTTTGACCTCTGTAACTGCAAACAAAGGCTACTGTACCAAATATTAACAATGATTTTCTCAGGTGTTCAAATACTTATTTGCAGCTGTATCATACAAATAAATAGTTACAAAATCATACATTGTGAAATCTGGATTTTTTTTTTATTTTTTAGATTATGTCTCTCACAGTGGACATGCACCTAGGATGACAATTTCAAACCCCTCCATGATTTCTAAGTGGGAGAGCTTGCAAAATAGCAGGGTGTTCAAATACTTATTTTCCTCACTGTACATGCACATATTCATGTTTTCTATTGAATTATAGTATTTATAAAGTTTAACTTTCAGTTGTTGCAGGAAAAGAGGAGATGCTGACTCAGCTAGTTTTGGGATGGACTGCCTTGCTCAGTGGCCTCCAGCCGGCTGGCTCCTCTATCACAAGCAGTAAGTGCAAACATGAGAGAGGTAGCCAGATGTTGAGATGAAACTGTAACCGCTCATCCAAGCCAGGTGCAGCTGTTGTGAAGTTGGCGCCTAGTTGACACTTGACAGAACGTGTATAAATTTTCCTTGATGGTGGGGGAGTAATGGTGGCCCCATCTTCTCTCAGAACCAGGTGGCAAACTTAAACCCATCTGGGACTTAAATTTCGTAAGTCGTGGAACACACCAAACACAAGGTTGAATGAGACCCATCTCTCTTCAACAAATAAATCATTGAGAGCCTCTTTCACATGCTCACCATAAATCACTTATTGAAGTAAATCCATTCACTCATAGCAGTCATCCCTGTTCTATCTCAGCTGTTTGCTCTTGAATGGTGAAGAACCTCTGTCTACTCACACACGGGGATTTAGACCAGAGAGAGCAGTCTCAGTATAATGCTGGCTTTTCTCTTCTTTGTTTACTACTTTCCTAAATTGTGAACGGGATGTGTTTGGCAGTTGTAATTCGAGTGTAGATGCAGCCCTCTACGATTGGAGTTTTATCCACATCAGCTGAGGTAAAAGCTGGCTCACGTTAAACAGTGATGACTTGTCATGATTGTGGATCAGATGGGGTCCTGTGCTTGGGTAAAGCTTGTGAAACAACTTCTTCACAACAAGCGTAATCAATGTTATGGTAGTACTCAAAACTATGTGATCTGACACACAAGCTTGGAGGAACAATAATGGGTCACTTCAGCAAATGTATTACGTCTGTCTGTCTGTGCAGGATTTCCATCTGGCAGAGACAGCAGGTGGTCAGCTCGGAAATGTGAAGTCTTCATGGCTCCTCCTCCTCCACCACCTCTGTTTCCTACAGTCAAACTGAAAGCAGAGCTGATGGTGACCTCACACACACGAATGTGCTTTGCTGTAGCAATGGATTATACTTCTAGGGGGAGGGCCAATATCTGAACATCCTGCACAGAGTGGCTTTTATTTGAAATGCTGAAATATTAACAATTTTGATTAATAAAATATCTAAATGTGTTCTTGGGTAAAACTTGCACATGAAATCATACTGGTCTGCCTTCAACTCTTCAGGTTGATATAACAGAACACATCACGGGACTGAAAGGGGAAAAGGTACGAAAGACCTCGGTTATGAATGCTGGTCCTTTTAGGGACCATAAAACAAGAAATGTGTACATTAATAATTGATTTAAGCAGTGAGATTCAGAAAATGAAGGATAAGCTTTTCCATACTCGGTCTCTGTAACAGTTCACACAATGTTTTTGTGTTTTTTAATTCGCACTATACAGTACATTATAATGGTGTTTGTGTTTGAAGGGCTGCAGAGGAACAAGAGGACCCAAGGTACAGTGTAACATGCACATGCACACACACATACACACACAAATGCATTTAACCCCATGTTGCTGCAAGTGTGTACACATGAAGCTCTTAAAAAAAGTCTCTTTTTTTTTAAGATAGAAGGAGATTACTCCATGAGCAAAAGGTTATTAAAAGAAAAGTTATGTCGCAAATTGTGTGTAATGTGTATTTTAGGGCCAACCTGGTGTGATGGGTCCAGAGGGAGAACCTGGAACACAAGGATACATGGGACAGCCAGGTCAAAAGGTCACAGAAAGACTATCCATGTCCATCAACCCCACTATCAGACGCTGACATACAGTGCTCTCACATCTAAAAGAGCGCTTATGTAATCTAACTTTGAAAGGCACTCTTGATTTGATGTTTAAAGAAGATCGTTGGTTTGGGTTTTACTGCCACTGTGGTGATGTTTTTCACCTGTGTAGTGTTCCTATTTTGTGTTCTTTCAAAGATACTGACACTTGTTTGTAGATAATCCTGCCAATTGCAGAACCGGAAACTGAAAACTACACACAAAATGTAATCAGTCACTCAATTGACCGTCCTTTTTCTAGTATTGTATTGAAGGCTCCAATATTAGTCGTTCATTTGCATCACAGTGTTTTCCAGGCGGACTCAAGGGCAGGACTCAGACAGGGGTTATTGAAGGATAAGGGTGCTGATGGTGCAGTGGATAAGACACCTGCCTTTGGTGTGAGAGACAGACCCGGGTTCAATCCCCCCGCTGTGACACGTCCACCAATGTGTCCCTGAGCAAGACAACTAACCTCTAGTTGCTCCAGAGGCGTGCGACCTCTGACATAATTAGCATCTGTAAGTCGCTTTGGATAAAAGCATCAGCTAAATGATAGATACAGAGGAATGATGATGGGACAGCGCAGAGAGAGAGGAATGGGAGCCACATCCACGCCAACTGACTCACAGACAAACACACAAGGAGAACAGAAAAGGGAAAACACAGGGATGGAAAGGAACATGTCACTGGCAGCTACTGACAGTCTGTCTCAACCATAACACAGCTGGGACGTTATTTTAGAATTTATACCTCTGTCATTCGAAAAAGTGTTCAAAACAGCACATTAAGCGTGAAGCACTGGCACAATAGCACTAATGTCTGTTAGACACTAATGGTGAATCTTATTTCTAGCTTCCCAGAAACCTCACTTTGGACTGTCAGAACTGCAGGTCACATGACAGCATCTGGACCACAAATACTTTTGTGCATCCATTACAGAAAACAAACACAACAAACTAACAAAAAAACAAATGTAGAGCTGTATGAAAAATATCGCCTCTTTCGATTATCACAACTTGAACCACAAATGTCACAAATTGTCTATCACTGTCAACATTGAGAAATTACTTCTGAGTAACAAAGTCATGGATGTTTAGACTTCTCTTTCACTAAAATTGTGATTAGTATTGTAATCACTTGATGTGGCAAACAAAAACAAATGTATTTGCATTAATTTTAATTAAGTAAAACTCTAACATGCTGTGATTTGATGTTTCCACAGGGGGAGAAGGGTGACAGAGGCTGGAGGGGCCTGTATGGAGACATAGGAACTCCTGGGATGATAAAGGTACATTGTAGCTTTGATTTGTGCTGCATTGATTCAACCCATGTCAACTTATAAATGATCAAAATGATCACACATAATATAAGTGGATATGTCGGCGACTTCTACTACTACTGGCTGGACATGTTGGTCATCAACATGTTATTTACAAACATATGACAGAGAAAATGAAGTTATGATACCACTTACCCAATGCATTGTTTGCCATTTGTCCAACATGTGTTCAAATCACACATAAGAACATGTATATTAACATGTAGCTTTAACAGCAGAAGTGGGTCATGTGGTAAAAGGGAAGCGGTGTTAATTAGATTCAGTAGTACAGTGTTTTTTTGAGTCTGCCCACTGCTCCCAAAGGAGTCATGTATTTAGAGTATGTACAAGGCTCACAACAACACATTTTAAAAAAAAAATAATTTTTCCATCACAGTGTGTTTTTGTTTCCAGTTGACAAGAATAGAACAGTGTTCCCTGTCCTAATGACATGTTAAAGGTTTGATGTTTCTCCAAACTGTCCTATACAGTATTTACTGGTTCTGCACACAAAAAAAGTTTGAAAACATTTCAAAACCAAGCAAGACTATTTAACTGCAGGTCAGTGTGGTTATCCTCTGCTGTGAGGAGCACAGGAAACACACACTGGTGCAGCCTGGTGTGCAATATGATGGCAGTGGGAAAATTATAAAACCAGTTACACTCGTGTTTGTATTTACAGGGCAGCAAAGGGCGTAAGGGATTCAGGGTAAGTGATGATTAATGCTGCATGTCTTTTTTTGTTTTATATATGAACAACACTGGCATTTTTAAAAAAGCAACACTTACGATTGCCTCTCATTTCTTTTTTTATTTTTATTTATTTATATCCATCTATTAGGGGGATAAAGGTATGAAAGGACACAGAGGACCCAGTGGAGAGACGGTGAGGGAAAATGTTTTATTTTCTTTCATTTGCTGTTGCTGGAAATGTGACATATTTATTAAAATGAACCTCAAACTGTGTGTCTCTTTAGGGTGAGCGTGGCACCACTGGAGCGCCAGGAGAGAAGGTAGAAGACTGGCTGACTTAACACAATCGAATACACTATGAATGTACTCTAAGCTGTGAAGGCATGGTGTTCTGTGCTGTGCTGTGCTGTTTTAGGGTGACCCAGGTCTGCGGGGCGATGCAGGGCGAAGGGGTGAGCAAGGACCCAGAGGAAAACCTGGTGGCAGAGGAACCATGGTAGGTATAAACAGATGCATGCAAACAGATGTACACATAAAAAAGGCTGACTTGAGCCAGCTGTTTCTGGCACAGAACTGATATTTAATCACTGATCGATCTTACTGAATTTGTGTTTAAACACTGTCGCCTTGGTATTTCTGCAGATTGATTATGATCAGTTCAACACTTGTTAAATGATGAATACTTTTTGGTGGTTAAAAATGTAAAGTAATAGGTGATATCTTACAGCAGAGTAACTATGGTGTACTGTACATTACTGAACAGATTGACATATTGACTGTCGAGGATGTTTTTGAGATGGTCTAAAGTAGGTTACATTTTGCGGGTTTGTTTTTATTAAGTGGTGTGTGCATCTGTCAGGCCCCAAGTTGTGCTTCCCAAGTGGCTATAAATGAGGCCACAACCCTATTGTTGGTCTGTTTGCTAACACGTTATCCATGACAACAATTCTACCAGGCATGGTTGAGACAGGAGTCCCCACAGCGCAAACTTGCATATCCAAATGTAGCTATGAGTAAAAATCTACTTGGCTCAGGCCTAAATTGAACAATTTGCCTCCGTTATACTGTAGAGACACAGCTGGTTGTAAGAGGTTGGTATCCCAGTTGGTTTGCCGGCTAACTGGCTAATTGTTTGGTCTATCAGTTATTCAATGAATGAATAAATCACTGTGTGCAGGGTTTGATGGGATCTCGTGGACCTACAGGAAAGCTGGGTCGTCCTGGTCCTGCAGGACTGCGTGGTCGGACTGGAGAGCCTGGACTACCAGGGCAAGGTGCGTGACAGGAGGAAAGGCTACGGATTAACCAGCATTTTGAAAGGTCTCCCAATTGGGAACAGCTCTCTATTCACCACAGTCTTTGTCATGTCTAACCCCTAACCGGAAGATTGTAAATGTGTGTGAGGTTCACATTACTGTCAATAAGTTGGAGTTGCTGGTACAGCACTGCACAAACTTTATCTATAGGCAAGAGTAATACATAGATATAAACATCTCTAATGAACACACATCACAGATGGACTTATAATTGATTTTGACCATCAGGCAACAACTTAAGCACAGAGTTTGGTCAAAATGACTCACTAATAATCCCTTCACTTTCCTGCTTGGCTTTTAAAAGAACAAAAAAGATGAAACTGAAATCAATTAGTGAGGAATAACAGAATATATATTAAAAAGGAGAAACATGGAGCAACATGAATATGGCATGAACGTGTTTTACTGGTGGTGTACAGATCAGCTATGGGGATTTCCTGATTAATGATGCCTTGTGTTGTAGTGTACATCCTACCAGGCCTGCAGGGAGACGCAGGAAACCGAGGTCCTCCAGCCAAATGCAACTGTTCACAGGTTCAAAGCCCACAACGTTTGTTGGGCAGAGTCCCGACGGTCAGTGTCACACACACTGCTGAATGAAACCCACTACATTGATCAATACATACTTTTCTGATGGGTAAGCCTAATGTTAAGCTTCAACTGCTTTAGATGAGGTAGAAATGATAAATTAACACACTTGTTCAAAAGTTCACAGTGTAAAACAGGCTCATTTCTGTCTTTCTCCAGATCTTTATTGCAGATGGAGAGAGACAGATGAGGAGGCTGCGGGGAGAGAACGTGATGGTGCTGCGGACAGACAGAGAAGCTCTGTACATCTACACCGAATCTCAATGGATCAACGTACTGGTAAAGCTGAAACAACTTCAAAACACCCAAATGGAATCAGCATAAAAACCGCTAAGATATACATAATAGACTGCCATTGGTTGAGGTGTAATAATTGACGGATCAATAAAGGCTAGCCGAAATGACATTTTGATTAAATGATGACCGTTTCTCTTTAAATTTTCAGCAAAACAAAAAGTCATGCACAAAAACATTCATGAATTCAGTGGGAGGAAAAAAAGTAAATCACATGATGCATCAGAGTTCAGATGAGTCACTGGAGGTCGTTAAAATTATGTAATCTTGTCTTGAACAAGTCTATCTACAGCCGTGCTAGCAGCTCTGTGGGGCTGTGCTTTGAGCTAAATGCTAACATTGTCATGCTGCACAGCCGACACTGATGGGAATGTCATTAGTCTTGCAGGCATTTGGTCGTAAACCAAATTATTGGAAGAACTGGAAATTGGACCTGATGTTGGCACCATATAAGAAGTCAGGGGATCACCAAAGTTATTACAGTTTATACAGAGGAGGGCTTCAATGTGTTTCAAGGCAATTTATCCAACAGTTATTGAGACATTTCACTCAAAACCAAAAGTGTCAAAAGATCACCAGAGTCATAAAAATACATCATCTGGGAGCAATGAATGTCTGCACCAAATGTTGTGCCAATCCCTCCAGTAGATGTTGAGATATACAAGTGAAAGCTTTGACATGCTGGTGTCACGAGAGGAAAAGTCAGGGGATCCCCAAAATAGCCCCCATAGTGAGTTCAAGTGCAACCAGAACTTAGTTTTTGTTCCAGAAGTAAGAAACTCTCAATCACCATGCCATTGACAGTTATAGAAATGCTAATAACTAAAAATCCAACCTTGGAACAGAGCCTTTCTCAACAGTTTGTCACATGTCTCTCTTTGTTTATTTAATATTTCTGTTTTAGCGGAACACCATTTTTCATTACGCTCGAGTCTAGACCACTGAGGATGAGGTTAGCGCACATGTCTGTAATAAAAGCAGGACAGAGAGGACTGAACAGTGTAGATGTTCAGCATGGTACAGCTAAAAAAAAAAAAAAAACAGGGTTAACCACTGTACAATTTTTACATCCAACAACCCTACATACTCTGTGATTGAGAGAGTTGGGATGCGTTATTCATTTTTGCTAAATTTTCTGAGATTTGCATTTTAAATGTGAACCAAATCTGCATCAATACAGTACAAATAAAATGTAGCAACAGTTATGTGTTACAGCAGACAATGTTACAGAGTGATTTTTTTTTAGATACAGAGGACAAGACAGATGCTTCCTTCGGTCTCCAGCATGTGAGCTTCCATTTAACAATAGTGAAGTTACTTATAAATGAGCGGGTAAACAATCTCCCCATGTTTGAGTTGCCAGTCATGTGGTTAACCCTTCACTAATAAGTGTACCTGACTAACTGGAGGTGGAGTTTTCATTATGAGACTGAGCGACAGACGTTAATTACATTGACTGTGTTCTCTTTGTCCTCATTACCTATTCCTCTCTGTTTTCATGCTGCTTCCTGTTTGGAACAGGAGTACCCCAGATACTGACCCCACTCCATTCAACACTGGCTGGAGTGCTCTTGACCAAAACCTCGAACCCCAACTGTTTAGTGGCCAGCAGCTCAGACTGTTGCTGGGAAGCTTCCAAAGTGAATGTGTGTAAAGTAATGAATGCGATCAGATCAAACCTATTCATGTTAAATAAAGGTTGTCCTATCCTCTGTACAGCTCCTCTTCAGATGAATTATTACTTTATTGTGCGGGGCGGCTGGAGATAGAGTTGGTTGCCCGGTAATCGGAAGATCGGCGGTTCGATCCTCGGTTCCTCCAGTTTCCTCCAAGTTCCATGTAAAAGATGGCTGTTCCATCGGTGTGACTGTTAGATTCTGTTTGAGCACCTGCAAGAATGGGTGAATGCGATGTAGTGTAACAACAGGTCGAAGGGCTTGAAAGGCACAATACAAACATAGAGCATTTGCATGTAGTTACATTTTTCCGTGAGTCATAACTTCAGCATGACCATTGTTTGAGCATGATTTATACATGCATGAGCATTGTTCGAGTAAACATTGGTGGATGGAATATTCAGAGTTTCCGAGCAGTTTTTAAACTTTTAATGAGCTCAGAAAAACAGTCCTGTTTTCAGCTTTGGGACCATGCATACTTATCCAGATACATGGTTTTCACTGGACAGGAAGGGTTTTAATCTAAAAGTAACTAGTAAATAAAGCTGTTAAACAAATGTGGTGGAGTAAGAAGTACAGTATTTGCCTCTGTGATGTAATGGAGTAGAAGTTATAAAGCTGCATAAAATGGAAATAATTTAAAGTGCAAGTACCTCAAATTTACAGTACCTGAGTAAATGGACTTAGTTTCATTCTACCAGTGCATTTAAAAATTCCTTATTCATCATTGCACACAATTAAATGAACCTTCACTGTATTTGTCATTGCAACACTTTCCTGTAGTTTTATTTCATGGATCCAGAATGCATTATTTATTTAATGGATCACACATTATATGCGTCAGCAGCTGCTGCTGCAATGCTCCAGATCCAACAGAAAGATAAATAAAAATCTGTAATGTGAGGACAAAGGGTCTGAATGCTTCACTAACAAGTTAGTAGGCTACTCACAAAAACATGTAGACTTGGCAGGAAGTGCTGCATGTTACACACCTTTAAACAAAGATAGAAAGTCGTATTAAGTCACTTAAGCAACACAACAAACAAGCTAAATAACCAACACCGCTGTCTGCTTGTCTGTTTTGTCATGCCAACATCAGCTGAGCAGTTTTAGAACACGCACGGTGGACTAGTGGATAGCACTGTGGCCTCACACAGCAAGAAGGTCACGGGTTCAAACCCCGGTCCTCCTGGCCTTTCTGTGTGGAATTTGCAGGTTCTCCTCGTGTCCTTCAAAACATTGAAAACATGTAATGTTCTCCAGTCAGTGTTTGAGTATAGGTGTAAACACCTTTATTATTATAAAAATAACTTTTCAAAAACTAGTTACAAAGTGCTTTAACAAGTGTAAAGACAATAATACCCAAAAGACAATAATACAAAAACAATACAAGATAAAAGCAAGAAAACATTGAAAAGACTAAAATACACGTTTAAGATAAATATAAAATAAGGAAAATAGAATAAAATAAAAGGGATAAAATAAAGTCAAATAAGATCGGGAAAGGCTCTCGTATAAAAGTATGTTTTAAGAAGGGACTTAAAAGAGTTCACTGACTCAGCCGACCTGATTTCCTCGGGCAGGCTGTTCCAGAGCCTCGGGGCCCTGACAGCAAACGCTCTGTCCCCTTTAGTTTTCAGTCGAGACTCTGGAACAGACAACAGACCTCTGCCCGAGGATCTCAAGGTGCGTGCTGGTGTGTATGAGACTAAAAGGTCAGAAATATAATGAGGCGAGAGGCCATGAAGAGCTTTAAAAGTGATCAATAGAATTTTAAAGTCAATTCTAAATCATACTGGGAGCCAGTGTAATGAAGCTAAAATAGGAGTAATGTGGTCATATTTCTTTGTTCTGGTTAAAAGCCTGGCAGCTGAGTTCTAGACAGTCTGGAGTCGATCAATAGATTTTTGGGTTAAACAGGTGAAAAGGCTGTTGCAATAATCCAGGCGTGATGAGATGAAGGCGTGTAAAATGGTCTCGGTGTCCTTAAAAGTTAACATAGATCAAATTTGAGTTGATAAAAACATGATTGAACAAGCTTTTTGGTGTGCTGCTCGAAAATGTATTTACTATCACCAAGGTTCTTTGCCACAGGCTTCATGTGATTTACTAGGGAACCAGCAGATGGTAGTATTTGTTTTGCCATCTGCTGAGACCCGATGACCAGGATTTCTGTTTTTTCTGATTTAAGCTGGAGGAAATTATTTGACATCCATTTTTTAACTTCACAAAGGCAGTTGTTAAGTGAACTCAGCATTCCAGGGTCTGTGGATCTGACAGGATCTGATCAATGGTGTCAAACCTTTTTATATACAGTCTATGTGTCAAACGCAGCGCTAAGGTCCAGGAGTACTAGGACTGAGCACATGCCTTCATCAGCAGACATTAAAAGTTCATTGGTGACTTTAAGCAGGGCAGGGCTAGAATCTTTGCAATAAAAGGCAGTTTTGAAATTGGTCTAAATTTTGTGGGAGGGAGGGATCTAAACCAGGTTTCTTTAAATGTGGGTTCACAAAAGCCATTTTAAAATAATCAGGGACACAACCAGTAGATAGGGAGCTGTTAAAAACAGAGATCAAATGGGGCCCAACAGAATCCATTACTTTCATTAAAAACTTTGTAGGTATTACATCAAACAAGCTTATGCAGTCTATGGTAAACACTAACGCTCCCCCGGTGTTCCAAGTTCCCAGTAAAGCTAATCTGACCAGCTACTAATGGCAGCTATAGTTAGCTGTTAACTAACGTCAGCAACAAAAGCTTTCTGTGCATCAGGAAACTCTGTGAATCACAGAGTTGAGGCAGAGCAGCCGAGGGACAAGAGAGAAAATTTGAATATATTTCCAATATATTTCTCCATCAAATGATCCAGTTTGAGCAAAATCTGTGAAAAAAAGTTGTTTTTGTGTAGCAATCAGTGGGGCCCGGCCCCAGAAACACTGTGCTTCAGCAGCATCATATTGAAAAATCTTTTCATTGGACGCTAAATTAATACAAGAAGTGCAGAATGAGTCATTTTAAAATGTTTTTACCAATGACAGACTCTTAAATATCATCAAGAATACTATATGACACATGGAGGGGCCAGATGCTGCCATAGTGGTGACAAAGTGCAAAGCATATCATATAAAAATGGATTTTGATTTCATGGTAATGTAAGATTTTTTTAGCATTGGATGTTTCTCTAAAAATAAACAGAGCAGACATGGATCATTACGCTCTTGTCATCCAAAAGTAACTAAAAGTAATCAGGTTATACACTGCTTTTATTAGGTCACTGATTAGGCCTACATTTTTTTAACAAGTAATTAGTAATTGTAGCAGATTACATTTTTAAAGTAATCCTCACAACCCTGATGGTAGTCAAATTCAAAGGAGAGTTAACTTCCAGGGCGAGTTGACAGTAGGTGGTGATCTTCCACAAACACATGACGGTGTCTGCGCGCAGCGATGCTCTGCCCTCAGCCACAGGTGTGCGGCTGCCAGCAGCAGGTGAGCTGATGGGTTACTGAAAAGTAAAATACTTTAGGTGTAACTTTCAAAAATGCCACGGTTTTCGCGATTTTGTTATTTGGGTTGGCCTACCTGGTAGCTGGTTGTGGACTTCGGCCCCGGACGGTGAAGTTTTGGGGTTTTCTGCCATGTGTTCCTCAAATCAAGTCACGCTGGTGAGTCGGTTTTGATTTAGAGAACTCTCGTTGCTGGTTGGTCATTCTCATTGTTGTGGGCTATGTTTTCGGTAGAGATTGGGTTAAAGATTTTGTCAAGGTAGCATTTCAGGACTCTGCTGGTGGAATATGTACTCATATTTTAAAAAAGTAAGAGTACTTAGTTACAAGTAAAAGTGAGTGGACACCTAAATAGCGATCATGTCTGTCCGGGTCAAATTGATAAGCTCATTGTTAAAATAACCGCTGTTTTCTTTTTCTATATTTCTCATGAGGATTACCATCTAATTGGCGTTTGAATATTTATTATATGAATATAAAGGAATGAAGCAGCTTCGCTGTTGTGTGTAATTTAAATATACTAATACAGTACTGTAAAGGCTATAAAAACTAGCTTGCTGTAGTTCAAATTATTTAAATGTTGGATTTAGTTACATTCCACCACTGTTTGATGGATTGGCATAGCTTTTGATAGACATGCTTCCTAAATGACCAGTAACTGTTGATGTACATAACATTCCCATCACAGTAAAGATTAGAGCTGAATTGATTTGTAGATTAATTAGGATTTTGACAGTGAATCTGCAGCAATTTTGTATAATAATACATTCACTCATTCCAGCTTCTGTGTGAATATTTTCTGGTTTCTTTCTTTTTGGTCTTTCATGACAGTAAACTGATTATGTTTGAGTTTTGGACTGTTGGTCAAACAAAACAAATTTGAAGATGGCACCTCGGCTCTGGGAAATTGAGTTTTTCATTATTTCCCTAAAAGCAGCGAATCCTTTTTGGGAAGATGGAACCAGGTACTGTTTCATATATCTGCTTGATAAATTTGACTATCATTTTGACATTTGACTTATTGGGTTATCTGTCCAGTACTCTGCATTCTGTTGCTGTGGCTTGACACATCTGTTTGTAGCTGTTCTTTGGTCTGGACATGTTGCTTACAACAACTGCAGCTTACTGTACTTAATTTTCCCACATATTTGTGAACTCTGACTTTCTGGTCCACTTGGTTGGCTAACTGCCTGTCTCTCTGTTAGATCAGGAAGGGCAAGACTTGGCGATGTGTTTTGGTACTGTAGAAAACCTAAAAAGAACCTGTTGTTAATAGCAGCTCTTGGGACAGTGTAAATGTCATACCAAACCAAATCTGGTGCCATTACACCTTTAAGTTGTGCTCCAGCGACATTCATTTTAGTTATCAAAATTTTGCAGTTAGGTATTGTCATTGCCACCATCCAGTCAGCATAGATTTTTAACACTGTGGGTCACAGGAGACATTTCGCCATGTCACAGAAGGAAAAGAACAGGTGTAAATAATCAAATACATGCATTTTGCATTTTTGTTACCATTTGTAGCTACATAACATTATCTTGGCTTGAACATTTTATTCAACATAAGCGATGAATAAAATCAGAGCAGTCTATGGTAAACACTAACGCTCCCCCGGTGTTCCAAGTTCCCAGTATGGGCAAAGCAATGCATGAGAGCAAGAAAACAAGAGATGATCTTTGTTTTCTTGGTGCCTCGCACAAGTGTTTACTGAGAACGACACAATGTGTTTGACTATTTAGTCTTCATAACGTGGACTTCATATAGTGCCTTCAAGTGAGATTGTGTTGACAGAATCCATTTGAACAACCACTGATATTACATTCATGACTTTGTAACGATAGAATTTCTGAGAGTTAACAAATTTTCATTTACAGTTTTAAAAATGTTGGAGCCCTTCGAATATAACTTTTAATTTAAAAAAACAGCTGTTTACTGTTTTTTAAAAACAAGGCTTCATCCATCTTTGTTGTGAACAAGTTTTCCCACAACTTAAACTACTTGAAATTTAATTTTAAGGCACTAATACTTTGATATTATCCAAGAGTGGAGCATGTTGACTAGTGTGACTTTACTTTGTTTAATTTGATGTCAGGAGCTGGGCAGGCTTGACAGCACTACTGTATAAATCAGACATCACAAAAAGTTTCACAATGAAACATACACATGATGCCGTATCTCTACCCAACCCACAGCTTCTCAATACCTGAAAAACCATCCTCCGCACTTTTCCATCCCCAAATTTCCAATGCATGGTAACAGTCAAATTAGACCGGCACATCGGTTTAACAAATTTTCTCATTTATTTTAAATGCAACAGCAGATTTGACACCAATAACAGCCATGTGCTCTGCTGGGTGTCCTTGAGCAAGCCATTTCAAGACATTGATCAGTTTTAAACTGTATGTTGTTCTTGAGTGTCACTGAAAAACACCATGATGTAGGCCTAGTGATTATTTTCCTGCAGGGCAGTGGACACAGGAAGTACTTTTCAGTTGACTTCTCCCCTCCAACAATATCACAAAACAGACACATTTGATGTTATAATTAATTGAAATAATTTTGTAACTGTAATTATACATTCAAATTAAATCTGAGTACTTCAACAACAGAAACGACTGCACATTAAAAATCAAAACTGGGGCAGAAATATCACATTTTTGGCATCTGTACTGTTGCACTGGTGGTGACATGTCATGCAGATCATTTTTAATCTAGTGACTGCAAGGATGATAAAAACAGGATGGTAGAAACAGACCTAGGTTCAGATGCACATAATAAGTATGTAACTATGACCAGAAAATGTATGTAGAAAGTCTTTATCAGCTGATCTGGACACAGTTTTTCACTTCTTTAAAATTATGTTTCTGTAACTATAAGAGTGTGGAAGGGCGCTTGGATGGAGCTGCAGACTAGCTAACTACTTAACTGACTGGTTTTATCCAGCTGGCTAATCTAATCTGACGTACCCGCCCAACTGAAAGATAAGAGATTATAACTACCTAACTGACTAACACAGACACTTTTTCAAATGTGTTGCTAAAAACCAGAATACTTATGTACCAACTTACTAGCTAACTAGATAGCTAATTCCCAAAGTGACTCAGGGTGTATCCATTAGGCATACTTGAAGTGCCACTTGCTTGTACAGTGCTTGTCACTGCCTCCTAACGCCAGGTTCTGTTATTTATTTATATAGCTCTTCATTTTTTGTGTGGGAATCCCCAAGCAGTAGTGAAACATCTCCATCACAATTTCCCAGAGCCCAAGTTGATGTATTTAAAATGATCATTTTGTCTAAAGAGTCTAAAACCCAAAGGTTTTCAGTTCACTAGAGTTCACTTGATTAAGAAAACCAGTAAGTTGAGATGCTCCAACCAGTGAATCTTGAGATTTTTGCTTAAAAAAGTTATTTAAATAATTACAAAACATGGTGCAGATTAATTTCCCGTAATCAACTAATGAGTTAAACAAATATCTTAAAATCTGGTTGAAATTTGGCAAAAACATTAGAAGAGGCTTGGTCTTTGTCACTCATTCATTAAAATACCTATCATAGAAGAGGAAACTGAAGTTTGAACTTGCAATAACAAACAATGTTGTTCTTTACAACACCAGAAACTGAGCCAAAACACAGAAGTTACCCCAAGTAAGAAATAAAGAATTAAAACTGGATATTGGAGCTCAATGGTGTCGCAACCATAAAAGAGACTCCTGTAATACCTGAGGCCTCTGGGCATGGGCACTAATGTCCGCCACTGCATCTTTTATTAAATTTTTTTCTTTTATATTACCAATGAAGTGTAAGTGTTGGTTAACAATTGTACCTCAACCTGCTCCAAAACCAGCTGTCATGATGATCCATTAATGAGACACTAAGGTCTGAAGACCAGTAGGTTCTCTCGCCTGACAGTTGTCTAAGCCTATCACTCTCGCCCTTAGCTAGTTGCTGCTTGTTGTCCTCCCAGGCTTCCTTGTATTTGCCCAAATTTGGATTTTCTGACAAAGACGGCAGTGTGTGAATGGTAAACTCCTGGCTTCAAAATGTCAGAAAGCTAATGGTTGACATCACAGTTACAGTCAAAGGTTCCTGCGGGGTATGATGTCACCGCGCACCTGTGAGCAGTTTGAGCATTGTGTTTTTCAGGCACTTGTTCCCAGGGCATCCCTTGGGCTTCTCTGATCATTTAACATGCTAAGTGGACATACACCTTTAATTAGCAAAATGATTGGCCAGTGTTAAGATGAAAAAGAAGTGGCTGATTTATTAACTAGCAAATTGATGATCACCTTCAGTTCATTGTAGCTGACTAGCAGCTTGGTCTACTAGATATCAAACAATTACCTATTTAACTGACTTACTAATGAATTAACAGAATAGAGTCTGTTTAAATAAAGTGGTATCAAGTCTGTCACCACAGTGTGTCCAAAGTATTCTCTTTTTGTTGCTGATTGAGTGACATGCTAAAGCTGAGCTCAGATTAAAGGAGGTTCTGGTTGAGTCTCTGTGGGACAGTCCTAATAATGCAAAAGTGATTGATATTAACAAACGTGTTATTTGGTCAGCTGAGTTGAATTAAAGGCATGTCTAGACTTGTCGGATCTATCCTGATGGCCCCCAAGACATCTAATTTTACAGAGTGAAGGGAGGAAGTGGTAACTGATGTGTAGTTCCCTCTGGTGTGATAATTATAATCTGTGATGCAATTTGATTTTTAAAACTGGTTAGGATTTCAAAACATCTGTAATCTGAGCACAGCCTTATTGGCTGATTCTGACAGCAACTGTTTGTTTAATTACTGTGCATTTAAGTATTAAGTCTTATCCCGTCTTGTTCACCAACCAATCAGCCATCTAAATGTAAATATATGATTTGATGAAACGATCCAAATATAAACTCAGTAAAACTAGCTGTATGCTAGTTTGATAACCCAGATCAACATTTTGACATATTTTGAGAATACAGACCCACGTCCAGTCAAACTCATTCTCTTTTGACACTTCTTAAAATAATTATAATATCTTTCCAGTATTAAATAATCTTATATAAAAACACACACAAAAGTTTGAAATAAATGGCATTGCTCCCACCCCCTAGTTCATAACATAAATTTTTATACACAACACTTTTGCATCTCTTGTTCCTTCCGTTAATCCCTCCTTCCCTTCATCGGTAACGTTACTTCCATTGCCACGGCTCCATGCAGTACCAGTTATTTTGCAGCAAATTGTCTCTGTTGCTGTTGTCGTTCAAGTCTCGTCTTTTGTATATTTCAATGCAAAGCTGCACAGACATTGTGAAAAAAGCTTGATTGGTGATTTTTCTGGCTTGCTTGTATACAGAGATATATATATATATATATATATATACATATATATATTTTTACTCATGTCATTGGATTAACATGTATTGGTAATGATAGTAATAATGATGATGATAGTAATAATGAGGATTATAGGAACAATCATAATCTGAGATTAAGAGTAGGAAAGACAATTTGCTACTTGCTCGGAATCCAGGGGTGGATGGTTTAGGATGAGGAGAGACAGACAAGTCAAGACAGACACTGATTATTTCTTCTCTGCAGGAACTATGAGACCTAAATGGTCAGTTCAGTTTTTAGGCTCAACCCCAGTGTCATTGTTTCCTACCAGTCACTGGTCAGTTTGGTGCTTTGGTCCCGTTTCGGAGGAGCGGGAGGTGGGCCTCGCCGCAGCGTTGCATAGCCTGAGATGTTGGCATGTTTGGTGGAGTGGGAGTGTGTGTGGTGGCGAGATAAAGTGTGGGAGTGTCCTCTGACACCCTGCTGTTGCTGCTGCAGGAGCTCAGGGGGAGGAGGCGGGAGCAGTGCCATGTCGTCCATGGTGCCCATAGGCTCCATCTTAGAGGAGGAGATGAGGTGGGAAGATGTGAGTGAGCCATGGCGAGACACTGACTTCCTCTTAAGGGTGCGGTTGAGGTCTTCCAGGAAGAGAGGCTTAAGTGCCAGGGTGCTCGGCCCTGGTGATTTCGGGGAGGTTGGAGGGATGGGAGAAGAGGAAGAATAAGAGGACAGGGAGGGAGGTGGGGTCTGAGACAGGGGAGGCGGTGAGAGGGGCATTGAAGATGTGTTGTCATACTGGGTGGTATTGCTGGTCCGCCGGTTCAGTGTTGGAGGCAGGACTGCCCCCTTTTTCAGTGAGCCTTGTTTCCATGATGACGATGACAAGGAGGATGTTGCCAACTGTTGAGGTGGCTGCATCTGAGGCTGCGGGTTCACCACGGCGACCTTTGGGGGGTGATGGAACTCTGATGGGTGGGGGGGGGGAGGGAAAAGCTCAAAGTCACTGGGAGGAGGCGGGAAGTAGTCAGGTGATGAGTCGAGGTGAGGAGGCTGAGAAGGGGGGGGTGGGGGAGGAGGGGATGGGAACTCAGACGGCTGATGGTGCTGGCCCGTTTGCAGCCCCTGGAGCGCCAGCGGGAGGTTCGCCAAGTTCAGCTTCCCCGGCTTAGGGAGCGGAGTAGGGAGCGCAGAGGAATCTTTCGAAGGAGACCCAGTAACTGACGAGGAGCTGGAAGAGGTGCCTGTTTGAGGAGCTTGGCCAAACTTGTTGACCAGGCTTTCTACCTTCTTTGGCCTCTCGTCCTGGCTCTCACCTGATGAGCTGCACCTGATGGAGGAGGCTCTCTGTGGGGCTGGTGGAGGCCCCCGCTTCGTGGATCCTGTGGATGAGGAGGAAGGTGACTTCTTTATGGGGGAACCTGTCTTGGAGGAGGATGAAGAGGAAGGAAGATTTAAATCTCCTATGGAGCTGTCAGGAGGAGGTGGGGGGAACTCTGGTGACTGTGGAGCCACAACGCCTCCTGGCTGCCACTTCGGTTTGGCCTTGACCGCTGGAGGAGACTGAGGAGCAGTGAATTTAGATCCTTCCATTGAGTTGGAGGCAGGTAGAGTGGAAGGAGGAGAGTTTCCAGGGAACTGATTGACAATCTGTTTGACCAAAGAGGAGGTAGCAGCCGCGATGGAGACGGAAGAAGAGGAAGAAGAGGGAGAGAGGGCAAGGTTTTTGGAGGAGAGGCTGTGCTGCTTTGGCAGGGTGGGAGGTGGTTGATTTGGAGAATGTCCTGTTGAGAAACTTTGCTGCTTTTTAACTGGTCCGTGGCTGCTGAGGGGCTGTGTTGGTGACACAGGTGAGAGGGCGATTGGAAGGGAAGAGGGACCAGAGGGTTTGGGAGCAGTTTGAGGGGGAAAACCACCAGTGAAAGTTTTGGGAGGTGCAGGTGGGGGTGCATTGGGAGACAGGGGCCGCAGAACTTGTAGGGAGGTAGGAGGAGAAAGTTCAGGTGGAGGAAAGGGAGGAGAATTATCCTCAGCCACTGTTGTGTTGAAGTCGTACACCATGTTGGGAAACTTCTGTGCCAGGAACTGCTGAAGACCGCTGTTGGAAAGTTGAGGGCAGGAGTTGGTGCTATGCTCTGGCGGGGGAGGGGGAGGCAAACCATTGGTCTCCAGGCTCTCCGGTGGAGGAGGCGGGAGGTAGAAGGGCTCCTGCAAGTCGTCCTCCAGTGGGGGTGGTGGTGGGAGAGCAGAGGGGCTTGGTGGACCAAATTTCAGTGCGGCCATGGCTGAGCCAGGAGCCGGCACCGTCTGTGGAGGAGGAGGGGGAGGAGACGGTGGTAGTGGAGGGGAGGTGCTGTAAGTAGCTGGGAGGGTATTGTAGTTGGATTTGGTAGACTGGGTGAGGAGGCCAGGAGAGGTGGCTCCTGCCAGCTGTGTCCCAGATTGGTTTTGGCTCTGCAGGCGAGCCAGTGTGCTGTACTTAATGTATGAGGAGGTAGGTGCTGGCTGATGGGCCACACTTGCGATGGCGGGAGGTGGCGGTGGAGGAGGCGAGGGCGGTGACGGGGACGAATCCTCAGATTGGACGAGGCCATCTGTGTAGCTGCTCCGGGAGGGTGGGGTCTGAGAGAGAGGGAGGGGCTGCGGGGAGAGAGAAGGTATCTGGACAGGGATAGGCCTACTGATAGGGTCGATCCTCATCATCTGGAGAGGGGACAGGAAATGGACGGGGGGGGAGAAGAGAGAGGGAAACAAAGAATAGAAGGGGAAGGAACCGTGAGATGAAGGTGGAGCATAGAAGTAGGGAGAGAAGCAGGAGAAAGATTATTAGAACACAATTAAATATGACCATATGTACCATTGTCATGTTTCTGAAACCAAACTATCCAAGACAAGATGCAGGGAATGCAAAAAACCACTGCCGCCTGAGAACAAACAGCTATTATAACTCCAAACACGGTGCATCTATTAATCCACTGAAAAAACTCTGCTGACCTACAATAATTCACCTCAAGGATGGACTTTACATTTATTTTTGCTCTGTTAAGTTTTCATTGCCAGCCACAATGGAAGCTGAAAGAGTTTCTACGGATCGTCAAAGGTCAGTCGATCTATACCTACATCTCTTTGTTTAAATCTTAAAAACCGTACTTAACTGGTTTTAAACTAAGCAGTTTTAAAAGAGGTTGCAAACAAGGTGTCAAACAACATGTAACGGGTTATAATCTGGTTCCAAACTGGGTCAATCTGGTTGTAAACTGTTAGCAAATGTGTCCAACTAGTAGATGGCTAAACATTGACAATTATTGTTATCATTTGTTGGTTAAGACATTCCATCACACCACAAGGTTAAAACAAGCAGCCATTTAAAAACAGGGAGACAGTCGACCATGTATTTAAATATGTCAAGTTCAACTCAAACTTGTCAAAACATGAAATGAAACTTGACCTACATTTATCCATTATGTAAAACAAACTGACTTGATTTTTGTTTGTGTTGGTTACTGCTGAGCAAGTCTTAGGTCATCCTGACAATGTACGTAATTGGAAGTTGTAAATATCCAGGCAAATGTACAGATCATCAGCTGAAGCTAGTAACACGAGTACTCAGATTATTTTTTTGTTGTAACGAGTAACGTTAACACGTTGTTTTGAAATTTAAATGATGAGGTTTTTTTTTTTTTTGTTTTCAAATAATCAATCCATTATGTTTAATCCTGTTAGAGGTTTACCATACTTCCTGTTCCTTTTGCTGCCACAAAAAAAGAAAATCCTGACATTTGCATAGTTTTGGTTTCTTTCCTACTTCTTAGATGGTAGTTGCGTACTAGTGGAAGGTATCCAATCCTGTGGTTGTGTCAGTGATCCGCTGCAAAGTGGAAATAACAAGCATTGAGCTGCTTAACCGGTTGCTGTTAAAAAAAATGATGTACTGGAAGCTACAAAACACAGTTATTTGTTTTCACAGAGGCAGCTGTGCCTCTCCCCAGTTCTGTCAGATCGTTAGCAGCCAAACGGCTGTACAGGTGTCACCTGTCAAGTACCCTCAATTTTTATTTACTTACTGCACATTTTCAAGTGGCCTTTTATTGTGGCCAGCCTAAGGCACACCTGTGCAATCCCCATGCTGTCTGATCAGCATCTTGATATGCCACACCTGTGAGGTGGATGGATTATCTTGGCAAAGGAGAAGTGCTCACTTACACAGATTTTGACAGATTTGGGAACCATATTTGAGAGAAATAGGCCTTTTGTGTACATAGAGAAAGTCTTAGATCTTTGAGTTCAGCTGATGATGAATGGGGGAAAAACAAAAGTCTTAAGTTTATAATTTTGTTCAGTATGTTTATTTGCAATAAATATAATTGTCTGCAATTCCAGATGGCATAGAGATCCACAGCATTAAGCTAACGCTACATCCACAAGTGCAACCTGCTAATTAGAGTAGTGCGATAAGACCGATGCAAACTAGTCCAAACCAAGCACCAACACAAACAGCTAAGTGTTTTAAAGGCTGCAGCCAAACTGTTAACATGCCTGTCACGTCACTTCCTGTCTAACCTCCACTCCCTCCTCCTGCACAAAGAGGAACTGGCATACGTCCCTTCACCTTTGACTGCTGTCAGGGAAGCAGAGAGGAAATATGGGTCTACAAGAAAACAGGAAAGGATAGGACAGAGAGTGTTTGTGTGTGTTCACACCTCTCCTTGCGTTCCTCTTCTCCAGGCATCAGAGAAAATGGAGCTGACAACACTCTGGGAGCGGGTGTGGCCTGATGATGTCATCTCTGATACGCCACTGTCTGATTGGCTGGAGTGGTTGGACTGGGACTCTGGGGTGTGGACACGCAAGAAGTTATATTAAACTTTTACTACTGATAATGATATTTATCTATAAATGGATATTATTATTTTTGATTATTTACTTCACTTTTGCTGGTTTTGTATAATCTGTAACTTTCCACAGAATTATCTTAACCAAAGCAGGCAGACAGACCTGGCAGGCTGGAGGAGCTGGATCCAGACTTGATGGAGGAAGAGGAGAGGGAGGACCAATCGTAGGCTGCCTCCGTCCTCCTCATTGCCTCCTGGTAATTGATGTACAGCTGCTTCCCGTACTGATAGATAGACAGACAATAGATTTTGGCAGATATGCATTTTAAGCAATCTAATTCTGGAAGGACTTAATACTGCATGTTCACCACACTAAACATATTGCAGCTTGGAGAATGTTAGTGTATAAACAACACTGTTTCTACAGGATCAGACAGATTTACTACAGGACAAGTTTACCTTGGCGATGCGGATACTGTTGATCCATTGTTGGAGGGTTCTGACATCATCACAACAGAGGTACTTGATGTACTGAGACTTCTTCTGGATCTGAGGGTGCTACACACACACACACAATATTATAAGATACTTTACTAGTTGTGTTATTACTTGCTTATTATTACTACAACTCCTGTCACTATTAATGACAAACACAAAGTTAATATTTCTAATGTACTGTTAAATTAAAATCAAAGCACTACCGTATTAATACATTAAAGACATATTATTGTGTATCATTCTTGTTTTATCTCTTTTCTTTGAAATATAAGTGTCATTACTCCGCCCCACCACTAGGTGGGATTGCAAGACCACTGTGCTACAAACCAGACAGTAATTTATCCCAAACCTGATCACTGCGGTGTGTATGTGTGTGAAGTTTACCTTCAGCACCATGCAGTAGTCTGTAGGAGCCTTGTACTTGCTCTTGTAGTCCTGGCCGTGGTAGACATTAACATGATCCAACTGGAGAAAACACACCAGGTCTCTGGATGCCTACACAAACGCGCACACATTGAATTTCAAGCATCTTCTTCAGTTTAACAGTAGAAAATCATTACCGTTATAGAACATGCTGGAGTGTTTTCTCCGTATTGCCCACTAAGTTTCTTTTCATTACACACACCTTGGCCTTTCCCTTCGGAACATAGTAGATGCCAGAAGCCCTCAGCAGAAAGTAGCGTTTCTTCCACGACTTCTTCCCATCCTCCTTCAGCCACAACACTCCCTCCATCTCGGGGACAGACACTGAGCTGCCACCGAAACACTCCTGAGACACACGAAAATACACACACAGACAAAACAGAGACATATTGATGCTTCGATTTCAGTCTAACACGGCTTTTCTGACATTCATACCAATATCAACTATTTTTACAAGGCTATTAAGCAAAATGCAGAGTGGCAGAACAATACTGAAACAGCATGCCGTGGTTTCACACTGACAGTGAGCAGGGCCAAGGTGGGTTAAAACGTTGGTCGCTGGTCAATCAAGACTAATTCTCAAGATAGCATATATGTTGGACTGATTGTGGCACTATACACAAGTTTAGGAGTCACCAGAATTATCACTAATGCTTTGAAGACTATATATTGCCACAGCAAATTTAATGAACAGCTAGTGAGTTATCTTGCTCTGGAGCAAAGGGCTTGCTGACTGACAGATGTTTCCATCCATAGGAAAAAGTAAAATTTGGATGCAGTTTGGCTGCCACATCAAGTGAATATGATACAAGGTTAAATTGTGTAAGGATCAGACAGAAGATGTTATATAACAGAACTGTGAAACAGAAGACTGAGATGGAAACTTTCCAGAGAATTTCTGGGTGAAGATGCATTTGAGGAAGCAGCTGTGTGCAAGAGGGGAAAGAACAAACTAACCTCTAACAGAGCCTCTTTGTTTCTTTCAGCCATCTCACATGTCTCCTTCCGCCCCAGTAAATAGTTCTGCAGGTATGACAGAAGTAGCAGGAGAGACAGGTTAGCAATATAAAAACATCTGTATAGTATCAATTATACAAGTTTGACTTTGGTAAACCCTCCCATGTGTTTGTGTGTGCAGGCATCTCACCTGTGGGTTTTTGAACAGAGCATACTTCTCGATGCGTTCGGTGAACATCAGGCGGTTCTGGCTGTCTCTGGTCCAGTTCAGCAGGTTCTCCACCAGGTTCTCGTGATCCTCGAAAATCCGCTCTGCACAGAGTGAATTTAACTTAATTAAATTAATTCAGTTAATTTTACTTGGAACATGCTGTAAAATTAATGTAAGGCAGTTTCATCTAGTTCTGTGCTGCACACCAATTCTACCCTACTATGAGTATTAACGTCACTGGCAGGACTCAAACTGAAGTAATGAGCATATAGGTAACAGGTTGCTGTCATATTCATGTGTGTTTCTGTGTCACTAAACCGTTTATTTTTCATCTGGAGAGTGTCAAGGAATAAAAATAGTCAAATGTGAAGATTTTTGCACAAAACTCAACCAGCTTACATCCACAAATGTCAGTTTTGGCTTTTAAAACACTATTCTGATCTGTTTCTCTGTATAATAATGTTAAACAGAGGAGAGAAGTGGGTGTCGCCAGTATTTTTTCCACTGAGTAGTAGTAGTAGTAGTAGTACTACTATGCGAGTCTCCTGTATAATTTAACAAGTTGTTATTGTGTCCATCAGTAAGAACTTTGTCACCTTTTGTTTCTGATATACAGGTTCTTTTTTTGGTATGGTGTAGAACACTGAAAACACAAGTAACCACGAATGCCGTCAACCATTCAGAGAAGACGAACAGGTCTGCAAAGTTCACCCTCTAACTTAGTAAAATATAAGGCTGATTTGATATGTGTCACTGCAATGCTTTCTGGGATTTTTAAGCACATATTCTAATTTGTTTGAGAATATGAAAAATAGAAAATTTAGACAGTTCCCTGCTCTCAAAAGACAACATGGCTCATGGCAACCTACTGCCCTCATTCCCTCTCTTTCAAACTCAGTGCCTCATACCCCAGCTGACTTGCAGATGTTTTCCTCTGAGGACTGAAATGGACAAAACCAAGTCAGATGTGACCCACATTGAATTTGTGAACAACTGTGTTGATTTCACAAACAAAAAGTGCCCCTCTTTCTTGTTTTTTTTATTTAGGGCCGGACATATTAAGTCAAAAGTACTTTAATGTGGTTTCACTGTCATTCTGAAATATGGACATCTTCATATACCTCAGCATTTATACATATGCTTACCAACAATCCAAAGTGGCATATAATTTTAACAAAGGACTAACCTGGTACTACCCTATTTTATGCCCTATAAATATTATGTCCAAATACATCACATTTACACCGATTTCACAATTATACTATGACTTAGATGGCAGTGTGATAGTAATTATAAACATCTGATATGATCTTGGAATGTGTAATACCAGGAGCAAGATTAGTGCTGAAACAATTACTCAATGAATTAGTGAAACAGCAGAAAATTTTGCTTCTGTCCTGCCGATAATGTGAATGCTGTCTAACTTCATTACTTAAGTATCTTGTGCATTAATAAGTAAAATAACTGAGTTAATGACTAGGCTACCTAAACAGACAACTGTTATTTTTTTTTTGTATGAAGAACATGTGAAGTAATGATGTATCCTAAGTAGTAATGAAGCAAAGATCTGAGACCTTTTTGTAGTTTCCCTGATAATTTTACTAATACAGTACTGCCAAATACAGTGTGTCATCATTTATCACACATTACATAAATCAGTCTGAGAGATGGAGTTTACCATTGTAGGTTTAAGACCACAAATATGTTTAAGTCATAAAAACAACAAACATAGACAATACTGAGCCAGTCTGTCTTCTACTGCAGGCTGGTAAGAAGACATAAAAATGCTTTATAACTCAGACACCATAAAGGAACAAAACACCTCAGTTCATACTTACACTGATTCATTTTTTCTTTTATTTACTACTACTACTGTACTATGACTACTACTAAATGATTGTTGTTCTTCTCATTATAATCATAATTATTTGCCATTGCTATTTCCTGCAGGGTATGTTGTGAGAGGTCAGAGGTATGATCTGACAGGAAGTCTGTTTCTTGCCAAAGGGCGCTGGTGGTGCTGTGTGTGTGTGTGTGTGTGTGTGTGTGTGTGTGTGCTGTCAAACAGTTTGTCCCCCCTTCCACAGCTACACGACCTCTTATTCCCTTAATTAACACAAATTAAATCTTCCAAACCCTGGCCTTCAAGCCCAGGTTTTAAAAACACGTGCAGTAGATTTGTGTAAACAATGAGAGGTTTAGTTTTGGCTGAACAAGCTACACTTTACCTTCTCTCTCTCTTTCATAATGATGCCGACTGGCTGTTCAGCAGAAGCCCTGAAGATGTAGGTTAGATCACACGCATCATCGCACCGGACCTACATAAAGGCTGTGTGTGTGTATGTTTGTCAAAGACTGTTAAGTGGAGTTGAAGCTTGTAGTACAGTGTGTGCTGGCAAACACATCTTCCCCCAGCCCCCAAGCGAACTGTGTGTGTGTGTGTGTGTGCGTGTGTGTGCTCATATTTTTGTGGATGTATGTATGTGCTGTCTGTCACTTCTGGGCACAAGTTTTCTGACTACAAGTACAGATATAGTCAACAATGTTTCAAACACACAAGTACCTGGGAATCTGGAATAGGTTGTACTACTTACTAGTAATGAACTAAATCAGGTTGCGTCACTCAGAAGGCCTTTCATCTTTAGAAATGTCTGAACATAAAGCAATCAGCACTGAAGTCAATGACGCATTTTGAGCTTTAACCACTTCACAAAGGGAAGTCCAAGGTTTCACCTTACACTTACATGCCAATCTTTTCTAAAGCTAGCTAATCCAACAACACCATCTAACAGACATCAATTATTAATCAATTAAATGTGTTCTGTTTTATTTGCTCTGTTTTACATGAACCTCTACTCACTCTGGGCCAGTGATATAGACCTCTATGCATTACTAGTTTGTGGAGCGTAAAATACTTGAGACCTAGCAGCCAGGAAACTGTGTGTGTGTGTGTGTGTGTGTGTGTGTGTGTGTGTGTGTGTGTTGTTTGTTTGTTTACCCATCTGCAGCTCGTTGATGCTTTCCACCAGTGACCAGTCTGGACTGTAACCACAATGAGATTTCTCGAGCAAACTGTCCAAAACCTGGAGAACAGGAGTCACTGTGAGCATAACACAGCACTTACAGCAGTACTACTGTTGATACTACTATTATGAATGACAGAAGTACTGCTAATTACACAACAACTACTACTACTATAGCAGCTACCACTACCAATAATACAACTGTTATTAAAAAAGTATAACCGCTGCTACCACTACGTTTTCACTACTTTTACTGCTGGTAGTTCTTCTACTGATGCTACAGCTATAGCCATGACAAATGTTAACACAAATAGTGAATACTACTGATCTCACAAATGTTACTTATATTACTATTAAGAATATTATGTCTTATTACTACTGCTACTGACAGTGAGTTTTTATTGTACTGTAACAGCTACTGTTTTTCAAACTAACTGCTTCTACTACATTACTGCTACTGCATCCCTACTACAAGTGTAATGCGAGTCATACCTGTCTGACTGTCTGTCTCTCGTCCACCATCATGGTCTTTGAGCTCTCGTCTGACAAATGAACGCGAATCACCAACTATGAAGAGAGAAGATGAGAATTTACATCGTTATTGTCAAGTTATGACACCATTATGTCCAATTCTTGATTGTGATTGATAAAGTCATCATTAGTACAAGTTTTTAATGCATAGTCTCTTAATCCAGTTCAGGCAATTCTTTTTTTTTTTTAATAAACTCTTTCTAGCAAGTACTTTATCCAGCTTTAGGGTCAAGCATATCATCCCACTGAGACACGTTGTCCCTGAAGTCTGAATAGCACGGAGAACAGAGATCACCTTTACATATATTCAGTGCCACAGCACCCATGAGTGAGACCAGGGGTTACATGAATCAGTAAGCTACATATTGTTTTTCACCTGTGTTTTAAAACGCAAACAAATGTTTGTGTGTTGGTTTGTAAATTATTTGACTGGTCAATTGTTTTTATAAATATTACTGTGTGTATAAATATAATGTATAAAAACACAACTTGGATTTAGTTGCATTCTAGTCTTGGTGTCACATAATTTATGTAACAGACTCCTCTCTCACGCTGTTATTAATCAAAATATATTTTAGGTATTCAGCATGTGCAAGTTGCACGCATTACAGCACATTCTGTTTTGCAAAGTGAACACCTCTTTATGTGTAAAAAATGGCATATTTATGGCTTCTGTTCATCGTTTACACATCTGGCCCATAATATTTTAACACCTACCAACCAATGAAGTATTTCTCACGTCCACAGTATAAATGAGGTTCAAGATCCCAAGTAAAAACGGACATTTTCATGGTTATATTTTCATCGTCTTATCGTCTGTGTGTGTGTGTGACATACAGAGATTGAAAATAAAACGTCCACTGTCACCTTTGTGCAAAATCAACATACAGGTAGCTGGAGTTCTGTCTTTGTGTAATAAATCCAGGTTAGTAATCCAGTCTCCCTCCCTCCCTTCGGGATTGGGACTTAACATGCAGTGGTCATTATGTGTGTGTGTGTGTGTGTGTGTGTGTGTGTGTGTGTGTGTGTGTGACCACAGCTGTCATTGACCAGATTTCAATGTGGAGTAACACTGACCTGACCCAGAAAACTGAGTCCGCTGGACACGTGCCAGGACTCAGGCACATGCACGTAGTCTGACACACAAATATGCACAACACATATTTCTGTAGAATCTTTCTTTCTACTGTGTTTGAGATCCAGTCTCACCTTTTTAACCTGGGCCTCCTTGATCTTCTCCAGGGCGACTCTGATATTGTCTGCCTTCAACTTGGCAGCCTGCTCCTCCTGTGCGCGCATACACACACATTGACGATGCCAACACAAATTATACACCAGTCAGTCAATACAAACCAATAGTTTTGACACATTTCTATAACACCCGCTCTCCCTCAATCCATATTAAAAGACACACATGCTTAATAAAATTCACTCTTGTCCTGTCACCTACCTGATTCCTCCAACAGGAATTCATTGTTTATTTGCAGTTGATTTCTCTAAAACAACCAACACTTCTGTGTCTGCTTAGCATCAAACAAAAGTGCAAAATCTGGTATTAAAAGGAAAAACGCGTCCAGAATATTCCAGTGTTATCGGCACAGGTTGGACAAAGTATAAGTTTATTCTCAGTCTTGTCGGTTTGTTGTGCACCAGTCGTCCTAACGCATTACTCCAGATAATTAGGTTTCTTCTTGATGGATTTTTATCATGCAAATAGTTTCCTGACAGAGAGCCAAGACAAGCTGATTTGAAAGCGGAGATTATTCCCCCGAAACGGCAGCCCAAGGTTAGTCCCAACAAGACCGAGGTGCACTGCCCAAGGAGCCCAAACTGGGAGGAATCATCATACATGTCTGGTTGGCAGTGCAAAACCTGCTTCTCCTCCTCCTCTTCATAATCATCATCTCTGTATAACTGTGACTGCAGGGGAATGAGACTGGATTAATGCTCTGACGCTACATGTTGATAGTTATTGTCTCTCTGAAGGAGGATTATCCAAATACACACACACACACACTCAAACTGGAAGCAATACCAGTGTTTCTCTGACACTGCAGCAGACAAACGAGAGGACGGATGGAGGCATGAAAATGTCCAGTCTGTTTTCCTCTGACAACTCGGCAGTTGGATGCTCGGCACAAACACCCCACTCATCAAGCTTCAACGGAGCCGAAATAATCAGCTGTGAGGGAAATAAAACAGTAGAAGGAGGCAGTGGAGAAGGACGGACGGTGGATAGAGGAGTAGTAGTAGTCAGACAGCCTAAATTCCAGCAGAGCAGAGGGCAGGCGCACACACAAGATCTGGAAGCAAAAATAAAAGTAGAAATAGAAACACGAGTCGAAACAAACAGAGCAGTATTGACAGAAAACTTAAGTAGAAATACTGACCAACTCACTGTCTGAGCTGCAGGTTGACTAATCTATCAACTGATTTACAGACCGGCTGACTGGTGTCTTGACTGAGAGCCAGGTTTGCTTACTAATTAAATAGGAAATCTGGTGACCGACCAGCAGACTAACCGATCGTCTGGTTAGTGATGCATGTGATGTTACTGCCTCACTGACTCTGACTGATTGACTGAATCATTCACCGACTAGCTGGTAAATCAAAGTGAAAGATGCTACCTTGTCCTGTCACATCCTCCCTGGCCGAGCGAGACAGAGGGAATGAGAGGAAGCGAGAGGGAAGTAGAGATGGACGAGGCTGTGGGGGAGGGGCGATGTTTCTGTGCCAACTTCCATGCAGAGGCACTCATCTCTTTATCTCGAGCTCTCATGCCCCCCTCCCCGCAGTCCCTCTATTCCTCTCTCGCTCCATGCAACACAGTCTTCTCGTCTTTCCGCATCTCTTATCTGATTCGTTTTTTTGGCATTCTCGTTTTGTCCTCGTCTCGCTCTCGCAAACACTCTCTATGCAGTCATTTTTAGGGGATCTTTCCAGTCACTTCACATGAGTGTCTGAATGTGTGTCTATGTCCTAGCGGAGGTGCTCCACTTTACCCAGTCAGCACACACACACACACACACACACACACACACCCCGATCCATACTGAGAATGAGCGAAAGGGCAGAATGAAACAAAGATGATGGTAAAGAGGAGATTAGCACCCAATCTTCTTATCAGCACCCCCCCTACCCCCCAAAAAACACTTAAGTACACATGCACACACACCCAAAAGACCTAAATTCTCAAAGCAGCTGCAGCAGAGAATCCTACAGTATAAGCTCATAAACGGCTTCATAATGACTAGCCTATGCTTTGTTGGTTGGGATTAACGAAGCGAAGGTTGACAGCATATTGACTTGGGATAATAATCATTGTAATGTATATGTAATGTAAATGTAGATTTTCCAGGTATGTGACAAAAAAAAAAAATCAGGGATTGTAATTAAATATGTCAGATCGTATATGAAAACTTAAGCAAAAACACTTAATAAATGTGGAAAAATATACTGTTTTAGTTAGCGTCTTAATAATAATAATAATATTGATGATGATAATATTTAGATCAGAGGAGTTACAGGGGATGTGTGAAAAATCAATATTAATAGAGAAAAATAGAGTAAATATAAAATCCAATTTTATAATACTAGAATGGAAATCTGGTTAAACTGTCAGCTGCTATGTAACATGACAATATACATGTATACATGTATGTAATTAATTTATTAGTGTCTGTAGCATTTATTGTGGGGGAAATTGAAAAGAATAGTAAAAAATAAAGCAGAATTGGTAATGGCAGGTTACAGTGCAAGTCTGGTTAAACAAAATAATTACATAAATCTAACATTGTCAATTAGCATTAGCAGCTGTTAAAGTACTCGTGATGCACAGACAATAGACTTACATAACACCAATTTGAGCTTAAATACAGCTAAAAATAATAAGTAGATTAAATTTGACAAAATATATTATATAATACATCATCTGTTAGTGACTTTTAACATTTGAACTAAATAGATACTTGTGGGATAAAAGTCAGAAGTTTAATGGCTGCTAAAATATTTATTAAAATGTTACAATATAGATGAGATAATACAGGTGGCCAAGTTAAAACACCAGTCATATAACATTATAATGTCACGTCAATTAGCATTTTAACACTTTAACTGACAGTCAGTGACTTTCAGTTAGCAGTGAGTTTTAGCTTGCATTCACTATTCCTATCTAGAGAGTATTACATGCCTGAAGCAGCTGGCTAAGGAGTGTCAGTTATCATCATCATCTTCATCTTCATCATCACAGCAATCAGAATCATTATTGTACCCATCATCTCTGCCTTCAAGATCTTCATCATCACATTCACAAAGCATGCTAGTGCAAGGCACTGCCCAGGGTTACAAGTTTGATTTCCACATATTCAAATGTTAAGTCCTTTGTAGCGGTCAGGTTACTTTGGATCATTCTCCCAACTCTTAATATTATCAAAGGAATCTTTATTGTTTTACTCGAATCGTATTTACATTACAATCCAATCTAAAAACCAAGACATGGTCTCTGTTAAAGCGGGATATCCCTTTTCTTTTCACTATTGTTTCCTACTGGCTTCTAATGAGTTTTAATCAGTATACGTCTATAACCTACATATTTTAGACATGCTAATGGCTAATGGTGGTGTTACTTTGTCTTGATTTCAGTCCAGTGAAATTGCTACGACGACCTGCTGAGAAATTTGTTACAAAATTCCTTTCAAAGCATCCTGGGTGAAACCATTTCTTTTCATCTGGTACCTCCAGCTGGTTAACATTACCGCAATTTCCAAAAATCCAGTTCATGACAAAATGCACTTGAATGAACCCAAAACAAAGCAAGCTAACATGCTAACATTTAACATTCACACATTGTGCGTTACCTTGCTAATACTGATGTTGGCATAATTTCAGCCTTAGTGACTTGTTAAGCCGTAGTTTCCACTGACAGATGTTTTTAAATGTATGCATACGATAAGATTCATGCTTAACATAAGCCTGAGAGAGGGATAAATGAAACTGTGATTCTGAAGCATTATAATGTCAAGTGTCTACTTAGTGCACATGTTGCTCAAAAACAGTGTTTAGTTGGCGTATCTATCATTTATTCGGACCCTCAATCACCAATGAACTCAATCATCAAAAATGTTCCTTAAAATACCATAAATTTAAATTAATAGTTGAGTAATTAAATTATTTTAGTAGAATTATAATGGGATAATTAATTATTAGGAGAAATTATGGGGTTTTAATGACTTACAAAAACTCTATCCATTAAAGAAAAACTATTAAAACCATTCAAATATGATATGAGTTTTCTTGTTATACCGCCCACCATAGACGAGACCTCCTACCACTGTTGTCACGTCATTTTCCAGCTTGCAGCGTAAACGTTTTCTCTCCATCTCATACATATTCACTTGACCTACATTATAGAGCCTCTAAAATTAGCTTCTGCCCAGGAAAGATCCTTCTGCCTTTGAAGTTATAAGGAATGTGTCCCTCCTGAGCCACCACAGGCTCAAAACAGAGCAGAGCGATGCGATTTAGGGTATATAGAGGCAGCAGAAGTGGGCCAGTAGTGTGTGTGTGTGAACAACAATATGTGTGTGTGGATTGCATTTATTGCTGAGGCAGTGTAACACTGACACAGGAGGAGTATGCTACACACACACACACACACACACACACACACACACACACACACACAGCTGTGCCCTGGAAGCTGAGTACATGAGTATGATAATTACACCCTCAGCTGCAGGAATTAGACTTGCCCCTTAGCTGGTAATCTGCCTGGAATCTCAGGGCTCCATCATGGCCCCACCCACTCTAATCTGGGACCACAAATTAAAAACAAAATCACGTTATTTTCAGAGGCAGCTCAGAGTAATTTACGCCACTGAATCAGTGAAGTCAGACTTACTGCAGGAAAATAATACAAGACGACGATGCGATGGGTTATCTTGGCTTGCTCCACAGCAGTAAAAGCTGGATTTGAAGATAAATGGATCTTAAAAGTAAGACATAATCTGACTACATTCAATTTATTTGAATCCACTGGGCCTAGACTGATGTCTGGAGCCGGTATTGCACTGTTACAACAAATCCAATACACTGGTGTATCAGTGGGATAAAGTCCTTAATTTTATCTACTGTCTACTAGATTATGTCAAACTATGATCTTTAAAAAGGTAGCCTACTGAGGTCTGCTTGATCCAAAACTCAAGCAAACTGAAGCAGGTTGAGAAAATGAGGAGGGCTCGGAGCAGATTTATATGTCTGTGTGCTGCCGTTACAAAGACAGCCAAAGTCAAGAACTCCAAACGAGACAGCCCATTGCCAGCCAATCCACTGTGTGCGAGAGCGTGTTTGTGTGTACACACGTGTGTGTATATATGATCAACAGGGAATCACCCTGTCTCTGCACCAAAGAAGATTAACCCTGCAGATCTGGCACATTCTTCTAACGTCCAATCAAACTGCGTCATCTGATTTATCATCCAATCAAATCCTTACATTGCCGATCCAATCAGAATAAAGCCTCCTTACTTACCCTTTATCTAATGCCCATACACACACACACACAGATAAATAAAACTTTGCCCTTAGCCATTAAGAAGTCTGCAGCTTTAGCTTAAGAGCATCAGAGACATTACAGTCACATTAAGAGCCATCTATCCAAAGACATTCATGTACATTATCTTTGTCATATTATTAAGTAATTTCTACAGCCAGAGCCCAGGAAATTCTGATCTCCACCAGCATCTTGATCAAGCGGAAAGCTTCCGGTCTGAGACACGAAGCCAATGCAGAAGTCCCTTAAACCTGCATTCTATGTAACGGTCAGCAGGGGGCGACTCTTCTGGTTGCAAACAGAAGTCCGGTTCCATTAGAAATAATGGTAAAATGGACCCTACTTCTCGGCTGATTTATTACCTCAGTAAACACTTTCCTGATGAGTTTATGGTCTGAATCGCTAGTTTCATGTCTTCTTCAATACAACATGATGTTAATTTAGTAAATTATGGCCCCATTTAGAGGAAAATGGACCATAAAACAGAGTAAGCTTTAGGGTGGTTAGCCGTTTGCTCCAACCTCTCGTCCAAATATGGTATATTTCCAGGCACTTCCTGGTTACAAAAAATCAACATGGCGGCGCCCTATCGGCCAAACTCGAGGCTTCAAAACAGCAGTCCACAAACCAACAGGTGACGTTATGATGACTAGGTCCACTTCTTATATACAGTCTATGGTCCTGATCTGGGTTGAACTACAAAAGCAGTGGGAACTCACTGCGTTTACATCAAAGGGACCAGGGTCTAAATTTAGTTCTAGGGTCTTTATTTTACCTCCCAAAAGTGCTCAGGGTGTAGTACTGCTACTTTGGGGGTGGGGGTGGGGCTTGCAGTGAATTTCTGAATGAGCGAGTAGAGGCTACTGGCTTTAACTAGAGAACGTCAGTTGTTTTTCTATGACTGCTCTTGTCTTTTCCACCGTTGTTTGCAAACCAATAAATCACAATCAACAAATAGCGACACAAGTCTCGCCGATGACATCGTACGTCAGCTTTAAATATATTGCTCGGAAATAGCTGCCAGCGTGCAGCGCTGTATTTACAGCAAACAGCTGATGGAGTTACGCTAAATACTGAGTCTGGAGTTGTTGTTTTAACTTTTTACAGCAGGTAATAAAGCTCATTAAAAATCACGTTTCTCCGACGCTCAGGCCGACACAGACGTGAGTCTGGCCAGCTGATCTGCAGCTCTTGTTGGCTGGAAATGTTTTAATAACCTTCCAGTCGCGATTTTATTTTTGTGTTGCTTTCTCTGTGCTGGAGTTATTTTAAGAACTTGATGGCTTTATCCAGTTTGTTATTAAATTTGTCCCCTCATTATACTCCCACACAAAAAAGCTGCTTTAATGATCCAGCCTAGCCTATAGTTTTTCGTTATATTCCAATCAAATCTGGTTCATTTATAAATTTTGCTCATGGATAGTGGTTTCAAATAATAATGCCTGTGCATCGCGTTGTATGGCGTATATGCCTACCTATGGTTAATTTGCCTAATCTTTGCAGGTCTTTAGACCACGGTGGAAATGCACACAGCAATGAGCTGAAGGAACCTTTTAGTTCCTTGAAAAGAGATCTGGGGACTTCAAAGTCCCTGGTACTTTAGGTTGAAACGCGGCTTATGAGTAGTAGCTAGTCCCATAATCTGCACTGATCGGCGTTAGCTAGCACCAGGCTCATCTACTGAACTCCATTACTGCAGCTGGCTGAGCTCCAAACACTCATTACCAAACAAAACAAATCAAGGCTTCTTAACAACTTAAGGACTCAGGTCACCAGTGCGCTCTGCACACCACACACTGCACTTGTGGAAATAAGAATTCTATATTCATAACATCTTCTCAACACTGATTACTGCAACTTCCAAGCACAGATGTGTGTTTTGTTTCTTCTTAGAGGAAAAGCTTTTCAGATGGTTTCACAGGAACAAACAGTATGGCCACAACTGTCTTTAGTAGATAAAAAGCAGACACAGAAGTGCTGACTGTCACACTTACCTGTACTTATTTTCATAAAAAACATGAGTCATTTCAATATTATCATCCTAAACATTTCACTACAAATACTGCTGTTGAAGCGTTCTTACAGTTCAATCACACAGGATGTTTGTTAGCAGCTTAGGGTGACCTTTAGATGTTTGCAATGTGACTGTTTCGATCACTGTCACTTGCTGTGACAACTATTGTACAATAGACACAACGGATCAGTTTGGCCTTTGTGATTTAAATGCATATCACACATGTTAAGCCAGAAGTACTCTCCACACTTATATTTGGTATATTTTCATGGGCAAAATAGTGGAAAGCAGCGATGCTGCTGGCAGAATGACTCCTGTGTGATCGCATCATTGTAAGACTCCTATATATACACACACGTAACCCCCCCCCCCGCCCACACACACACACACAGTATGCATGAAGTCAGGTAAAGTTTGCTTTAACTAATGCCTTTTTTATTCTTAAAGAAAGCAAACCTCTGTGCTTCATAGGGAAAAAGCAAAATGGCCTCTGCACTCTAGCTGCAGATTTGACTGAAAGCAAATCAACTCAAAGATGCAGAAACAGTATCATGTAGTGGCCCATGCTTTAGCTTATACAAGGAATGTACAGGCAAACACAGAAGCCAGTTCACAAAGCTTTACAGAATGAAAACATTCATTAGATGGTGTGATCTTTTCTGCAGCCAATCTGCAGGACATTTGACCAGTGTGATTATATTGTGTTCACATTTTGTTTTACATTTTAAACTTTGCAAAATGGGTTTGGTCAATCAACACGTTTGAATCTTTGAGTAGTTCTTTAACACAAAAAAGCCATTTTTGAAATAGCAACTGTTGCAAGGCATAACCGTCAAATCTCACATAGTATGATTGGGTGATTAGTTCATAATAATGAACTCCTCATGGTAATACTTAATGATACTCTGATTCCTTAAGCAAGTCTGTTAGTGTAAAATTATTGTCAGTTGTGAATTATCTTCATAAATATAAAACTGCATATTAAATGAAACAAAGGTGCAAAGTTTGTATATTTTATGTGTAAGGAATAACATCTCTACAAAGGCCTTTTCGAGTGACTCTTCTTTTTTTACTATTATCACTATTTGCTCACTTGTGGAATTCAAGTCCCTGTTCCATTTTATTTTGGTGTGTTCATTCATTAGAAACAACTTTAAAAATACATCTGACATTTGCAGAGCATTTCTGCCTTGCAGGCTTTGACGCATTTCACATCATGACAAACCAAATGAACACAGATTGGTTGGTTTATATTGGTTAATCAGGCTGCAGCTACACTGGAAACAGTTCTGTTGTTTTACACTGGGGTTGCACAGTATACTGGTAGAGCTAAAGTACCAAGAAAGTAAGAGTTTTGTGATACTGCATGGGGAAACCAAGTTGTATCACAGTCTCTGTAAAGCTTTGGGATTATATACCAGCATACTGCAGCCACACACTGTACCCTCTGCATCACTACTGAGAAGGAAATGACAAAAGAGAGAGGTGGAAAGAAGTCAACATGCATGCCGGCTGGCCACGACTCCTGACGCAGCAAGTGAAACAACATGCATGCTCATTTACGCATGCACAGACCTATAAAGGGAGACAGGAAGATGGCATGCAAGAGAAGAGGAAGGGCGTGCAGTAGTGAATGCGGCGTCACCTTGGTCAGCAGGTGGGAAGGCTTCCCTGCTATGTTTCTCAGAATCAGAGAGGTTTCCCTGTCCAGATAGGAGTGCTTTAAAGACAGAGAGAGTCCCAGTGAATTAATCTGGTGTTTGATTGGCTGGATGTGGCAGTTTAGCAGAAAGCTGTGGTGAAGCAGTGATCAGCAGCAGAAAAACATCAACATCACTGATAAGAGTGGTCAGAGAACAAAACCTGTGAAGGAGAACTGTCCACACATAATAAAGAGATTACAGTAATGGTATAGGTACGCTGGGATGGAAAGGAAACACACATTAACCAACTGTCTTATAAAATAACTAATTTACTTCAACCCAGATTAGATAACTAAGACCATGAGCTGCATGCATGCACTCAAACAGTTATTTTGTGATGCAATGCTTTCATTTAAGTTTTGTAAGAACACTGCCAAAGTCTACTCACGATTGTTTTAATTTTTTCCATAAAGTGGTTTAAAAATCCCTAAAGAAGAAACTTAAATTTTAAATCATGCTCATCACGACAACACGCTTTGTGGACATACAGCAGGCACTTTCTCTGATCCAGAGAGCGCATATCTACACATGGCCTCTGAAGGGTCTTTTAGAAACCTGGAGGTTTGCTTCTCGTTACTGGATCCAGAAAATCCTAATCGTGCTTGCCAAATAAAACCCAACTTGTGTTAAGGCAATCTGGTCTATTGAAGCTGCTGCATTGCAGTCTGGTATATGTCCTGATGATGTATGAATACAAACTGCTCTCAAATTCTTATCTTCTTTCTTCTCCCTGTATGGTTATACATAAATTAAACATAAAATTATGAACCCATACTCTAACTACTGACTGGAATTTTACAAGCATGGTTTTATGAGGTTCAATGTTTTTTTAATGACTTTAAGGAGTTTTCTATAACATTTGAACCGCCATGAAATCAAATGTACAAATAAAACTTTTTAAAAGTTTGTGAATTTGGTCGTGTCATCAAATTTGCGTCCATAGTTTGGTACGGTTTAATCTCTGGGAGAAGGGTGTGACATAGTGAGACCACAAACTGCACTCGGAAAATCTCACTCACTGTTTACTCACTGATTATGATGCATTCGGATACAACCAATGGGGAGACATGTGAGGTTGCCCAGTAAAGTCAGTTGTCTTGCTATACTTGACACTACAAACTAAAGTGGGCCGGATTCCGGTTAACATATCTTTGGGAAATAAAGGTTAAATAATTCAAACAGACACAAGTATACAGTCACTACTGCTTCAGGGTTTACTGGTAGGAAACAGGGAACACATACAGGATTTCAACTCCAGGCCAGCAGGCTACCAGACAGATTTTTATTCATTATTTATATGCTAAATTATTTACTATATTACTCATATTTACTGACAATGTGAATTCCACAGACATGGACCAAATCTGGGCCAGATCATTGAGCTTCATATAATCCCACATACTTTTGATATTCCCACATATTTTGTTTTGTAATACAAATATCAACTTCCTCAAATGACGTACATCATTTTGTTCCAACGAGTGATATTGTTGAAATATGTTATCCATTTAGCGTTGCTAGAAATAAATAAATAAAAACAAATCTACATTTTATTTTCAGATCTGTTCTCGTCGTCAATAATCTCATGAGTGTGTGTGTGTGTGTGTGCGCTCCAATCACTAGAGACTGTTTTATAGAAAGCATTAGTTGTCCCTTGATAACCACAGATTAAAAAATGATATTTAGGTCAAATACACACACACGCACACACACACACACACACACACGATTACAGCTTTTCACTTTGGCCAAGATCTGACCAACAAAATCCGTGTGTGTGTGTGTGTGTGTGTGTGTGTGTGTGTGTGTGTTGAGTCCCTCTAGGATGCAGTAATCAGGAAGAGAGCTGCTATAGACTACATAGGAAGACTTTGTTGGTGATTATGTCTATCTTTCTGTGTGATGTGTAAGATGACTCGCAGGCTGTGTAATCAATGTAATGTCTGTGTAATCAAAATATGTTTAATTCAGTTTCTGCTGTATCTAATTTACATGTATGTCAAGATGTGCAAAGTGGACACAGCTGTGGACTTAAGAGCCTGTTCCTGCTGAAAAATCTCACCTCATTTTTTTATTTTTATTTATGATAGATGAGTAAGTGTGTTGACTTTATCATCAATGAGTACATGCAGTCATAGGGCTGGAAGTTACAGGTTAACTCACAATATACTATAATTTGATTTTGCACATTATAGAAATGGTTATCACCACACAGGTGATTCTGCAATTCTACAATTTCCTTTTCTTCAGATTTTTAACATGTAAGGTACATGTTAAGGAAAATCATTTTTTGTATCCTTTGTAAGGCAATTTGCGCTGGGATAATGTCAGCCATAATCTCTACAAAACTGGATCCTGTTTGCTTGTTGTAAAGGTGTTTCATGCTGCTTCTCATCCCACCTAGCTTTTAGGATTTTCTTGTAGTAACTTGCAAAGATGGCAGCGAGCAGTGAACCCAAGAAGAGTCCAGATGGACAACTAATTGTTTAAATTAAAATAGTACCTTAATCTTTTTATAGTGTAACGATAAGCATGTCAGTGGCCTGTTGTTGTTTTTCTTCTCTCTCTGGCACACAGTTGAATTGGAAAGATTATAGTGTACTGGACTACCAATGTAGCTGAAAAACAAAACCTTTTTCTTTTTTCAAACTAGCATTTGTGGCTCAGCAATACTGTGATTATGGAGCTTACATCTAACAATCAATACTTAAATAAGTTAACCTTTATTTCTCCAAACACTTCAATGTGGGATTTACTGAGTCTTAAAATGTTGTTAGTTTTACTGCCCTCAATAGACATTCAAAGTGAACGCATAAAGGAGATTCAAACTGCAGTCCCAGTTTCTAATGAGCTGGACTCAAGGGAGTTGTGCTCTGGGCAGACTACACCACATCCTCTCCTCTAATTCCTCTCTTTTTGTATCCTCTCTCCTTCTCTTTCTCCTTATTTATACTCTTTCTCCCTCTTTCTTTCTTTCTCTCTGTGCCTTTAACTTTCCATCATCTCCTTCCTTCGTTCCTTTATCATGTAGTGTCATTTACTGACTCACTCTGGCCTCTCACCTCATTATTCTAATTTTATTCATTCCTTCTCTCTCTCTCCCTCTCTCTCTCTCTCTCTCCCGACTTTGTAATATCAGTGTTTGCACTGGATGAACTGAAGCAGTAACCCAGTTTCCTACTCACTGAACAAGGTTTGTGTTCGCAGTACAGCTCATTGGGTTTCTTCTTTTGGTTGAGCAAGGCACTAACATTAACATTAAATTCCCTCAGCAGCCACCAGTGTTAGAAATGTAAGAGGGATAGCATTTAGGGAGTATAAATGTTTACAAAAATCCTTCATGGTGAAACTTGTATAATTGTGATGAGCTATTTTTTTGGGACATTTTATCCTGTTGTATCTTGTTCCTGTATCCATTTTGCTAGCACAGCTGTGAATCATTCACATCTGACTACGTCGGTGTTTAAGGGAAGATTATGACCAGGCTTTTCTTTTCAGTGTATTCTGCGACAGAAAAAAACAGAGCAGTTTTGAACATAAAAGAAGCGAGGACGCAGCTTGAAGCAGCAGAAACTGTCAGCAGCACACAGCCGGCAGTAGGAGAAAATGCCAACCGACACAAACCATTGCTGCAGCAAAACCTAAAACAACCTACACTTTCAACAGCAAGGAAAGTGGACTGTTTGACTGTACCCTATTTGCAGCTCTGGGAAACAACATAACTTGAATAGACTTGATGCCTAAAAACACACTATGGGTCAACGATTTCTTTTTTTGGAAAGTTTATACAAAATCTTCTAGTAATATTTTACAATTCTGGAGTTTTAAACATTTAAATAGTGTTTATATGATCAACTAGCAGCGGAAATGCTTTAATAACTGTGTGTTGTGACTGTCACATGGAAATGCAGTTTTAAATACAGATTGGTCTAAAAATGTCTGCATTCGCATCACAACCTCACAAAATGCCACTTGGACAATAGTGCATTGTGACTGAACTCCGCAAACAACTTGCTGAGTGACCCATTCCAGTACTGTGTGTTTTCTGGTATTTTCCTCCTATATTTTAAGTGGAATTATCAGCTGAAGCACATAATCTCTTCATAATCTGCTTGAAATGATAGAAGACTCGGCATAATCCCAGACAGTGGACAGGTTTTAGTGAGGTAGATCCACTCAAAATACCACCAGTCCTGCTGCTAAACACCTGAGTATGAGATTAGCACCGAGGTAGACTGTTGTGATGGCAGTCACCGGTCAACGTCTGGTTAAATAAGGAAGGGAAACAGTAAAAATAAATCCTCCCTTCAGGAAGGTGAGAGGTGTTTCTGTTATTTCACCTACAGTCACTGATATAAATGGACAATATAATCCAATACAGTTCAATCACACGGTGGAATAAACACCTCTTTAATACTGTTTCAACAAAAACTGAACATACAAACATACAAATCATCCATTCATTCTTTTGCTCATCAAAAGTGGGGCTTGTACCTCTGTGTTGTGATGAACGTGAACGGCTACTTCAGCTGAGGGCATAACTGAAGACTGCTGACTGTCTGATTCACTGCGAAGAACACTGTCCAATGAGTCCATGGAAGAAGCAGAGTTAACAGAAACCCTGGAGGCTGAGGTGACGGAGGAGCGCGCGGACTGAACAATTGAACGCGCCTAAAGTGGCACAACAAGAGAAAGAGAAGGGAAATCAGTTTGGAAAACTTTATACTTTACTTTGACATCAAAATTATCTTATCTCTAAGCAAAGTCTAGACATCATGCACCCAAGCCTGGAGTGATCTTTGCATTAGCTTTATGAACAATGTTTTTTTAAAAAGGTGTCAACCCACTATTTAGTCCACTGAATAATACATGCTGCCTGGCTTCAATTTCCTCTAACATCACCATGATCCTGTCTTCCAAAAGGTTTGCTTTTCTCTTTTGGTCCTCATTTGTGCTAGCATACTATAACGGGGAATCACTGGCTGTAGGGCGGTACTGTCAACTTCAAGTAATTTGAGATTTTTACAGGTGCGTAAATTACAAATGGGCTTCTTAGATCCTGTGTAAGCAATGTTTTTCACGCTCAGCATCTTCTATGAATTGAACGTAAGCATACCATCAGAAATTACTTTGAGACTAAGTTCATGTATAAATCCAGGTCCCAGGTCACACAGACTTTATAGCTCCAAATCCTAAAGATCCTAGTTTAGTGATACAAAATTAAAAAGCTCAAAATACTATAAAGTAATCAACTTGATATTTACCGCATTTTTATTCATGAACTGTGAAGAGGGATCAACACCACATAAAGAGGCTGAGGTCACTTGAAACTTACCTCATGTTCACTGACTGTGCCGACTGATCCTGTGCGTCGATGTTGGCGCTGAGAGGATCCAGGCCGCCGCATTGTGGCTGATGTATAGGAGGAGGCGGAGCTAAGAGAGTGGGATGAGGTCTGCCGAGCAGCTTCATCCATACTGAGAGACGCCTGATGGGTAAGCAGAGACCGAGGACAGCAGGTAAAGGTCAACCTTATCCATCATACAAAAATAACACAAGTGAACACATCTGACCAGGTACGCTGGTCGAAGAGCATATGTGTCATCCCTCACACCTCTGGATTAATTAATCCTTTTCACCAAAGTTGTGGTTGTGTAATCTCACGTAGCAAGGTCTGATCAAGCTCATGGCTGCAACATTAAAAAATGATTTTGATGGTTGATCAGAACATACCTAATTTTATTTCAAGGGGTTCACCTTAGCAAATCGGCACCTCCGCACAGCTACGCTCAGTCTGTCTGTACCGCCAAAGTCCTTTTAGGCAAATCTTGCCACTCGGGCGCCATCTTGGCAACGCCTCCGGTCAGCTATTTCGGACTAACAAGACCAGGCTCCTATCTGAATGAATGGGGAGAGAGCCAGAACTGCACTTGTACTGGTCACTGGGACATAAATACTGCATGAATCGAATCAGCAGTAAAATCTAATAAAACTTGCTGGAAAAGTTTCACAACTTTGCTCCAAAATAAGGTTTTTCCGGTTATACTTCTACAATGCTTGCGTCACCACTTCCACATACGCGCAGTAAAACAGACCCTTACGTCAGTGGAACCACACGATTGGCTGAAATATGTTTCCCGCTTTGGCTGTTAAAAGCAGACAATTGGCTTTTTAGCGGGAGGGGTGGGATAACCTCCATCTTTGCCGTTACGGGTTTTCCCCTTAGAGTTGTAGCCAGCCTGGTGGGCCTTGAGAGTGGGGGCCTTAAAGAGACAGGAGCATCTACAGCTTGTTTCAGACAGAGGCTGAAATGAAGGCCTACATGAAAGGCCAGTATAAGAGAAAATAATTATTTTTTAAATGCAGTATAAAAAGGTCTCCTTTAACAAAAACTGCAGCAAATTCAAGTATGTAGTGTTAAATAACTGAATGTATTTGAATCCTATTCATACAGTTCTCAGTAAGTATGTATTTAACCGTGTGTTTAGTACTCTGATGGTTGTTTGGAACACTGTCATGTTTCAATGCACCATCGTTTGCTCCATTTTATTAGTTTTCAACCCAGACAATTTTATCTTATCAGGAAAAATAGAGTATCTAAAAAGGTTGCAGCAAAACACTGACCACAGTTGGGTAGAAATCTATTTTTCAACCACAAAAACACTGAAACATGTTTCCTTCTTTGCTGAGCTGCAGAACAAGGCTCTGCCTCCAGTTCTCCCGGACCTATTTTGATTTGTTTGCAGTATCAAGAGAGCCCACTCTGCCCCTTAATGCTTCAACTTCTCCACACTTCCATGCTTTTGATGAGGCAATGATTGGTTTGTCAAGTTTACTTGAAGTTTTAAAATGTTTACCTCTCGCTAACAACTCCCCCCTAAGGCCAAGGAGTCTTTACAAAGGCATTTTTATTGCTTATGTTATAAAAAAAACCTTTGACATTTTGAGGCATATGAGTTTTTGTTGAAATGAATGATGGATATAAAAATGGCACAACACACACTACATAAGGATAAATGACAAAAATATCACTCACGCAGATTTATTCTTATAAAACACATTTCCACACTAGCACACACCTTCTCCAGCTGGGCAGTGATGTCGTCAAGACTGAAGTTAGAAGCCAGCGCCGGTCTCCCATGATGCCCAGCGGAAGCTCTGATGGTGCCAGCGGGTGAGGCTCTAGTACTGCTACTGCTACTGCTCGCCCCGCTGCTGCCCCCCCCACCACTCACACTGTTACTACTGCTTCCACCACCACCACTGCTGCTCCCTGCTGGTTGCTGCCTGCCGCTGCGCCCTGCTGGAGGCTTCTGACGGACCTGGAGATGGAAAGAAAGAGTGCAGAAAGACTCGAAACAAAGCTTTTCTGAGACTGAAGAAACAGAAAAGGCATTCCTCATATTTTATAAAAAGGAAGTATTAACCAAAACATTTAAGCTGCCTTAAAACAATTTGATTTGAATCAACCTCTACTTGGAGAAAAAAAAAAAAGACATCTCAATGACTCTCTGCTTTCAATATTTAGAAAATGCTCATCAAGGACAGCAACAAGAAATGTGATTATAACCGATGAATGATGGCCAAAACTCACACTATGAACACAAGCTCATATTCTGTACACGTGTACCTTGGTGTCGGTCAACCCCAGGCGAGCCATGCTGCCAATGCTGTTGGGTTTGGCGTTGACGGTGCTGAGTTCCTGTTCGATCGAGCTAAGATCAGCCATGAGAGCATCAAGATCCACGTTCTCCCCCTGATTCAACGCCTCTGCGGACAGAGAGATATCAGGATGTGAGATGTGGAGGAGAGAGAGACAGGCAGACCATAACAGAGCAGGAGAGGAGGAAAGGAAACCAATCAAACTGCGAGTGAGGAAAGGCATCTGTGTGGGGCTGACCGTTGATGTTGTAGATGGAGAATCTGTAGGAGAAGTTGGCCATGTTGGTCTCTTGTCTGAGAGGAGCTTTCTGCTGTGGGGGTTGCTCAGGGCGGCCATCATCCAGACTCTGAATGGACAGAAGAAGAAGAAAATTAAGTGTGTGCAACACCCATTTCACATTTTTGCATGTTTGTGTGCCAAAAACCCAATCATCCATTTATTTTCAGCAGGCTAGGATCAGATTTCATTTGACACAATATTGAAACAGTGCTTCTGTAATGATTACAGTACATGCCACAGCATCTGATTTCTTGCAGATTAGCTCTGGACTAGAGCGTGTACCTGTGTGAGTTTGTCGAGCTCTCCCAGCCAGGCTCCAAACATCTTATCCAAGTCCTTGTCCTCCTTATCACTGTCGTCCTCTTCCTCCTCCTCTTCCTCCCTGACCTCCACCTCCTCATCTGATAATTGATCCATCTAAGGAGATGACAAAAGGAGGAAAAGAAAAAGAAAAACTGGTTAATTCCTCTGCAAGACACAGCATGATCTCTCGGCTCCATCTAGTGGCCAACAGTTTGTGGCACCATAACTGTTCATATTGCATTCTGATTTCACTCCCCTGATTGTCTAAATGTTATCAACATTCATGATCCACAGTTGATGCTTCCTTTTCATTTTGGGGACCCTCTGGCCTTTCCTTCGGGCAGGTTACATCTTTCACAACAAAAACCAAAATGAAAAGACAAACAGAGCACATTTATGCCCCCTGGGGGTAAACATCTAACGGTTAAAGTTCTAAAGATCATCAACATTGTCAGTATACCTTTAGTCCCATCCACACTTTTGTATTGTGGGGCGCAATCAACACTGCAGCCAGACCAGTTATAGACCGTCTTGTTCTTTGACCCTGGGACCTTTTGTCTTCACGGTGTGTTATTCCGCATATTTCTGACATTTTGCAGCCATACTGGCTTTGTGCTGAGCAAAAGTAAAATAATGTTGAACATATTTATAACAATAAAAAACACAAAGACTTTATGTTAACATCAGAATGTCAACAACACTTGCAGGAAGACAGAGTGGTCTGTTCCACAGTCTAAAAATAATGGTAAAAATAATCAACATGATTTAAAACAAAAGAATACACGAAGCATGACAAGGAAATTCAGGGGAAAGGTTATGAAAGATTAAGACTGTGTGTGTGTATAAACCGTTTATGTAACCGCACTGAGAACAAGTCAACACACTTTTGGAAAGAGTGTGTGATTAATGATGGCAATAATGGTCCTTCACACACACACACAGTTATGAAAATATATGTGGCTTCAAATAGATTACACAGTGACAAAGACACACAGCAGCTGTTGAATTCTTCTCTGTGTTGACAACCAGTAGCAAACAGTTTTCCACCCTATGCATGATGTAATACACTTATCAGACGTAGCAAACTAAAAATGTAGGCTAGCTAAGTTTTTGAAGTATAGAATGCATGAAAACCTTCTGCACGCTGATTTGACCCTGTTATTAAATTTGAAGATAAAGCCACAATTTAACTTAAATGTAATGTTAAAAGTATAGTTAGACATTTTTGGAAATATGCTTACTCACTTTCTTGCTGAGAGTTATTTGCAAGTTACATATAAATGCTGCGTTCCAGGCAACTTGGAAATTTCCGTCCTCCAACTACAAAAAAAAAAATATCTACCCCGATTTCACGAGTAACAGCTGAATGACATCACACAACAATGGCAGCTCCTATGAAAGCACACATAAAACAAACTAAAGGGCAATAAAGTATATTTCCATGTATTTAAATTAAAATAATTCAAACTGTCATATAGTAAAACATGTTTTGCATGAAAATTGATCTATAAATTTTTTGCCATTGTCATTAGGTAGCTGATTACAGTAAAGAATCTCTGAAAGACATCTTCTCTTCAAAAGAGATATTCAATAAAATATTAAAAACGCCAAAACATTTGGAAACATTAGGACACTTACTGTCTTTTGAGGATTATCACTTCAGTTACTTGCTTTCATTAAAATGGACATAATTTTTATTAACACCAAGGGCAGAGCTGAGGGTGCAACTGGGTGTACACCTGACAAAGAGTTTGTCATGGTCAGCTATGTATTTCATTCACTTTCGGTGTCAGGCACCACCATGCACCTGGAACGCTTTGAGGTTCAAAGTCGGATATTTCTACTTGGACATTTCCCAGTTCTGATTGGTCTGGAACGCGGCATAAGATCCAGCCAGGAGACAGTTAGATTGGCTGAGATTAGATCCAGAGGGGAAACTGCTAACCTAGTGCAGTCCAAAAGGTAAAAAAAAATATCTGCTATTTGTTTTTTTTTATATCTGTACAGAAACTGAAGTGTATAAAAAAAAAAAGTTGTGGTTTTAAGGGGGATAATGTGCCGAACTAGCCTTTGTTTTGTCATCACCATGAGGATTATTTTTAACCTTTGGACAAAGCCAGGCTTGCTGTCGTCCCATGTTTCCAGTCTTTATGCTGAACTAAGCTAACAGCCTGTAGTTTCATAATATGATATTACAGCGTTCATCTAACTCTCGTCCAGACATCGAACAAGTGTCTCACCTCTCACCTCCCTTCCTTATACTCCAGTTCTCTTTGCTCGCTATGCTCTCCTCCTCCAATCTGTATTCCGTCCTCTAACCTCCTCCTTTTTCCTCTCCTCCACATCGCCACCCAGGTGACCCCAGAGTATCGCCCAGGGCCCAGTGTGCTATTCCAGGGTTGCCGTTTTGTCGTTGCCCCCCTTGTCTCTCTCTGGGGAGGGACAGCCAGCCAACACACACACAAGATTAGAGAGCAAAATGTCACACACCCACATACAAACACATTGAACCCCCCCCCCCCGACACACACACAAGCTGAGGAGCGGCGCTACAATTAGATCCCTGTGGTTAGCAAGGTCTGTCATTTAGACTAGAGGATAGGGCGAGTGTGTGTGTGTGTGTGTGTGTGTGTGTGGTTTGGGGACTGTTGAGGGACTAGAGGAGCGTTGCGAAAACTCTCACAGCTGCGCTCTTGTACAACAATCTGCTGTTTTCACCCAGGCCAAGGTTGGATGCAGGCCAACAATGTAACCTTTTTTCTTTGCATGCACAATCTCAATGAGAAGAAAATTCACTTCCCGTTGTATCTAAACTCACCCTGCTCCTCGCATGGAGCTTTGTCTCGAAGTGGAAGAGAACACGGACGACAAAAACTGCTGCATGCAAACCTGCTTCCAACCACATTAATAATGAAATTGTGGTCCATTTTTTAAGGTTCATAATGCATGTGGGTGTGTATGTAATAGGTAATTATTATTATTTATCATCCTTCTACATAATTATATGAATACAGGTTTCTCTTATTATTGTAGCCCAATATTAAAACGTATGTCTCAAAGTGCTGTACATATTTGACCAAAATGCGTCGTAGCGTGAAAGCTTAAAGTTGCACTAATCAATATTTTCATACTAATAACTGATCAAATGAAAAGTGTAATATGAAAGGGGTCACTCATAGTGATGACCCCTTCAGGGTAAGTACCCGTCTCTTCCCCTTAAAGAGGATTACAGCAGTATCAAGACCTTGCTGGGAGGTGGCATTCCTGGTGGATCTCCAAGGTGGTTTTGCCAAGTTTCCCAGCTATCTTTGATTTTGGGACAGGAGGGACACCAAGGTGCACTACCACAGGCGGGACTGGCCTCAGCGGACCGAGTTCTCTGTGGGGAGGAACAATGTCAAGTGGGAGCACTGGTGGACCACTGAAAGGTGCTGATGCCACCACTGCGCATCAGAATCAAAGACCTTGTGAAACAATTTGTCAGAGCTCTAGATAAGGAATCGGCAGCTGTCAACAACCTTCAAGACTTCTTCCCTAAGCTGCCTGAGGCAAAGATCAAAGCCGGTGTATAAATGCATGTTAATTTGTATTCATACGTTGCTTCTTTCTGACTTTATGTGAACGAAAACACACAAATTTGCCTATTTTCTTATTGGAAATTTCAACATGTCACTCTCCTGGTCACAAAAGCAATGTTTGTGGGGAATAATAACTTTCTTTACTTCTGAGGGATAAGCAATTAGGAAATAACACTTACTAATCAGGAACAAAAAAGAAAATTTGTTACATGGTGTAATGTAGTTGCAAACAAGTCCTATCTTCAGATCTCATCAACGTGTATTCATGGACACTGCGGTGTCTGCAGAAAAGCATTGTCTGGATGAATTTAACTGTTAGAAAAATCAAACAATTAAAAATTTGGCCATCTCTGTATTCTGCTGGTTAATGTTCAACTGTGTGTCAGATAGCAGTTGAATGCACCACCAGAAAGAAAACCAGAACTCTGTTTTGTCAAACAGAGCTGAGAAAGCAAGTCATACTGATGGGCTATAAGTGCTGTGCATGTGTGTCCAAAGTAAACAGTAATTACTTTACTGCTGCAGCCACACTCCTCCTGTCTGTCAGACTGAAACCATGCAATCATACTCCCATCCTTCTTTCCTCCTACTTCTCTTTATTTTTTCTTTCCCTTAATTTCTCTCCCTTCTCCCTTGTCTATTACTGTTTTTCCTCCCCTTTCTCTTCCTCCAAAACCCTTCTCCCTCCTAACGCTTTAAAGAGAGCAAGTTTAAAACTAAACTATACGGGTTTTCAGCAGACACAATCAGCTGCTCCTGTAACCACACTGTAAACTACCACAGATAGGAAGTGACCTTAACCTCAAAACTTTGACCTTTAACCCCTCACAAAATATAGAGTAAGACTGCTGTAGTGTGGCAGAGAGGAGGTGTGGCTCATACAGTGTTACAGGCTATCACACAGGCTATCCAGGGTCCCTGTGTCAACCCGGGACATTAAACTCTAGAGAGGAGGAGGAGCCCTTGAGCGACCCACTGCATCTGTATTGGGCAGCTCCCAGTTTCCCACAGTGCTACACAGAGCCTCAACTGGTCCACTGCCACAACAAAACAACAACAGAGAGGGCTTTAAAGTTCCTTCAACTGCATTCAATATGGCCTATTCCCACGGCTCTATATCAGGACATCACACACACACAGAACGGTATTTTTAGGCCTGGTTGGGTTTTTGTAAAGCGAAGCTATAAATCAGATCCAGAGAAAAAAGAAGCAATGAGTGAATCCACAGAGTAAGTTGAGATGTTTCTCTCTCTCGCTCTCACACACACAAAATAATTTACAGTGCAAAATCTTTACGAGACTTTCAAAATTTATGAGAAACTATTTCCTTCCAATTCCTCAGTTCTTCCATTTGCCCTCAACAATAGCTTCAAAAGAAAACCTTCAGTTCTATCTTCACAACAGACATAGAACAGTTTACTTTTTGTATCAACTCTTCTGCCAAAATTACTCTTGCTGACAATGAATCAAAGCACATCTAACATTACACAACAAACCAAATACATTTACATTTATTCATTTAGCTGACCAAAGTGA